AAAAGAAAAAGAGAAAGATTAAAAAAATCACCTTCCATGTTTACTTCCCTTTAGAATGTGAATAAACTCTGAATTGATTAGTGACCAACTAGTATACTAGTAGAGATTCAGCACATAGCTGTTTGCCAAACTCATCTCCTTTATTATTACATTCCTAATTTTAATAATTGTGGAGCTGTTCCCTGAACTACAAAGACTAAACTATTTCAGCCATTAAAAGGGATAAAAAAGCAGGATTTTATTTTTAAAAGGGGGGGGATGAAAACAGACTAGCCACATATGTTGCCTTTGATTTGGAGTAACTAATGATTTAGCATTACATTTTTTTAAAAAAAAATGTACTTCCATTTACTTGGCATATAACTTCTTTATGGGATGGTTATGAGAATCCAAACTTAGCAGATATAACAGAATAGCAGAATAACAAGACTTGAAGGGACCTTGGAGGTCTTCTAGTCCAACCCCCCCCCCACTCAAGCAGGAGACTCTATACCAATTTAGTCAAATGGTTGTCTAATCTCTTCTTAAAAACCTTTAGTGTTGGAGACTCCCAATTTCTGAAGGCAAGTCATTTCACTGATTAATTGTTCTTAACTGTCAGGCAATTTCTCCTTAGTTCTATGTTGTTTCTCTTCTTGATTACTTTCCATCCATTGTTTCTTGTCCTACTTTCAGGTGCTTTGGAGAATAGGTTGACCCCCCTCTTCTCTGTGACAGCCCCTTAGATATTGCTCTCATGTCACCTTCTTTTCATTAAATTAGACATTCCCAAATCCTGGAACCAGGGGGGATATGTTGGATTCTATCCAAAGCATTTCCAGACTCAAAAATGAATCTAGGCAAGGCAGTGCTCACCTTTAGCAAAAGTGAAAAGCACATTTTCAGCCAGTGTGGATCTTTAAGATGGATCTCAGCCGGAATTCTTCTTGACCATGAAAGGGAGGCAAAGAAATAAAAGCAAATCCATGTAGCCATCTCCTGGCCATGTTGAATGACTGCAGCCAGAGCTGTACTCACATAGCAATTGAATTATTTCAGTTATGAGAAATGTAGTATAAATGCCTGTCATAAATGACTGTGCAAATATGAGGCTACATTTTCATGAAATTGAGAGTCAGATTGTTAATCACTAAATTATCCAGTTATTCAAGGAAAAGAAAGAATATTAATCTCAAATCTCCATCTCATTTTCTGTTATGCTAATGTATATAGACTTTTCTTTACGTACAAATCTGGGATGAGCAATTGTCTTTTGGACATAGTATAAGAATGTAATTATTCATTTCTAAGGGAGTGGTAGGAGCAATGTACCAGGACCAAAAAAAGCCGTTTTAACATTTCTTAAGGAGAATAGAATAGAATAACAGAGTTGGAATTGACTTTGGAGGTTTTCTATCTAGTCCAGACATGTCAAACTTGCAATGTCATGTGATGTCGTGAAACATATCAGGACTGTTTTGCCATTGCCAGTAACAGGGTGGATGCAATTTCTGCGTAACACGTCTGGCACACAGGCCAGCAATTTGACACCCCTGATCTAGTCCAACCCTCTGCTGAAGCAGGAAACCCCATACCATTTCAGACAAATGGTTGTCCAATCTCTTCTTAAAAACGTCCAGTGTTGGAGCATTCACAGCTTCTGGAGGCAGGTTGTTCCACTGATTAATTGTTAATTAATTGTTCTGTCAGGAAATTTCTTCTTAGTTCCAGGTTGCTTCTCTCCTTGATTAGTTTCCATCCATTGCTTCTTGTCCTGCCTCCAGACACTTTGAAGAATAGCTTGACTCCCTCTTCTTTGTGGCAGCCCCTGAGATATTGGTACACTGCTATCATGTCACCCCTCGTCCTTCTCTTCATTAGACAAGACATCCCTATCTTTTCATTAAATTAGACAATTCCAGGAACCATTCTTTATTTTTCTTTATATGTTCTTTAAGATTACATTAGGAAAGTAATTTAACTTATTTATTAGGCCTATAAGATACAGTGGCCTAAAAAAGAATCATGGGGATAACTATATTTGAGGCATTAAACTCAAAGTATGCTTAGATGATAAGATAAGATAACCTCTATTGTCATTTTTATGTGGGCACAATGGCACACATCAAAAATGAGATTTAGTTGCCCGCTCTCAAAGTGAAACCATACATGACACACACCTAAGCATACTATGAACAACATATGTATAGACCCACATCCCTACATATACGTAGCAAATAAATATTAAATATTGTCCATCTTGAATATATAATGGAAGGAGGACGCTTGAGAGTTCGCAAGGTTAATGCTGTATGGAATGAAACTCTGGCTGAATCTGAATGTTCTGCTTCGGATACCACAAAGTCTCCTCAGAGAAGGTAACAAGGAAAACAGGTTGTGAAGAGGATGTGTAGTGTCCCAGATAATCTTACGGACCCTGCTCAAGCAGTGCTTCTGTGCTATGTCCTGGATGGGAGGGAGGAAACTGCCAATGATTTTTTTGACCATTCTCACCACTCTGCACTGCCTTCCTGTCCGAAGCAGTGATGCCTCCAAACCAGACTGTGATGCTGTATGACAGGAAGCTCTCAATTATCCCCCTGTAGAAAGTGGTCAGGACAGGGGAAGGAAGGTGTGCTTTTCTCATGCGGTGCAGAAAATGCAGGCACTGCTGTGCCCGCTTCACCAGTTTCTCACTGTTGAGTGACCAAGTCAGCCTACTCATTAGCTGCATACCCAAGAATTTGATGCTGGTAACCATCTCCACAGGTGAATCATTTATGCACAGAGAAGTGTGGCTGTGCCTTCCTTTTCTGAAATCAACAATGATCTCTTTGTTTTTTCCAGTATTTAAAACTAGGCTGTTTTCCTTACACCAGTTCACCAACCTTTCAACCTCCTTGCAGGAAGCTTCCACCTTGTCATCCTGAATAAGGCCCACTACTGTTGTATCATCTGCAAACGTCACAATATGGTTGGTGGCAAACCTAGCACAATAGTCATGGGTCAACAGGGTCAACAGCAGCGGACTTAAGACACAGCCCTAAGGAGAACCTGTGCTCAAGAAAATGGTATTAGAGGTATTTGTTCCAACTCGCACATATTGGGACCTGTGGGTAAGAAAATCAAGAATCCAGTTGCACAGAGGACTGTTTAAGCCTAAAAGGCCCAGTTTGTCTACTAGATGCTGGGGAATGATTGTGTTAAACGCCGAACTGAAGTCGACAAAAAGCAAATGCACATGAGTATTTCTTTCCTCTAAGTGCTTCAGGCTCAGATGGAGAACGGAAGAAATAGCATCCTCCATAGAGCGATTTGGTCAGTAGGCAAACTGAAGCAGGTCAAATGCTGGCAGGAGGCTAGATACAATAGTGTCCTTTATCAGCTTCTCAAAGCATTTCATGATGATGGATGTCAGTGCAACCGGACGATAATCATTGAGGCTTGTAATTGTGGACTTTTTTTGGCACTGGCAAGATGATGGCTGTCTTAAAACACGATGGGACCACTACCTGCTGCAATGAGAGGTTGAAAATATCTGTGAGAACACAAGCCAGCTCCCCTGCGCATTCCCTGAGGACACGTCCAGGGATGTTATCTGGGCCTGCTGCTTTCCGAATGTTAACTGTCTGCAGTGTTTTCTGGACAGAGGTGACATCAAAGCTTGGCACTTGCTCATCAGGATGGGGCACTGCTTTCCTAGCATGAGTGCTGTTTGATGCCTCAAATCTACCAAAAAATGCATTCAGTTTGTTTAGGAAGTCTGTGTCATCTTTGCATTTCGATGGAGCAACCTTGTAATCTGTAATAGCCTGGATCCCTTGCCACATTCACCTGGTGTTTGTTGAGTCCTGAAAGAAGTTCTGAATTTTCTGGCAATGGGCTTGCTTTGCACCTTTTATGGCACTTTTCAGATTTGCTCTGGCTGTTCTAAGTGCCAGCATGTCACCAGATTTAAAAGCCACATTCCGTGCTTTCAGCATCTTGCAGACCTCATTAAGTCAGCCATGGTTTTTCATTTGCCCACACAACAATGCTTTTCAGGACACAGATATCTTCTATGCACTTTTGGATATATGCAGACACCGTGGTGGCATACTCCTCAACATTTGTATGTTGGTTATCAGTAGCTGCTTCCTTAAACATGCCCCAATCTGTGCACTCAAAGCAATCTTGTAATGCTTCTGTAGCTCCCTCTGTCCAAACCCTCACCTGCTTTACTGTAGGTCTCACTCTGACTAATAAAGATTTATATGCTGGAATAAACAGCACTGAGAGATGGTCAGAGGAGCCCAGGTGAGGGCGGGGGATAGCTTTGAAAGCCTTCTTGATATTGGAATAAGCAAGATCCAGTGTATTGTCCCCTCTGGTTGCATATAGATGGAATGTGGCAGGGTAGCTTTCAAATCCACTTGGTTAAACTCACCCACTGCAATAAATGCACCCTCTGGGTGAGTAGTTTGTAAGCCACTGATGGTATGACAGAGAAGCTTCAGGGCCTCTTCTCTGTTTGCATCAGGGGGGATATACACAACGGTGATAATGGTAACAGAGAATTCTCTAGGCAGATAGAAGGGTCTGCATTTGATAGTCAGAAGCTGCACATCTGGGGAGCACAGACTTGAAACCACCCTGGCATTATTACACCATCTGTCATTTATATAAAAACAGACACCCCCTCCCCGGGATTTGCCACTAAGAGTAAAGCTCCTGTCCAGACGAAATGTTGAAAATCCCATCAAGCTAACAGCACTATCTGGGACAGAGGGCTTTAACCAAGTCTCTATTGCAATAATGACACAGCAATTTCTCACCTTCCGATTTGTTGTTAAATCAGCCTCAAGTAATCCATTTTTGGTTCTAAGGAGCGAGCATTTGCAAACAAAATAAATGGAAGAGACACTCTCTGATGGACTTGTAATCCAGTTTTCTTTTATCAGAATCAAAATAGTATTAAAATGACCTGAATCCACTCATGCTAGGAAATTTTCAAGCACAGTAATAACGACAACACTCCATGATAATGCTCCATATGTATATATTTTTAAATGTTTATTTTTGTAGACTAATCTGCATTCACAATTAAGAGAAACTATATTAATCAACAGAAAGAAATATAATTGCTGGAGCTTTCTCAAAAGAAAGTTCAATTCCCTGTTGATCTTTGATTAGGGAAAAATTACGGAAAGAGAAAATGTGGCTCTTCATTTTATTCTTGCAGTTGGTGAATCTAGGAGAAAAAAAAAATCCAAGATGAGTGAATGTGCAATGTGCAATATTTGGCATAAAAAGTATGCCTTAAAGTAGCAAATATTTCAGAATTTTGCCTTCAATCTCCCCTTACCCTCAATGACAATGACCCCAAATAATCCACATATCCAACAAACAAGTTATTGTAAAATCCTGAGAGAAATATGCACAATGTAAATCTCTATTAAACCAAAAATATCTTCCATACCCACCAGAGTCCATTTTCCCCGTGACATGCTTTGATTTACATTGCCTGGAAAAATAAAAGTAGATAAGCATTTAACTGGAAAGTTAACAACAAGAGGTGGTGATGGGTAATTAATCCATTTCTTTGGGGGGGAAATAGTTAGAAAATGAAACAATAAACCTGAAATGACAAAGGTGTCCCTATATGGCACCTACTTACAAATTAAGATTCTAAAATACAGGTGGAACATTTGTTCCCAATGTGCGCCTGTTAGATAATTTGTCTTTGCATTCTTTTTTAAAAGATAAGTAGTATCAACATACTACTATGATCAACATATAAGTAGTATCAACATATCAATATACCCAATATTACCTAATGCATACTCAGATGTATAACAATCATAATTTCAAGGCAATCAAATATTAAAAATGAAGAAAGAGGGCAAGGAATAGTAAATTAAAGAATGTTCTTAGAAGGCATACTCACATTTTGATGTGGAAGTGGCATCCTAACATTAAGCTACAGGGGAAAAAAGAAAGGAAAAGAGAAAATATTGCTCAGTTTTCGAGTTAATGCAAAAACCTGCAGATTTGCTGGTATAGATAGGAGTCATAAATTGGAAATCCTTAAAGAGACAGCAAGGGGGGGGGGAGGATAGAATAAAATAAACAGAAAAAAGATGAAATTTGTGGAAGATTTTCATTATTTTTCCAGCATGTTTATACTTTTGAAATATGGACACAAACAACTCTCTTTAGGAATGATTGCTATTATTGACTTATTGAGATATTTTGAGAGACTGATCTCCAAGACAGTTATCAGGAACTCAACTGACATGTTGGAATCAACATATTTTTCCCAGCAGGATGAATTCTTCTTGAAACACTGTCCAAAGGAGGATACTACAGAAGAAGTAAGTCCAGTCTTATACAACTCACCTGGCTACTTGCAGGAGGAGGACCATTTTTACTATCAGAGGCACCAGTAACCTAATAAAGAAGTAAATAAATTCTGTGAACGTTCTTACTGATTATTTAAAATAAAATAAACCTCATCGAAGACAACTATTTGAATCTGTGAATATATTAAGCATTAAGATATTTTGCAGAGTAAAATGCAGGAACATCCACAATTACTATCAGTAATTAGTTTAGACTTGCAGTCCAAAGCAAGATATTAGAGAAGAATAATATATATGATAGAACTCACCTGGATGCTGGCAACGGGAGGAGAGGGATCATTGTACTGATTGGAGGAAGCACCAACCTAATGAGGAAGTAAATCAATCCTATGAATGTTCCTTCAAATTATTTTAAAAACCAAACTTCATGGAAACCAAGTACTTGGATCTGCAAATGCATTAATCATTCAAGACATATTACAGTTTAATATACATCAACCAGAGCAACGTAACAGTTACCCTAACAAATTAATGGAAAGTAGGAAGAAGAAATAAGTAGATTACCTGCTGGGCAGATATATAGGCAAATCCATTTTCCCAAAAGTGTCCACATTTGTGTTCCTTTGGCAAAGTTGGGGTCAGATGACTCTGGAAGATGTTGTAAATCTCCAGAAGTTAAAAAAATGACACCAAGACACCAGAGTAGGGCAAAAATTGAGGTATCTGTGTATATTGACCTATGGAGATTTTTCTATTATGCTGTGCTTCTAAGAGACTGATCCTCAAGTCAATCATGAGGAGTGCAACTGACATCTTGGAATTAACAAATTTTCCTAAGCACCTTTGGTAAAGCTGGTGTTGGATGAGTCTAAAAGATGCAGTAATTTTAAAAATGATACTAAGATACCAGGGTAGGACAGTAGTTGAGGGGGTCTGTAGGATAGTAGATGAGGGGGGTCGGTATATATTGACCTATTGACATATTCTCAGTCGTCATCTTGGAATCCACAGATTTTTCCCATTACCAGTAAATAGAGTGGAACTTCCAGTGCAAAGGAAGATACTATAGAAGAAAAATATCAAATCTAATGGAACTCACGTGGCTGTTGACAAAACGAGGAGGAGGAGGAGGCCCATTGTAATGACTGGAGGGAGCACCAGCCTGATAAATAAGTAAATCAATTCTGTGAATGTCCTTTCAGATTATTTTAAAAAGTAAACCCCATAGACGCCAAGCCTTTGGATCTGCAAATGCATTAACCATCCAGACATATCACAGAGTAACATACATTAAAATGAGCAACTTAATTTTATCCTAAACAAAGAAGGAGCAAGAAAGAAATCTCTTAGGTGATGGAGAAATATACAAGAAAGGCCATTTTCCCACTAGTGATGTATGACCTCTCCAAGGCAACGTTGAAGTTATGTAACAGCTCTCAACATTAATGTTCCTTTGCCAAAGCTGAGATGGAATTACTTTGGAAGATGCTGTAAGTCACTGGATTTTAAATATGGTACCAAGATACCAGAGTAGTTAAGGTATCTGTATATATTGACCAATTGAACTTTATTTTTATGCCCTTCTTAAGAGAGACAGATTCTCAAGGCAGTCATTATCTGCTCAACTGACAACTTAGAGTCCATACATTTTGCCAGCATCTGGAATTAAGGATTGATTTGCAGTCCAAATGAAGATACCGAGGAAGAGGAAGCAACACAAAAATCATTATATATGAACATTAGATAATGGATGTTCTTATTAAAAATGGCATGTTCCCATATTTTGTGAAAGGGAAGGGAAATAAAGTAGAGAAATATCATATCCAAAAATGGTCCACTTTGTGAACAATATTGGTCCATTTCAAATACAGCCATTGCCAGCCAGCATGGCCATTGCTGAAAGTATGAGAATTAAAGTCTGGATTTGTGGAAGGTGCCTAGATTGGTGAGATGGGAACACATCGTACAAAGAAAGAAGTATCTCTATGTTTGGAAAAAAAGGTGAAAGTTCTGGAAGGTCTTCATTATTTCCTCCCGCTCATCTACAGTTTTAAAATATGGGTGCAAACAGCTCTCTTTAGGAATGATTGCAATGTATTGCCTTATTGAAGTATTTCTTTTAGGTCCTGCTTTGAAAAGACTGATCATCAAGGCAGTCATCGAGAGCTCATCTGACATCTTGGGAATCAACAGGTTTTCCCCAGGACCAGGAATTCATCATGAGATTCTGTCCAAAATAAGATACTACAGAAGTAAATAAATAAATAAATAATAAAGTAAATAAATCCTAACATGTCCCATCAGATTATTTCGAAATTTAAATATTATGGGAGCCAGACTCTTGGATCTTTTCATGCATTAAGTATCAAGATATATTACGAAGTAACATATGTGAATAAGAGCAACTTAATGCCCTATCCTGACTCTGTAAACTGCTTAGAGAGGGCTGTAAAACACTATGAAGTGATATATACGTCTAAGTGCTATTGATATTGATATTGCTGAATAAATTTATGGGAAGAAGGAGCAAGAAAGAAGTATATTATATAATGGAGAGACATGTAAGAAATGCCATTTGCCCACCAGTGACATAGAACCTCTCCATAGCAGCATTAAACCATTCTTAAAGTGATGTAAAATCTGTCCACATCTGAGTTCCTGCTGGGGTTGGATGACTCTGGGAGGTGCTGCAAGTCACCACAGTTTGAAAAAGATACCAAGTTACCACAGTAAGACAGTAGTCAAGGTATCTGTGTATATTGACCTACTGAATTATTTATTTTATGCCCTTCTTCTGGCAGATTGATTCTCAAGGCAGTCAGCATGAGCATAATTGACATCTTGGAATCAACAGATTTTTTTTCCCCAGTACTAGGAATTAATCTTGACTTCCTTTCCAAAGAAAGATTATACGGAAGAAGAAAATCCAGTCTTATAGAACTCACCTGGTTATTGCCAGGTTGAAATTGATTGTAAGGATAAGCGGAGACAACCTAATAAATAAATAAATAAATAAATAAATAAATAAATAAATAGACCTATGAATGTGCCTTCATATTATTTTAAAAGATGAACTTTGCAGAAGCTAAGCTCTTGTGTCAGTACATACATGTATCATTATGATATTTTGCAGAGTAACATATGTGAAAAACAGCAAGTTAATCTTTGCCCTAAACAAATTTATGGAAAGAAGGAGCAAGTAAGACGTCTGTAATGCAATGGAGAGATATATAAGAAAGGCCACCTCCCAACCAATTATGTATAATATCTCCATAGTATATTCAAACTGTTGTTGAAGTGATTTAAAATCTGTCCACAATTGTGTTGGGGATGGATGAGTCTAGAACAGAAGTCCTTAAACTACAGCCCTCGGGTCGCATGCAGCCCACAATGTGTTTTTATCTGGCCCTCCTCAACCTCCCAGGCAAACCATCCAATAGCAAGGAAAGGGTGGGTGGATGGTGGCGAGAGCCCCAGCCAATGACAGGATGGCAAGTTGGTGGGAGGAGATGTTTTTTTTTCCCGGTTTCTCCCTCGCATGCCCAAGTGCGCACTTGTGCTTCGGCCATGCCCCTTTCTTCTCCTTGAGTCTTCATGTTTTTACCTCAGGGCCGGGCTGAGAGATTTAGGCCTCGCTTGTAGCCTTGACCTCACTTAGGACAGCCAAGCCGGGCAATGATGATGCCACTGCTGCTGTTTCTTTTGAAGCGGGTCCCTTGCTAGGTGCTATGTAATACAAGCCCCACCCTCTGCCACTGTTGCCACTGCCACCATACCAGCCAAGAGAAAACTGGTGCTGCCGGCCCTCAACATCACCCCCACCATTGCTGAGGGACCAGCCCCACTAGCAGCGGCAAGGGCAACGGCTCCGAGTGTGTGGGCTTGATCCCCATGAGGGTCAGAGTGGGGCTGCTGGAGTGGGACACCAGTTATGGGTCTGAGGGGAGTGGGCGAAGGGCAAGGTATTTGGCGTCCGGGGTAATAATAATAATAATAGTAAAGTTGGAAGGGACCTTGGAGGTCATCTAGTAGGAGAATTTGCTCCTGGAAGATTATTTCAGTGTTGTAAGAGGTTGTGTGGAGCTGAGGCAATGAAAGGTCCAGAATGCCAATCAAGGAAAATATTTCTGGCTCAGGGTTAAAATGAAGGATCCTTGGGGGGGGGGGAGGGTCTCTGAGGATAGTGGTTTTCTTGCAGATGTTTCAGGACCCAAAGTTGAATAATAAGTGAACTGATGTTACCTAGTTTGGATCATGAGATGTCTGCAAGAAAGCCACCAAGCTCAGAGAGCACCAAGGACTCCACAGCCACCCTCCTTCTCTTCTTCTCCTCCTGCATTCCACAAACCCTCTCTCTTCTGGCATTGCTGATGTTACCTACTTTGGGTCATGAAACATCTGCAATAAATGCTGAATGGAAATGGCACCTTGCCTTTCTGACAGTTTCAGTCTACTCAACAGTTTCAATGTGCAACTTCAAGGAAAGGGGAAGCTCATCTGTGATATGCATTCACATGTGAAACATTTGAAGTAAAATTGGATATACTCATTAAACAAGTGAGGGAGGAAAACTTCTGCCATCTTCCCACAATTCAAAAACTCTTTGCGGAAAAACCAGCAGTTGCATTCCCAAACAAAACATGTGTGGATTCACTGGAAATGTTGTGTATTTTCTTCGCTTAAAAACTCATTCAAATAATCAACCAATTCATTTTTCTTGTTTCATTTTTTTCATTTTATACTTGATTTTATATTGTTCTGTAATCATTTTTTTTCAAACTATAGTCCAGCCCCCCAACAGTCTGAGGGACAATGAACTGGCCCCCTGTTTAAAAAGTTTGAGGACCCCTAGTCTAGAAGAAGCTATAAGTCACCTGAGTTTAAAAATGATGCCAAGATACAAGAGTAGTAGATGAGGGGGTCTGAATATATTGACCTATTGAGATATTCTTTTTATGCACTGTTTCTGGGAGATTGATCCTCAAGGCAGTCATCAGGAGCATAATTGCCATCTTGCAATCGACAGATTTTTCCCATTACCAATAAATAGTCTGGACTTGCAGTGCAAAGGAAGATACTTGGGAAGAATATCAAATCTAATGGAACTCACGTGACTGCTGGCGGGAGGAGGAGGAGGTGGTGGAGGAAGAGGCCCACTGTAATGATTAGCCTGATAAATAAGTAAATCAATTATGTAAATGTCCTTTCAGATTGTTTTAAAACATAAATGCATTAACCACCCAGATATATTCCAGAGAGACATATCTTAAAGTGAGCAACTTAATTTTTGCCCTAAACAAATTTCTGAGAAGAAGGAGCAAGAAAGAAGTTATGGGATGGAGAGAGATGTAAGAAAAGACATTTTCCCACCAGTGATGTATAACCTCTCCGAGCCATTGTGAAAGTTATGTAAGAGCTCTCAAGCTTAATGTTCCTTTGGCCAAGCTGAGGACCCAAAGGGATGGCTTTGGAAGATGCTGTAGTCAAGGTGTCTGAATATACTGACCTATTGAAACTTTTCTTTTATACCCTTCTCAAGAGAGACAGATTCTCAAGACAGTGATCATTAGCTCAACTAACAACTTGGAATCCATACATTTTGCCAGGAGCTTAAATGCCATTTAAGAAATGCCATTTCCCACAAGAATATCTTCATAGTAGTATCAAGCCATTGTTGAAGTGATGCAAACTTTCCTTTGGCAAAGCTGAGGTTGGATGACTCTAGAACAGGGGTCCTCAACCTTGGCAATTTTAAGAGTTGTGGACTTCAACTCCCAGAATTCCTCAGCCAGCAAAGCTGGCTGAGGAATTCTGGGACTTGAAGTCCACAACTCTTAAAGTTGCCAAGGTTGAGAATCCCTGCTCTAGAAGATGTAATAGTCACCAGAGTTTAAAAATGACACCAAGATACCAGAGTATGGCAGTAATCAAGATGTCTGTATATATTGAATTCTTGAGATATTTCTTGTATGCCCTGCTTCTGAAAGACTGATCTTCAAGGCATTCATCAGGAGCTCAACTGGCATCTTTGAATCAACAGATTTTCCCCAGTACCAGGAATTAGTCTTGACTTCCTCTCCAAAGGAAGATTATAGGGAAGCAGAAAATCCAGTCTTATGCAACTCACCTGGCTGTAGTAAGGATAAGGACGTTGGTCAGATTGAACACCAAACTAATAAAAAAGTAAATAGATTGTTTGAATATCACCTTCAGACTATTTTAAAATTTAAACCTCACGGAAGCCAAGCTCTTGGCTCTGTGAATGCAGTAAGCATAAAGACATATTACAGTGTAAATATGTTATCTAAATGGCTAAACTGCTTCTTTTACGTGGGAGCAAAAAATCAGCCCATAATGTGATAGAGATACATATAACAAAGATCCTTTTCTCACTAGCAATGTATAGCTTCTCCATAGTATCTCCAATATTAGAGTTACTAATCTCATTTGTTTCCCAAAATCCATAGTAAAGGAAGCCCAGCAGCCATATTGAAGCCCATGAATGTAATTGGAAGTATTGCCACATAATTCCATTTGTATTACTTTAAGCAACAAACTCTTTAGTGTAACCATAAAAAATGAGAGGCCTATCACAGAGCTAACCCTGATTGACTTGATTTGAAATCATTGCACAGAGCTAAATGCATAGAAAGCATTGGGAATTTTTATCCTCTACAAGAGTTTCAGATTTGGGCCCTGTCAAAAGAAAAATCTGCATTTCCATCATTCCTCCAGCAATCTGAACTGTCAAGAAAGGCTTTTATGAATGATTAGCTGCATTTGGCTAAACACAAATTAGGATCCAGTATGACTGTGGTTCTAGATTCTATGGAGAGTCTAAATTGTAGTCTAATGAAGTGATACATAATGGTTGAAATTAATACAGAAGAGGGAAGTGGTAATTGAAATCACTGTAACCTTCGTAACTAAGATTTTAGAGAAATAAAAACTGCATTTTAGCTATTCTATTTGACCTGGGGAGCTTCTCACTTTTGATGAAGTGAAGCAGCTCTTCCAGGAGGCAGGAAGTGAAGGCCATTCTCTGCCTTTCCTGGTCCAGTCCCTTATGGTGTCTTCTTCACCTTAACAATAGCATTCCTGATAGCGGCAGCAGATATAAATGTTTTGGGAAGGAGGGACACAAGGAGAAAAAGAACATTGTGATTCCTGTATACCAGGGGTCCTCAACGTTGGCAACTTTAAGACTTGTGGACTTCAACTCCCAGAATTCTGGGAGTTAAAGTCCACAAATCTTAAAGTTGCCAAGGTTGAGGACCCCTGCTGTATACCCTCTTGCTCCTGGATATTGCTTAACAAGTACTCTGAAGTTTCTCTTAGCAGCCAAACCATGTTGGCTATTCCCAGAACTATACACCTTTTTATTCCTGAAATTAAAAACTGCCACATGGCTTCTGAGTTCATTAATTTAGTTTCCAACAGTTCTTCTTCCCTAAAAAGCCCTTCAGCATTCATCTGAACAAACAAACCATTGCAATATGTTCAAAATTTCCCCTGAGACTTACCCATTTCTTGAACGTATCCTAATGTAAGAAAGAAAAACTTCCAGAGTTATTTAGAACTGTGTTTTCCTCCACTTCTCCTTCAAATAGGAGAAATGAAGCCATTGTTTCTATTACCTAACACTCCCTTATTTCTCTAGGAACCAATAAAAATTAAAGTTGTTTTTCAGGAAAAGAACTACAGAGTTTGCTTGGCAATATTATGGAAGAGATTTCCCACTGAAGCATGTATCCCTGATATTCACTCATCCAAATTCTAAACAAGGCTAACCTTGCTTAGCTTAATATGTTGTGGTTATTATTTTAAATCCTAGTAGGTTTTATATTTGTGTAATATAAAATTAAGAGAGCTATTTACACCAGGTGTATTATAGCTCAATGCTATCTGTGAATCAGACCAATATCTCTTCACTATGGGGCAATGCTTGGAATTAACCTTAATGCTTCTATTTAGATACATTATTTCAAATGTTCCGCTTGCATTTGTATTTAGTAAACTAAGGTAAGAGAGAAGGAATTATTCAGATTTCAACATGAATCTCTCTGTTCCACTTTATCTGTAGCTCTATTGACATCCACTCTGCCAGAATGAATGAATGCAAAAATTAATGAATGAACACTATTGTAGATAAAATGCAGCAGTGTTAAACTAAGCCAGACTAAAACAAAGACAGCATCACCCAGCATCAATAGAAAAATGATACAATAAGATTTGAACTGGATCTCTCTGTGCCAAGTTTTTTGTCTGGTCCAGAAAGCAGTAAATGATAATAAATATTTCCATATACTTACACCCATCATATTTAGCTACAAAAAACAAACAAACAAAATATTTAGAAAGGATTTTTCACTCTTGTTTAAGTGCTACAAGCTGAAAACAACTTTTTAAAGATGGAGGATTCCCAATCTTTTTAACACATTTCATATTTCCGCCTGAAACAGTTGCTAAATGATGTTTACTTGCATAGGCTTGTCTAAATTTAGCAACATTAAATATATTTAAGCAATTTTTCTTTAATAGCTAATTTCAGGAATGAGATCTGAAAAAGTCCTGGTGCTTCCAGAGAGAGAACTCCTAACGATGTGAAACAAAAAGGATGCCATAGTCTTTTTAATATTATTTTACACATATATGAGAAAAGATGGAAGAAATTATGAGAAAGCACCAGAGATGTATTATTGATGGAACCTCCATATAAGTTTGTAAATCAAGCAGAGCAATTGCTCAATGAAATCTTGAGTTGGATGTACTGACTCAATGCCTCTTGGCATCTATATTATATTATGTTATGTTATGTTAAGTTATGTTATGTTATGTTATGTTATGCTATGCTATGCTATGCTATGCTATATTATATTATTATTATATTATATTATTATATTATATTATTTATCCCTTTATTTTACCTGCCACGAAAGAAAATAATTGGATCCATCAAAATATTTCAAATATTTTTGAAAAAAGGGCTCTACAAGTGCAGAGTATGGGCAAATCCTTTTACAATTAAAGACTTTGCATTAACTGATTTATGTGAAGAAACCAGATATTTTTTAAATTTGAAAATTTTTAGCTTTAGGATAAAGTGTCCTCTCTTCCCAAGCACTTTTTTGTGATTTTACCCCTAGTAGTTTTTGTTTATTATTCCCAGTTCATTCATTGATATAATTCACTGTATCAGTTTGTACCATGGAGGAGAACATGTAGCCCATTATTCATTTCTTATAACCTCTTGTCTCACTACTGGACACTGAATCAGGAAAAGAAAGGACTTACTGAATCCCCTAGAACTGAAGACATCTATGAAAGAGAAGATATTAATTAATCAAAAGAAAATCTAACCCAATTTACTTTACTCAGTCCCGGTTACCTTGCTATGTTCAGATTAAGCAACTATATAATACCTCCCAGTCTGTGGCTAGAATCACCAAACCTGCTTCTTCTAATTAAAGACAGCAAGAGTCTGACACAGACACAGACACAGACACACACACACACACACACACACACACAGAGAGAGAGAGAGAGAGAGAGAGAGAGAGAGAGACCATTCCCATTCAGTCTATTGAGAAAGGGAATTGTTATCCTCTCCATAGCCCTCTAATTTTTCCTGTTCCTCCTATCAGTCTTGCCTCAAAATCCAGGTTTTGCAAGATCTGGGGAGAAACTTCACCTGACAGCTAGAAAGAGGGTTCACCTCTCTCCCTGAGACTTCCCTCAGAAGGATGTTCAGAAGGTTATGTGAATAATTAAAAACTTAGACCAATTTTATTCAGGGCCGCATCAGCATTGTGGTTGCCCTCGAGGGGCTGGGGGGCTGTGGCCAGGATGGGTGCGGCCGACTGGGTGGGTGTGGATGGAGTGGGTGTGGCCTACTGGGTGGGCATGGCCAGTTCTATATCATTCACATCAAGGGTGCCTGTGGGGGCCTGGGCAGGAGTGGGACAGATCTGAGGGTCTCTGGCAGAAGGGGATGGGACCAGGGCAAGCGCCAAGGCATGGTCCACTAGAGGAGCCTCACTTCCTGCTGAAACCCTTCTGCTGGAGCCCATCAAGCCAGATTCCTCACAAAGGGTGACACCTCCCCAGCATGCACCCAGGGGTGAGACTGAAGTGGCAGGGGCTGGTTCCTCGCTGTTTCCAGATGGCCTTGTGGAGCTAAGACTGAATGGGTTTCAGCATAGATGGCCACCACAAAATTGTATATTGGCTCCCGGCTGGCTTGGTCCAGGGCCAAGGCAGTGGGGGCCGTTCCCTCACTGTTTCCAGGATGGCTTCGCGGGCCACATGAAACCACTTTGCAGGCCGCATCTGGTCCCCAGGCCTTGTGTTTGACATGTCTGACTTAGACCAATGAAAGCAAAATGAGTCCACCAGAGCTTGAGCAAGGGAGGCAGTTGAGAGAAAACTAGGTATTGCTGAAGTCAGACAGATTTTAGGAATTTGCAGGAAAAAAACAACAACATGGCTTCACATTGCAATGAACTTTGTCTTTATTATTTCACCTTTTGAGCAGGTGATAAAAGAATGGATATCTGCAGGGAGAGGTTCGGAAGAGTCAGGATGTCAGCTGCTATCAAAGCTTTACCATTATGTCAGCCATCTCCTGACTTTTTTTAGTTCTAATCTTTCTCCTGCTTTTTATGGTTTCCCTCTCATGCTTTGCTTATTTTTTATGCTACAATTCTATATTCAGTGCCTACATTGGCTGGATTTTGAGATCTTTGATTTGGTTACTGCTTTAACATATTTTCTGGTTTGCGCAATATGTTGAACAATGAAGCAAGCAATTGGATTGTGTTCACTCAAAGCACTACATTATATAACGAAGAATGATAATTAGTCAATATTTAACCCAAAAAAAACCTCACCTCATACAGCTCAGCTTTTACCTGACCTGGTTAATCATGTTGTGTGAACTTAGTCTAATAAGACATGCATATGATTATACTCATTATGAGCACATACCCTTAAAGCCATGAGGCAAAAGAAATAAAGATAAAGATAAATATATAGATAAAAGTCTATAAATATTATAATCTGCTTCTGCATGAGAAATTAAAAATGATAAACATCCAGACGCTATGCTTGGAAGCTATTTTGCTTCAAATGTAAAATACTTTTCTGTCAGTCTTAAACCTGAAAAAGCCTGGAAACTGCAATTTAAAATCACCTAATTTAGGGAAAGGGCAAGGATGAGTAGCCTACACAACTTCACAACCACAGAAGTAGGTACACATGAAGAGTATGATGCTGAAAGAAAAACCACACACAAACCCAATGCTATCATTATAATTTGAAAGAATTATTCCATCTTTTGTAATGCAGTTAACCCATATCGCTGCCTATGTCTCCCCAAAACCTTGATCTCCCCAACCCTCAAGGACTACTCTTCACAGAACACCTACCCCAGATTTGGGAACAGGACTGAATGGGACCCTATGATTTTCAGGGCCGGATAATTGGGGGGGGGATCTTTCAAATGGGTACAATATAAGCAGGTAAAGTTATACTCACTGTTGACATCATGTCACTGAAAAATGACTGCAGAAAGAAGAAAAACATGGATTTCTTTCTTGGTGAAATAGTTTTAACAGACATTTAAATGGTATAAAATGCACACTTACATTCTCTCTCTTATAAGCGTATACATGGGTCTATGTGCACTCAAATCTTTCTTATATTTCAGTTATATTCATATACAGACATACATACACATAGACATATACACCTAACTGTGAAGAGACAAAGAATTTTAATCTAATGCACCTTAAAAAGCAGGCAAACTTTGATCACACCGTCATGGTGTCCATCTCAATCTTCTTTGACTATGCCCTGTGGATATTATTAATACTGACCAATCACTGTTCAGTTTTCCTAGCAATTATCTTAACCCACAATCCTTTAGGATAGAAGTACAATGGTACCTGAGTACTCATTGGTAATTCATTCCAGAAGATGCGACAAATACTAAAACTGACGGGTACCGGAAAAAAAATATGACCTACCACTTGACCCCCTATTTTGGCCAGAAGAAATAGTAAGTCACAAAGCAACAGACACCAGCAAGTTCTTCCTTGCGTGTCAATCACTGGCAGAAAGATGAGTGCCAGGACAAGATTTCTGCTTCAAAACACATTGAATAGCGAATTCGACGAGTTTTGAAGCAGTGGAATGCTGAGGCATGATTTAATGGAAACAGAATTTGGAAATCTCAGACTATAAGCAGTATGCCTATTCCTCAACAAATACAAAGAATATCAGACAAAGTATAGACAAAGACTATACTTACAGATTGACGTGGAGGGTTCTGTGGATTAGGCTTCCCATAATAAGTACCCACACTGTAACTATTGTAACCCTACAGAAATTCAAAGATATATTACAAATCAGAACTTTCTGCGACAAAGAGAATGGAAGAGTCTGGTAGATAATTCTAAACAGACCCACAATTAAATCCACACATATGGATGATCTTCCTATGCAAGGCTGTCATACATCCCAGATAATACTAGTAAATAATGTTTAGATCCTGCATTTTCCCTGAAAGCTGGGGTTTTGCCTAATTTTATCCTGACAATAACTCTGAGAAAAGTTGCTATAGATAATCTTTTTTAAAGGACTGCCTCAGACAACAAGTTGCAGCAGTTACGAAAAAGTAACTTTGCGACCAACATCTGCATCTAAAAACTTCAAACAAAATGATGGCTACCTGTACTAATTTTCAAATTTTGTTTTTTTAAAAGTGGTTTTTGGTATAAAATCCTGCAGCAGCAAGGAGTGTAGTGAGGATATCACATAGCTCTGCCTTCCCTTTCTCTCTCCCTGCTTCACTTCGATCGCTGCTCTTCATAGTATGTCTATCAAAGATTTGGGAACACTATTTGGGAACACTACCTCCTGAATGCCGGAGTCTAAAGTTCTGAAAATCTGGACACCCATGTTTCTCCTAAAATGAGCAATGCATGGGTGAGAAATCCCCTATGAAGGAAGAGGGGTTTCCTCTCAAAATGGGTACCATATGAGCAGACAAATTTTATACTCACTTCTGGGCGAGGATAGCTGACTTGGGCAGCAACATATGGCCCCTGTAGAAAGAAGAAAAATATGAACTTTTTACTTGATTTAATTCTTTGTGGCATGTATAAGCTACAATTTCGGATTAAGGCCATCAAACCAGGAAGCAAAGTTAAATGTAAAAGACAATACTTTTTTCTATATTTGAAAATGATGTATTATCTATCTATCTATCTATCTATCTATCTATCTATCTATCTATCTATCTATCTATCCATACCTGTTAACCTTTTTAGAAGTTTATTTAATAATTTATATATCAATTAATAAATAAATCATGGCTTGGTACTGGGTTATTTGAGGGATTGTCTCTTGCCGGTCATATCCATCGTTAACACACTAGAGTGGGGAAGCAAGGAATGTTATGAGTCCTGTCCCCTATATAGCTATATCTGGTGGGACCCAGAAGAAGGGCCTTCTTTGTGGTGGCTCTCTCCCTTTGGAATATCATCCCTTCAGAAATTAGACTTGCCCTCACTTTGACATTATTTTGTAAGGCCCTGAAGATTTGGTTTTGCCAACAGGCTTGGAGAACCCAGAGTGGGATGGAGCCCATCAAGTGACTCATTTGACTGTGTGTTGTCACAACAAGGGTGGGGGGTTGTTTTTTATTTTTTTATACTGGGTTTTTACTGATTTTTGTGAGCCAGCCTGAGTCACTGTGAGTGGGCGGCCATATAAATCTCCCAGATAAATAAATATGTATATGTTTGAAATAATGAAAAGATACACAAAACCTGCATTGTACAATCCCAAATGTATCTATGTGCATAATATTTCTTCCCATAAAATCTTCTGACAAGGAGCATTTTTTAACAAAGCCTTAATGTTCAAGCTTTATAAGGTCTTTTATAAGCTCTCTTAAGTATCTGACTGAAATAGCAAATAACTCTGGAATCGATTCCTTTCTTGTAATTTCACAAGATGTTGCTTGATTTTAGAATATGATACAATTTCTAAGTATATATAGAGAATGCCCTAAATAAATACACTTCCGCAGTAAATAAAATAGAGACCAGCAACTTTAAAGTGGATGAAAGAATTGTTTTGAATCACCCACTTGATCACTGGCTCTTTCAGACACAAGGGGAGGAATGTTGACCAGTTTTTCTAGCTGTTGTCTTAAACCAAGAGACCTCCTAAGTGAAAAATATTTAAAACCTTCTATTCTTCAAAAAAAAAAAGGGGGGGGTGGGCTGGGTTGTAGTAAATAAGGAATGAAGGGAAAAGAGGAAAATAACATATTGTACTTACAGATTCGGGGAGCTGTGGATTATAGTTTTTGGGAACATTGTAGTCATGGGACCCAGGATACCCCTTTAGAAATACGAAAATACATTGACACACCTGTTCTTTTTCCAACAAAGAGAGGGGAGTGTCTGGGAGGGGATTCAGAGAAGCCCACCTATGGTTCACCTCAATGTCATTTGTATGAGAGTGAAGTTCTGAAACTCTGGGCAGCTGTGTTTCTCCTAAAATGGTCAAGGCATGGGTGAGACATCTCCTGTGAATAAAACTAATGATTTCCTTCAGGATTAGTTCCAACAGTGATGGGCCTTTGGGTGAGCAAGCTGTGAAGCTCAGTTGTGTCACATTGGAAGATGGATAAAATTTGACCAACTGGCTGCTTCTTTATCACTGTGTAATCTCTTTTGCCAGCTTGCCCAGATTTCTGACAGTAATCAGAAATCTCAAAGTGCATTAAAACAAGAAACTCTTTTACTTATCGGAGGATTAAGAATATGATTCTGTAAGGGAAAAATAATAATCACCAATTACTTAATTCTGTTTTAGCCTGACACATACACAGTCACACTGCAATAAACCTATTGATGGAAGGAAACCGAGGGATGGATGGGCTTGAAAACTGTTAGAGGGAATCATGGCTTGGCTTTCCAGTTGTTCGGAAGCTAAAACCAGACAAAACACATTTTTACACAATGTGTGACTAATTTATTTTGTTGGAAGTTATAAAACTCTTTGTTAACTTATGCAAAGAAGCTTCCCATCAGAATAGAATCATTGCTTTGAATTCAGATAATTAGTCTAATTAAATACTTGAAATCACTTTAAAATTGTGTGATCCATGTAGACTGTCCAATTTGATTCCATTTAGATAAGCATTTGCATAGGGTAAAACTAGATCTCCTCAGTAAAAGTTTACCAAATCCCTATTTATTATGTCTAAGATTTTGGTAGGATCCAAGAGTGAGCAGTTTAGTCTTGGATTAACCCACAGGATTTGAGCCACAGAGGTGTGTTTACCTCCTCACAAGTTAGTTTTCCTAAAATTCTGGTTTCATCTCACCTGGGCATCTGTTTTGAGCACAGAAATCAACAAGGCAGCACCCACGAAGGACAGCATTATTCTCAGCTTGAGGTTTCTTTGCTGAGATGAGAAAGTGCCCTAACTACAAATGTGTGGATTGAGGATGGGTCTTTATTGATGTATCAGCAGACTGCCAGACTGCCCAAACTGAAAGCAGCAATTGATGATGCCTTCAAATTACCTTATCAGCTAGGAAAGGTTAGAAGGATTTGTTCATTACATGGAAGGTTCTAGTGCCAATTGAAACATTCCTCTATCCTCTCTATCATTTTTCTGAGAATGACTTGATTTCAAAGAAGATAATGATGAAATATCACCCTCTAATTTATCTAATGGCAAGTGAAGTGGAAAGTTTCTGAAAGGTCATTTGTGGTTTCAAACCTTTTTTCCTGTTTTGACATCTTTCAATTATCTTTCTTTAGTCGTATGTAATTTGATGATCTCATCTTAGTTCCTTTGATTTCTTTTTATTCTCTGTGAGTGGAAGGGTTTGAAAGGAATGAGATAGCATCTTTTAAATAGCTGGGCTTCAGTATGGATTACTGTTCTGAGAAAATTAAAAATATTTAAAAGGGATATGAAAAGACTAACTGTGCTGTTTGAAAAGCCAGATTCAGAGCTTTGATTGATTGATTGATTGATTGATTGATTGATTATGTGCCATCAAGCAAGCCACATAGGTAGATTTATCTCAGCCACATAGTCAGATTTATAGACTCCTCCAGGATAATTCTCCCTAACCTGGTTCTTCAAGTCTTATAATGTGGCACTCATCAACATTGAAACCAAGTCTATTCACCTTGGTGCTGGTCTCCTATTTTTCTTTCTTTTCACAATTCCCAGGATTATATGTAAATCTTCGCATATGCCTGAAGTAGAATAATTTGAATGTAATAATTTGTTCAAACAGGTCAGTCCTAGAGTAGATCAACTCTGACTGCTCTTTAGAAGACCAGATCCTGAAGTTGAAACTCAAGTACTTTGGCCATCTAATGAGAAGGAAGGACTCACTGGAGAAGGGCCTAATGCTGGAAAAGATTGAGGGCAATAGAAGAAGGGGACGACAGAGAATGAGGTGGCTGGATGGAGTCACTGAAGCAGGAGGCGTGAACTTAAATGGACTCCAGCAGATGGTAGAGGACAGGAAGGCCTGGAGGAACGTTGTCCATGGGGTCGCGATGGGTCGGACACAACTTCGCAACTAACAACAACAACAAATAATTTGTGCCTCAAATGAGAATTATGGTTTGATTTCTTGGATAATCCATTTGTCTGTTTTCTTGGCTGTCTATGGTATTCTCAGGTTTTCTCCCAGGCCGACCGTCAAAAGTGTCAAGACTCTTCCTATCCTGATTTTTCAAAATTCAGTTTTTACTTCCATAGAATATCACACTGTCTGCATGGTTCTGATCCTTTGCAGGTATGGATAACAGAAGTATCTTTTCCACTATTACTATACCAAGTGCTAGGCTGTGGTATATTTCTTGAATGCTAAATGTTTTTTTTTCGCTCCTTATTTACTTTGTTTGAGACAGCAGGCAAACATGGCTCCTGGGTTATAAAATACACAGAATCAAACTTTGAACAAATAAAGTTCAAAAGGAAAATAATACTGGTGAAGAAATAAAAGTGAAATGGTTTAACTGACATGATTTTATTTATTTTTTAAAAAAAATAATGTATTAAATAGCTTTATGGCTCATTCTGATACCAGAACGAAGTCACTCTACAGAGTTACTAACTGAACTGCTGTGTAATATTTCCACTTCTCACTTTTGCCTTTTGTTTTGTTTTTGACTATGACACTATGAAATTATTTATTATGCAATGTTATTTCATTCAGTTCACTTTCTTGATGGAAGTGTACACCATGCTGTAAAGCAAAAGGTAACTGGATGCTAGTGCTTGTATCCTACAGAAATTTATTAAATCTATAAGTGGGAAAGGAAAAGCAAGTAGAGAAATTGTTCTTTGCCTGGACCTTGATGATTAAATGAATGGTATAATGTAGCAATTCCTGGGAAATAGATGGGGAAGAAATGGAGGTAGTGACAGATTTTATCTTTCTGGGCTCCAAGATCACCGCAGATGGGGACTGCAACCAAGAAATTAAAAAATGCTTGCTCCTGGGGAGAAAAGCTATGGCAAATCTAGACAGCATACTAAAAAGCAGAGACATCACCCTGCCAACAAAAGTGCGTATAATCAAGGCCATGGTTTTCCCAGTTGCAATATATTGCTGTGAAAGTTGGACCATAAGAAAGGCTGAGCGCCAAAGAATTGAGGCCTTTGAACTATGGTGCTGGAGAAGACTCCTGCGAGTCCCTTGGACTGCAAGGTGATCAAATTGCTCATTCCTAGAGGAGATCAACCCCGACTGCTCTTTAGAAGGCCAGATCCTGAAGTTGAAACTCAAGTACTTTGGCCACCTAATGAGAAGGAAGGACTCACTGGAGAAGAGCCTGATGCTTGGAAAGATGGAGGGCAATAGAAGAAGGGGACGACAGAGAATGAGGTGGCTGGATGGAGTCACTGAAGCAGTAGGCGTGAGCTTCAATGGACTCCAGAAGATGGTAGAGGACAGGAAGGCCTGGAGGAACATTGTCCATGGGGTCGCGATGGGTCGGACACGACTTTGCAACTAACAACATAATGTAGCAAATATTGTTTGCATTGGCTAGGAAAAAATGGATGGAAAGAGAGACAATTGAGACGTGGCACACAGGACACAGACCTCCACAGGACGTTTTGCAGAGAACTCCACATGCCAAAAATGATACCAGAGAAAATTAGCTTGTTTAGGTGCACTTAAATTGCATTTACAAAACACACTTAGTCAAGTTAAAGGTTTGGCATCTGACATTATACCCTGTGTTGAGGACAACAAGTTTTCACTTTAAGGTTTGAGGGTTTTTTTGTTTTGCTTTGTTTTGTTTTAGCATGTATAGCAGGGCAAATCCAGTTTATGTGATTTCTTTCCGATTCAATTCAACATGCAAATCAGTCTTATCATATCCTATCACTCTGATATCAAAGGAGGCAAAAGCAGTTTACAATTTGGAACTTCTTAAGGAATTCAAGATAACTTTGGGAACATTGCTAAGCATTTATTAAGCCTGTTAGAGACTGGAAATGGTGGGATTCAAATAGGTGAACAACCAGTTCTCTGCGTGGATGCCACTTCCAGAAGTCCATTCTGGGAATCAAAAAATTAGCTACCGGCTCTGCTGAAGTGGTGCCAACCAGCTGAATCCCACCACTGGAAATGTGGGATAAATATGCGTCTGGCATTAAATTCAAAATATGTTTAAATGATGGGTTTCTGGTCATGTTTTTATATATCAGAATAAACCAAGCATTGATGTGGCCTGAACTTCATTATAATATTGGGAAAATGGTAATCTTCAGAGCAAAATGATAAAGATAATACTCAGTGATATTGCTGCATGTATTTTTTTGTAAATGTTTATTCTTGTAGAATAACCAATGTTCACAATTACAAGAAAATACCCCCAAATTAACAGAAAGAAATTTGTTTGCTGGAGTCCTTCTCAGAAGAAAGTTGCACTTTGGTCTTTGATTAGGAAGAAATTATGGAAGTCAGAAAGAGAAAATGTGGGAGGGGGCTCTGGATTTTCCTCTCAGCAATTTTATTCTGGCTGGATCTAGAAAAAAAAGTCAAAAGTGAAAGTGAAATATTTGGCATAAAAGAGTATGCAACTGACTGCCATCATCTCTTATACTAGGGGTGTCAAACTCAATTTCATTGAGGGCCGCATCAGCATTGCAATTGCCCTCGGGGGGCCGGGTGGGTGCAACCTACTGGGTGGGCATGGATGGAGTGGGTGTGGCCTACTGGGTGGGCATGGCCAGCTCTACATCGTTTGCGTCAAGGGTGACTGTGGGGTCCTGAGCAGGAATGGGACAAATCTGAGGGTCTCTGGCAGAAGGGAGTGGGACCGGGGCAAGCGCCAAAGCATGGTCCATTTCTTCATTCCTCACAAAGGGTGACACCTCCCCAGCATGCACCCGGGGGGGCGATGTGAAAGGGACTGGTTCCTTGCTGTTTCTAGAAGCCTTGTGGAACTAAGACTGAATGCATTTCAGCATAGATGGCCACCACAAAATTTTGCATTGGCTCCCGGCAGGCCTGGGCCAGGGCCAAAGCAGAGGGGGCCGTTCCCTCAGTGTTTCCAGGATGGCTTTGCAGGCTACATGAAACCACTTTGCGGGCCGCATCCTGCCCCCGGGCCTTGTGTTTGACATGTCTGTCTTATACTGAGGCAGCTAATATTTCAGAATTCTGCCTTCAGAATTCCTCCCTTTACTCTTCATCATAAGGGCCCCCAATAATCTACTATTCGTATTTGTCATAAAGTCCCAGGAGAAATCTGAAAAATATAAATCTGTACCACAGCAAAAAGTATCTTTCATACTCACTTGCATACATTTTCCTAGTTATATGCTTTGATTTTGATTTCCTGGAAAAATAAAAACAAAAGAAGGGAAGGGGAGGGGAGGGGAGAGGAGAGGAGAGAAGAAGAGAAGAAAAGAGGAAGAAGAAAAGGAAGAGGAAGAGGAAGAGAAGAAGAGAAATGCTTGTTCTATTACTATTCCTATTACTGGGAAAAAATATTGTTTTATTTATAACCAGCATATGGATATCAGCATATAACGCTTAAAAACAAAATGATATGATAGCAGTGTTCCAATATCTCAGGGGTTGCCACAAAGAAGAGGGAGTTAAACTATTCTCCAAAGCACCTGAAGGTAGGACAAGAAGCAACGGATGGAAACTAATCAAGGAGAGAAGCAACCTGGAACTAAGGAGAAACTTCCTGACAGAACAATTAAACAGTGGAACAAACTGCCTCCAGAAGCAGTGACTGCTCCAACACTGGAAGTTTTTAAGAAGAGACTGGACAACCATTTGTCTGAAATGGTATAGGTTTCCTCCTGAGCAGGGTGTTGGACTAGATGACCTTCAAGGTCTCTTCCAACTTTATTATTATTATTATGGATCATCGCACAGTCAGCCAGATGTTCAGACTGAATTTGGCATTTTGTCTACCTATCGAGTCCTTACCCAGGACCTGGGATAGGCAGATGTGGATGTTTGATGGTATTACAGATATCGTCGCAGGATGGAAGCAGTTCCTAGTAAGGCCGCCTTTTGCAATTGACTAATAGGAATTTGTCAATGCCAATGGTGTTCAAGTGGTGCTCCAGTTGTTTTGGGATTGCACCCAAGGAGCCTATGACTATTGGTACTACCCTTGCTTGCTTTTGCCACAGTCTTTCTATTTCTATTTGTAGGTCTTTGTATTTTGTTATCTTCTCCAGTTCTTTCTCTTCTATTCTGCTATCTCCAGGCACTGCCACGTCCACTATCCAGACTTTTTTGTCTTTCTTATCGACAATTGTTAAGTCTGGGGTGTTATGTTGCAGGTGCTTGTCTGTTTGAATTCTGAAGTCCCAGAGCAGTTTAATTTTATCATTTTCTATGACTTTCTCTATTTTATGATCCCACCAGTTTTTGCTTACAGGCAAATGATATTTTTTGCAGATCTTCCAATGCACCATTGTTGCTACTTTGTCATGCCGCTGCTTGTAGTCAGTCTGTGCAATCTTCTTGCAACAGCTTACCAAGTGGTCCACTGTTTCTTCAGCTTCTTTGCATAGGCGGCACTTACTGTCTGTTGCTGTCTTCTCAATTTTGACTTTATATGCATTTGTCCTTGAGGCTTGGTCTTGTGCAGCCAGAATTAGTCCCTCGGTCTCTTTCTTCAATTTTCCTGCTCTTAGCCATTGCCAGGTCTTGTTATCATCTGCTTTCCCAGCTATTTTTTTAATGTATTGGCTATGTAGTGCTTTGTCTTCCCATGTCTCTATTCTGTTCTTCATTTGGTCTTTCTTGTAGGCCAGTTTGGTCTCTCCAGTAGTCAGTAAGCCTTCCTGATATACTAATTTCAGTGCATTTTCATCATTGTTCTTCAGATATTCTTCCAAAGCTATTTTTTCTTCTTCAAATGTGTGATGTACTTGTAGCATTCCACGCCCACCTATTTGCCTTGGTAGATAAAGTCTGTCAATGTCACTGCGTGGATGAAGGGCATGATTCATTGTCATTATTTTTCTGGTCTTCCTATCCATTGCTTTTAGTTCTGCTTGAGTCCAGTCCACTATTCCAGCTGTGTACCTAATGACTGGGATTGCACAGGTGTTGATTTATTATTATTATTACTATTATTATTATTGTTATTATTATTACTATTATTATTATTATTATTACTATTATTATTATTATTAAAATATCCTTGTACTGTTTGGAACCACTAGAATGGCAAACTCTAATGGTGCAAGATTGAAAAGTGGTCCATGTTGTGTACCACCTAAAAAATGGGCTAGAGACTTAGCTTCAAAAAGCTTGATGGCTGCAGGTACATATTGAACTCCACTGGTATAAAATCTTAAAATAGCTGCTGCGCTCCTATGTGCATTCTGTGAAGTGTAGTTGACATGAGCCCTTTTATGTCCATTAGTCTGAAAGATTACCCCCAGATATCAAAAGCATTGCACCCGTTCAATTGAATGGTTCTTAAATGATCTGTGTACAACTTTTAAAGCAATTTGGAAATGCCATTATTTTAGTTTTAAAGTAATTGATTTCCAACTGGTTGTCTTTGCGATCATGTCCAAAGCTTTCAAAGATTATATGCATCACTTGCATATAGCTCCTCCAGCAAAATCTTCTTCCCAATTTCAAAGGGATAAAATTGGCCTCCAAGAATTGGCACCCTTTGATAGTTACCTTTAGAGGCAGAAGTCTTTTCGCCAGAGTGACCAGGTGTTCCAGAGGCAGCTGACCCAGGTTCTCCAGAGGCAGGCACTGTGGAATTACCAGGGAGTTTAACACCAGATGAAACAGAGGTGGCCGGGGCAGGTTGTGGAGCAGGGCCAGCAGAATATTGAGGACTAGGAAGAGCAGCGGTGACAGACTTATTTTGTGTATGGGCAGCAGGCAAGATCTGTGTAGACAAAGGTTGTGCAAAGGGAACTGAACCATGGTAGCTTTCCATGACAGGATTGGGTGAATTCCCATAGTTAGATTGTTGCTACAGAACAGAAATGGAGCAAAAATGCAAGATATAGTCACTGATCTCATTTATTTCCACATTCCTCATTAACAGGTATCCACCAACCATACTGAAGCCAATGAGTGTATCTCCTTCCACTGGCTATACTGCAGAGGCAGGTGACAGTTTTCTGCTATCCCAGGACATGTCTTCCTACTGTGATTCCCACCAGCATTACGATCCTATGACCCTGATTTGAACTTTTGGTAAGCTGCCCTATCACATGATCACATTTGGGGCACTCAGCAACCGGCCTACATTTATTTAATTTTAATTTTATTTAGTTATTTCTATTCTGCTTTTATTACTTGTACAAATAATTCAATAAATAATAAGGTGTGTTGATTAAGCAGAACCTATCCAATATACCTTCCTCCTCCTATTTTCCCCACAACAACAACCTTGTGAGGTGACTTAGGCTGAGGGAAAGTGACTGGTCCAAAGTCACCCAGATGTCTTTCATGACTAAAGTGGGACTTGAACTCAGAGTCTCTTGCTTTCTGTCCCAGTGCCTTAACCATTAGACCAAACAGACTCTCACATCTGTTTTCTCTCACATCGGTTTGCAAAATCCCACATCACATGACTGTGATTTATTTCCACTTTCTGGCAAAAAAAAAAAAAAGGCTCATTGCTGAAAATAGAGTTGCTTTATGACCATTTATGACCATTCATTTAACGTTTGCTTTATAATGCTGTATTCAGTTAATGAACACCACAAAAAAAGCTCATAAAACCAAGCGTAGTCATTTGGTGACCCATTTAACAACCTGTAAATCCAGATTCAATTATTAGGGACATGTCTGTAACATTCAGAAACAATTCCAGGTTTTGCCATTTTTGCCCTCTATGAATTTAGGGAAAGAATATTTTTGATATTTAGGGGCACCAGAACCTTCTCCAATCTCCAAATGAATAGGCCTTCAAGGGAATCTGTCATAGTTTCATACTCACTGTGCCAGAAGTGGGTGAGACAGCAGACCCAGATGGTTGAGCAGGGAACGGCAAAGGTTGTTGAGCAGTACCTGCAAAAGGGTAGCCTTGGGGAGGAACAGAGTAGCCATGGGGAGGAACAGAGTAGCCTTGGGGAGGACCAAAATAGCCATGGGGAGGCCCAGAGTAGCCTTGGGAAGGACCAGAAAAGCCTTGGGGAGGACCAGAGAAGCCTTGGGGAGGACCAGAGTAGCCATGGGGACAACCAGAGACGCCTTGGGGAGGACCAAAATAGCCTTGGGGAGGCCCAGAGTAGCCTTGGGGAGGCCCAGAGTAGCCTTGGGTTGGACCAGAGTAGCCTTGGGGAGGACCAGAGAAGCCTTGGGAAGGACCAGAGAATCCTTGGGGAGGACCAGAGAAGCCTTGGGGAGGACCAGGGTTGTCTGAAGGATCAAAATAGTAGCTTCGGGGACGACCACAGTGCCATTGACGCCGCCACTGCAGAATGAAATGATCAGAACAGAAAAACCAAAACAGAGCTACAAATCTCAATTGTTTCCCACAATCCTCATTAAAAGGAACCCAACAACCATATTGAAGCCAATGGGTGTATCTCCTTCCACAGGCTGTATTGCAGAGGCAGGTGACATGATGTGCTGTCCCAGGATGTGTCTTTCTACTGTGATTCCCACCAGCATTATGATCCCCAAAAGACCCCAATTTGAACTTCTGGTAAGCTTCCCCACATAAAAGGTCATAAAATCAAGTGAAGTTATTTAATGACCCACTTAACAACCTGTAAATCCAGACTCAATTATTAGGGACATGTCTGTAACAATTCCAGGTTTTGCCATTTTTGCCCTCTGTGAATTTAGGGAAAGAATATTTTTGATATTTAGGGGCAGCAGCTTCTCCAATCTCCAAATGAATAGGCCTTCAAGGGAATCTGTCATAGTTTCATACTCACTGTGCCAGAAGTGGGTGAGACAGCAGACCCAGATAGTTGAGCAGGGAATGGTGAAGGTTGTTGAGCAGTACCTGCAACAGGGTAGCCTTGGGGAGGACCAGAGTAGCCATGGGAAGGACCAGAGAAGTCTTTGGGAGGACCAGGGTTGTCTGAAGGATCAAAAGAGTAGCTTCGAGGACGACCACAGTGCCATTGACGATGACGCTGCAGAATGAAATGATCAGAACAGAAAAATCAAAACAGAACTAAAAATCTCAATTGTTTTCCACAATTAAAAGGAACCCAACAACCGTATTGAAGCCCATTAATACTTCCAGTAGGTGTCCTACAGAGACAGATGACATGAGTTTTCCCCTGTCCCAGGACACGTGACTTTCTGCCCGCCCACTGTGGTGGATTACAGTTCCTACTAGCATTATATCCTGGATCTGCCTTGAACTTGCATCTCAAACATTTACCAGATACAACAACTATCTTCCACAACATATTTTAAGAGTTGGGATTATTCCCAGTTTCCCTCTGCATTCCCGTAAACAATAAACCACTAAGTATAACCTTAGAGATGGACATGAACTAATTTCAGTGCAAGGAACTGAATGCATGGAAGAATTTGGAAAATTAAATCCTCTGTAAGGGTTGGGGCTGTTGAGGAAAATAGATATGGACCTCTAGTGTTCTCCATCTACTGTCTACAGTATTGTTATGAGTGATTAGTTGTGTTTGACTAAACAAGATTCAAGATCCAGGATGACTGTGGTTCTAGATCAGGGGTTCTCAACCTTGGCAACTTTAAGACTTGTGGACTTCAACTCCCAGAATTCCTCAGCCAGCTGGCTGAGGAATTCTGGGAGCTGAAGTCCACAAGTTTTAAAGTTGCCAAGGTTGAGAACCCCTGTTCTAGATCCTAAAGAGAACCATAGCTGTAGTTCAATGAAAAAGTCAAACAAAATAGTTGAAATTGATAGATAAGAGAAGAGTGAGCTATAATCAAATTACTATAACTCTTGTATCTAAGATCATCTTTGGGCAATAAAAATTACATTTATCTATTCTATATGGCTAAGACAGCTTCTCACTTTTGATGAGGTGAAGTAGCTCTTCCAGGTGGTAGGAAGTGAAGGCCGTTCTCTGCCTTTCCTGGTTCACCCCCCATGTAGGCTTCTTACCCTAACAGTGGCAAACTCCATTCCTGTTAGCAAGCAGCAGATCCAAAGGTGTTGGGAGGAGGAGAGAAAAGGCATTGTGATGCTATGTCTGCCATCTTGCCCCTGGACATTGCTGAAAGCTACTTCTAAGTTTCTCTTAAGGTCAGCCATATTGAGTATTCCCAAAACTGTGTGCCTCTTTTTCTTCCAGGCACAAATGCTGCCATATGTTATCTAAGTTCATTAATTTTATTGCTAATTGTTATTCTTCACTATCAGTATTCCTCTAACCAAACCAACCATTGGAATATATTCACATTTTTTCCCCATGAAGCTTACCCAATGCCTCTTCCGGATACCTAGCTTTTTGAGGATTTTAACAAATTTCTAACATAAAGAAAGAAAACATTAAGAGTTACTTTGCAGTGCATTTTCCTCCACCTCTCCTACAATAGGAGAAATGAAGGCATTATTTCTATTATCTAACACTCCCTTATGTCTTCAATAAAATTTAAAGGTGTTCCTGGATAAAACATCACTCCCATTGATTTCAGGGGAAGAACTACAGAGTTTGCTTGGTTGTGTTGTGGAAGTGACTTCAAAGGATCAAGCATCCCTGATATTGCCTGATCTTCACTCATCCAAATTCTAATTGAGCCCAGCATTGCTTAGCTTAATATGATGTGGTTATTATTTTAAATCCTGATGGTTTTTTATGTGTGCAAGAGGTGTGGCTGTCATATTTCACACCAGCTGCTTTATAGTTCAATGCTGTCTGAACAAAACCAATATCTATTCAACTTTGGGTGTGTGTAGATGGAATACATTATTTCAAATGTTCCACCTGTATTTTATTTGTAAACTGGAGTAAGAAAGAAGAAAAGGAAATATTTAGATTTCAACATGAATCTATCTCATTTGCTGCTATATTGCCCTCCAATCGAGTGAATGAATAAAAAAAATGAATGAATGAGTTATGGCATGAAAACTATCATATATACATAGACATGGATGTGTGTGCATAATATTAATGGCTCAGATATTTATATAGCTTTGATCACACCATCATGGTATTCATCTTGATCTTTTTGACAATGTCTTGTGGATACTCTTGATAGTGACCAACCAAGCAACTGTCTTAACCCACAATTGTCCTAGATGGGACATAATTCAAACAGAATATGGGAACCTCAGGCTAAAAGCAGAAAGTCTATTCCTCAACAAAGACAAATAATTTCAGACAAAGGAGAAGATCATACTTACAGGTGGAGGATATGGTGAATTAGAGTTTCCCAAATAAGCATTGTCCCTGTAGCCAGGGTAACCCTACAGAAATTCAAAGATACATTACAAACCAATTCTTTCTGCAACAAAGACAAGGAAGAGTCTGGGATGGGATTCTAAGGAGACCCCCAACTAAATCCACACATGACCTTAATATTCTTCCTAGCTGAAGCTTGCAAAGGTCCCGGATAGTAGAAATAAATAATGTTTAGGTGCTGCATTTTCTCTGAAACTTGTATTTGACATACGTTGGGGTTTTGCCTAATGTTATCCTTGCAGCAACTGTAAGAAAAGAGGCTACAAGTAGCCCTTGTTTAGCAACTGCTTCAGCCAGAGAATTACAACAATGCTGGAAAAAAAAAACTTCGCCACCAATGCCAGCATCTATAACCTCAACAGCATTTTATTCTCATTTACCTGTTCACCATTACATTCAGTTAGCTAAGCATAGTCACAGTCATGTGGTTTTTCATTTAGCAACTGCTTTGCTTACTGGCTTCAATTGCAGTCACTGAGTGAGGATTATCTGTACTAATTTTCACATTGTTATATAGTACATAATACAATATATTTCTTGGTTATCCTGTGGTAGCAAGGGATAAAGTGGAGATATTCCCATATCTCTGCCTTCCCTCTCTGTTTCTCATGCATCTTTATCTCTACCTTACAACACAATCCCACAGGGCTATTCTTCACATTATACCTACCCCAGATTTTGGAGCACCTATCCTAGAATTTTAGGTTTCTTGGGTCAAATGGGCATTGTATGAGCATGCAAACATTATACTCACTGCTGGACCAAAGTTGCTAGTAGACCACTGCCAAAAGCAGAAAAACATGGACTTCTTTTATTGGGAAATAGTTTTAATAGACATTTAAATAGTATAAAAGGGAAACTTGCATTCTTTCTCTCATATAAGCATACACATACACATCTCTGTGTGGTGAATAATATTCATTCCCTTCAATCTTTCTTATATTTCAGCTATATTATAACTTATATAAGCCAAGAGTAGCATTTAAGTGTGAGATGGGCAGCATATAAATTTAATAAACAGAATAATAAATATGCATATATAGACCCAAATATAAAGAGACAAAGTGGTGGAGCCCAGATAATTTCCTGTGGGTTTTTTTTTTTTTTCAAATGATAGCTTATGAGCAGGCAAAGGTTATACTCACTTCTGGACCAGAATAGCCGGTTTGGGCAGAAGCAGGGAAGCTATGAGGCCTCTGCAGAAAGAAGAAAAACAAGAACGTTTCTCTTTTCTAGTTGTTGTCTTGAAGAGCCCTCCTGGGTGAGAAATATTCAAAAAAAAAAGTACAGAAGGGAAAAGGGGGAAATAAAAAGATCATACCAGGGGTAGGCAACCTCAGCTCTTTTATGATTCCTGGACTTCAACTCCCAGAATTCCTGAGTCAGCTATGCTGACTGGGAGTTGAAGTCCATGAGTCATAAAAGAGCCGAGGTTGCCTACCCCTGTACTATACTTACAGGTTCAGAGACCTGTGGATCATAGTTTGTGGGAACATTGTAGCTTTGGGAGCCAGGGTACCCCTATAGAAATGCAAAAATACATTGATACACCTGTTTTTTTCCCAACAAAGAGAGGGGAGTGTCTGGGAGGGGATTCAGAGAAGCCCACCTATGGTTCCCCTCAATGTTATTTGTATGAGAGTGAAGTTCTGAAACTCTGGGCAGCTGTTTCTCCTAAAATGGTCGATGCATGGGTGAGACATCCCCTGTGAATAAAACTAATGATTTCCTTTCAGCTTAGTTCCAACAGTGATGGGCCTTTGGATAAACAGGATGTGAAGCTTGGTTGTGTCACATTAGAAGATGGATGAAATTTGACCAACTGGCTGCTTCTTTATGACTGTGTAATCTCTTTTGCCAGCTTGCCCAGATTTCTGACAGTAATCAGAAATGTCAAAGTGCATTAAAACAAGAAACTCTTTTCCTTAGCGGAGGATTAAGAATATGATTCTGTAAGGGAAAAACAATAATCAACAATTACTTAATTGTGTTTTAGCCTGACACACATTCAGTCACACTGCAATAAACCTATTGATGGAAGGAAACCGAGGGATAGATGGGCTTGAAAACTATTAGAGGAAATCATGGCTTGTCTAGGAGGGGATTCAGAGAAGCCCACCTATGGTTCACCTCAATGTCATTTGTATGAGAGTAAAGTTCTAAAACTCGGGGCACCTGTGTTTCTCCTAAAATGGTCAACGCATGGGTGAGACAGCCCTGGTGAATAAAAATAATGATTTCCTTTGGAGTTAGTTCCAACCATGATCGGTTGGGTGAGCAAGGTGTGAGGCTTGGTTGTGCCACATTGGAAGATGGATAAAACTTCACCAACGAACTGCCTGTTTGTGAGTGTATAATCTCATTGGCCAGTTTATTCAGATTCCTGACAGCAAAAATATCAAAATGTATTAAAACAAGAAACTCTTTTACTTACTTGAGATGGTGGTGGTGGTGGAGGAGGAGGAGGATTTGGAATATTATTCTGTAAGGGGAGAAACAGTAATCACCAATTATTTAATTCTCTTTTAGCCTGACACACATAGTCACATTGCAATAAATCTATGGATCAAATGAAACCAATGAATGGAAAATTTAACTTGGCTGAACATCACCAAAAAGCCTGAAAACTATTGTTGGTAATCATGGCGTGGCTTTCCAGTTGATTGGAAGCCAAAACCAGACATTTTTACACAATGTGTAACTAATTTATTTTGTTGCAAGGTACAAAACTTGTTATTAACTTATGCAAAAAAGCTTCCCATCAGAACAGAATCATTGATTTGAATTCACATAATCAGTCTAAGCAAGTACTTGAAATCACTTTTAAAAGTGTTGGATCCAATTGGACTGTCTGATTCAATTAAAAAAATGATTCCCTTTAGACATGCATTTGAATAGAGCTTAAACTGGATCGTCTCACTGAAACTTTGTAAAATCTGTATTTGTTATGTCTGAGATTTCATTAAGACCTGAGTGTGACCAGTTTAGTCTGGGTTTAATCCAAAGGATTTGAGTCACAGGAGTTTCTCTGCCAACCCGCAAGTTACCTTTCCTAAAATGCAGGTTTTGTCTCACCTGAGCATCTGTGCTGAGCACAGAAATCAACAAAACAGCAGCCACGAAGGAGAGCATCATTGTTCTCAGCTTGTGGCTTCCTTCCCCAAATGAGAAAGTGTCCTAAATGAATGGGTGGGTTAAGGATGGATCTTTATTGATATATCAGCACAAGCCAGACTGCCCAAACTGAAAGCAGCAATTGATGATACTTTCAAATTATCTGCTGAAAAAGGTTACAAGGATTCATTCACAAGGAAAGATCTGGTGCCAACAGAAACATTCATCTAACTTCTGTGTCATTTTTTCTGAGAAGGAACTTGACTTGCTTCTTGATGAAATGTCACCTGTAATTTATGTGACGCTAATGGAGACTTTCTGAAAGGCCATTTGTTGTTTAAAAGCTTTTCCGTGGTTTTGACTTAACATTATCTTATCTTGCTCCTACCTTTTGATTATCTTTCTTAGTTCCTTCGATTTGGATCATTCGTTTAGTGACTGTTCGAAGTTAAAATGGTACTGGAGAAGTTATTTATGACCATTTTTCACACTTATGACCGTTGCAGCATCCATGCGGTCACACAAGATTCACCCATTTGGCAACTGGCATATATTTATGATGCTAGCCCTCTCAGGGTCCTGTGTTTGGAACTATGGATGGATGGAAGGAAAGCTTTTTGAAAGAAGTCCCCCAGACAATATCTGAAAGGGTCTTACAAGTATCTTCTTGTAGAATCATGGAAAAAAAGGAATTATTAGAAAAGAGAATTTTCATCATTTTCTGCTTGGGTTATCCCTTTTTAAATTATAAGTGCATATCAATCAGTGTTTCTCAACTTTGGCAACTTTAAGATGTATGAAATTCAACTTCCAGAAATCCCCAGCCAGCATTGAAAATCTTAAAGTTGCCAAGCATGAGTAACATTGCTACAGACAGTGAATCTGTAATTGATGGGTTAATATGAATTTTATTTTTATTATTCCATTTTCTGGAAATGAAATCAGAACAGCATAATGTATTTATCTCAAGACTCTTAATCTATTACGCTGAATCAGTAATTGATGGATTAATATGAATTTCATTTTTATTATTCCATTTTCTGGAAATGAAATCAGAACAGCATAATATATTTATCTCAAGACTCTTAATCTATAACGTCAGATTAGCCACTTAGTCTAAGGAGTTAAAGCATCGGATTATGCATGTTTCCCTCTGTATTCAGCCCCGGCTTAAAGGCGTCTATATCAATGCGTGGGAAAATGTTTGAGCAAAACAATAGAAGCAATTAGTTAAGAAACAAGATTATTATTCCCTGATGTAAATCATTTTATCAGAAAGCTTGGATGGAAGCTGGAATGATGAATTATTTAAATCAGCTACTATATAATGACTATTTTAAGATTTCTCCTGACTTCAAACTGAATTTTGTGATCCCAATTCACAACAGCATTTTCAACTTCAGTGTGTTGTAACAGATCATTATGGACCACATGCTTTGGCTGCCTCAAAGGCATCTGAGTTGGTTTCTTGCCTGATGGAGTCCATTAATGAAAGAAAATCTGTACTGTATCTCTATCAAATCTCAACATATTTTTAAAGAGGGCAGTTTTGGATACTGCAGTTCCTGTAAAAGCCACAGCAATGGCTCGTTGCCTTTTAAAATGTTACAGTGGTATTTAGATTTCAGATTAAAGTGGGTACATCCAAAAATTGATGTTATTCAGGCTGTATGAGACTTCCCGGGGAATGTATTTCAATCTCAAAACATGGCCTTCTAGATCTAGTGATTTAATATTTCTTAACATCACTCATTCTTTTAATCATACAAGACAAGAAACTGCAAAATACAATTTTAAATATGGCAGGCCTCAACTGCCCTTCTTTTTTAGCATCAGACAATTTCTTATGTTTAACTCTTGGGTTTTTTTTTCTCTTACCAGATAAATCTAAATATCTCTTTCTGCCATTGTTTAAAGGGTAGTTCTGAAGTCCTGATAACTGTTCTTTCAACTAGAAAAGGCATTTTTATGATGGACTTGTAATCATGTTTTGAATAACAGAATAACAGAGTTGGAAGGGACATTGGAGATCTTCTAGTCCAGCCCCCTGCTCAAGCAGGAGCCCTATATACCATTTCAGAAAAATGGCTGTCCAGTCTCTTCTTAGAGGTCTCCAGTGATGAAGCACCCACAACTTCTGGAGGCAAGCAGTTCCACTGGTTAATTGTCCTCACTCTTGGGAAATCTCTCATTAATTCCAGGTTCCTTCTCTCCTTGATCAGTTTCCATTCATTGTTTGTTGTCTTGCCTTCTGGTTCAATTTCATTTTTATTCATCTTATTTATCATTTTCATTTATCAGAATCAACCAAGTATTGTTCTGGCCTGGATTTCACCATAATATTGGAAAAATGAGAATTTTCAGAGTACAATGATAAAGACAACACATCTGTGATAATGCTGAATATATTTATTTGTAAATATTTATTCTTGTAGAGAATGAACAGGGTTAACAATCAAGAGAAAATGTCCCCAAATCAGCAGAAAGAACTCTAAATGCTGGAGCCCTTCTCAGAAGAAAGTTTCATTTTCCCTTTGATCCTCGATTAGGAAGAAATTATGGAAGCCAGAAAGAGAAAGAGTAGGAGGTGACTCTGGATTTTACTCTCAGCCAATGTAGCTAGTGGATCTAGAAAGAAACAAGGGTGAAAATTAGATATTTGGCACACAAAGGATATGAAACTGTCTCTCATGCTGATAGAAGTGAATATTTGTAGCTCAGTGTTGAATCTAAGGGACTGGTTTGGACAAAATTCAGCAGCACTTTTTCATGTGGCTGCTGATAAAAACAGGATTGCCGACATGATCGCCATCATCCGATAACGGATATGGCACAACAAGAAGAAGAATTTGGACTGAGGGCCTTGGTGCTCTCGGAGCTTGGTTGTTTTCTTCCAGATGCTTCATTATCAAACCAGGTAATGCCATTAGTGCTAATAGGGAGTGGAGTTTGCTCTCATTTTACATGCTAGTGGCTAGTGGCATTTTATCCATCCATAACAGAAGGCAGCTAATATTTCAGAATATGCCCCCCCAAAATCTATGTCAGTGTTTCTCAACCTTGGAAACTTGAAGATGTGTAGACTTCAGCTCTCAGAATTGTCATGCTGCCTAGGGAATTCTGGGAGCTGAAGTCCACATATCTTCAAGTTCCCAAGGTTGAGAAACCCTGACCTATGTATTTGAAAGGAGGTTATTATAAAGTCCTATGAAAAATCCTCAGAATATAAAGCTCTACTAAAGCAAAGAGTGTCTTCCATACTCACTGGCATACGTTCTCCTAGTGAGATCTTTTGATTTAGATTTAAATTTTAAACAGAAAAGGAATTCAGCACATGCTAAATACCCAGAGTATGCATTCTATTGTGGACATTACTAGGAAAAAAATATTGCATAATTCCTACAATAGATGCGATGGGGAGTAATTGTATTCCATTACTTGGTGAATTGATTCATATCCTGTATATATCCTGTAGAGCAGCTTTGGGCAGTTCCAAAAGGGGCAAGAGATATAAATGAGACAAACAATCTATATGATTCTTCCGTCATCTGCAATTGCAGGCGTATGGATCTTATGCATAAGCACTCATCGAAAGCCAGCATATGGGTATCAGCATATAAATCTTTAAAAACAAAACAGGTTCATCAATAGGCAGTCAGGATTTTTTTATTGCAAATACTTATTTAAATCCTTGGCCATTAAGAGATTTAATTTAAAGGTAGAGCACTCTAAACAATCTTTATTTAGGACTATCAATGGAACTTTTTAACTCATCTCTTTTTGCCAAACTCTTGGCCACAAAAAATAGCAATGTTGGATAATTAAGAAGCAATACTTAGCCGTAACATGGGCCACAAGGTTGGCAATTATTAGGAAGAATATTATTTAGACCACTGAAACAGACAGCTTACTAATACTTATGTTTTCTTGAACGCCTTCTCTCAAACTTAATTTTCTGCATGAGGTAATGGATAAAGCAGTGTGCTCAATCTTGGCAACTTTTAGATATGTGAACTTCAACTCCCAGAATTCCCCGGGCAGAAAATATTTGAAAATGATATTGATGTTAAATAATACCAAACTGCTAATCATAAGCTTGAGCAAAAAACTAAGCAATCTGGAACCTTCATGTTTTGTTAACTTAATCCTACATGTGTCATGGTTCCGACAGATGAAACTCTTTAAAAGAACTTTGAGGCATATAAGGAAAGATATTCTTGATCTTTAGGACCAGTAGAACCTTATTCCTATCTTCAAAAGAATAGGCCTCCAAGAATGGGCATACTTACCTGATCTTTGGAGGCAGGCAACTTTTAAGAAGAGTTACCAGGTGTTCCAGAGTCAGGCAAGGTAGAATTACCAGGGACTTTAACATCACCAGATGAAACAGAGGCAGCAGGGGCAGATGGTGGAGGGACAAATGGGGCAGGGCCAGCAGAATATTGAGGACTAGGAAGAGCAGAGGGGTCTGCACCGGTAGCAGGCAAAGATTGTCCAGGGAAAAGTTGTTGTTGGGGAACTGAATCATGGTAGTTATATACGAAATTAGGTGGACTTCCATAGTTAGACTGTTGCTGCAGAACAGGAACAAAACAAAAATCCAAGATAGAGTCACATTTTTTTTGTCATTAAAAGAAACCCACTAACCATATTGAAGCCCCTGGGTGCATCTCCTTCCAAAGGCTGTCCTGCAGAGATAAGTGACATGAGTTCCTTTTCCCAGAATCTGTCTCTTTCTGCCTTCCTATTGTGGTGGATTATAGTGCCCACCAGCATTGTGATGGATCCCAAAGGTGGTACTTTTGATTCAGGTTCAAAATTCTGATGACTTTCCCCTCCCACTATCATGAGATCATATTTTTGGTGCTCAGCAATTGGCCTGCATTTACAATTGTTTGCGGTGTTTGTCATTGTTTCCATGTTCCCATGGCTGTGATTTATGACTTTTGGCAGAAACTGTCATTTACTTCCAGTTTCTAGCAAAACAACCCCCATTGGCAGCAAGAGATTCACTTAATGAGCCCGGCATTTGCTTAATGAGCTGGGGATTGGCTTTATGAAGGCCGCATTCACTTAGTGACTACAGCAAAAGAGATCATAAACTTGGGCACAGTCACTTGATGACCCAAGTTAACAACCAGCATTATTTATGGCCATAATTCCAGACTTGATTATTAGGAACACATCTATAGCAACTGGGGGGGGACAATTCCAATTTTTGCCATATTTGTATATAGGGGAAGAATATTTTTGATATTTAGGGCCAGCAGAACTTTCTCCTCTTTTCATATGAATAGACCTTCAAGTGGATATGTCACACTTTCATACTCACAGTGCCAGAGGGGGGTGGGACAGCAGACCCAGATGGTTGAGCAGGGAAAGACAAAGGTTGTTGACCTAAGTAGACTTGGGGAGGATTAAAATATCCTTGAGGCTGACCAGCATAGCTTTGGGAAGGACCAGGATAGCCGTGGGGAGGACTAGGATGGTATTGAGGAGGACCAGAGTGCTGATGATGCCTCCACTGCTGAATGAAATAATCAGAACAGAAAAGCCAAAACACAGTCACTAATCACAATTGTTTTCCACAATCTTCATTAAAAAGAACCCACCAACAATATTGAAGCCCACGGATGCTTCCAGTGGCTGTTTTTCTAACAAAGACAGATGACTTGAGGTTTCCTGTCACAGGACACGCCTCTTTCTGTCCTCCCATTGTAGTAGATTACAGTTCCCACTAGCATTGCGTCCTGGATTTGCCTGGAACTTGCACCCCAAGCATTTACCAAGTACAACTGACTTGCATAACATATTCAAAGATTTGGGACTATTCCCAGTTTCCATCTAGGTTCCTGTAAATAAGTATAGCCTTAAAGAGTGACAGACTCACTATAATGCTAACTTGGATGGACTAGAATTAATTTCACTGCAGGGAGCTGAGTCCATAGAAGAATTTGGGAAATTAAATTCTCTGGAAGAGTTTGGATTCTGGGGTGTCCATGATGGAGGGGAGGGGGAGAAAAGGGCACTGTAATGGCATGTCTACCATCTTGGCCCTGGATGTTGCTGGATGATTATTCTAACGTTTCTCTTCATGACCCAGCTATGTTGCTGTTCCCAGAATTGTGTGCTCTTTTCTCTTCCTGTTTAAAAAACTGCCACATGATTCCAACTTTATTAATATAGCTGCTAATTATTCTTCTTCACAAAAAAAAATCCTTTTAATGTTCCTCTAACCAAACCAACATTGGAATATATTCACATTTTTCCATGAAGCTTACCCAATGCTTCTTCCAGCCAGCTTTCATTATTCTCTATTATAAAGAAAAAAAAACATCAAGAGTTACTTTGCTCTTCACTTTCCTCCACCTCTCCTACAAATAGGAGAAATGAAGCCATTATTTCTATTATCTAACATTCCCCTTTTGCCTCCAGGAATCCAGAAAAATTAAAATTGTTCTTGGGTCAAATACCATGGCCACTGACTTCAGGGGAAAAACTACGAAGGTTGCTTGGCAATATGATGGAAGTGACTTCCCAGTCTAAAATACATCCCTGGTATTCACTGATCTTCACTCATCCAGATTCTAACCAAGTCCAACACTGCTTAGTTTATTATCCTTTTAATATTATTTTAAATCCTGGTGTGGGTTATGTGGGTAATACAAAACTAAGAGATTCAGCTTCATATTTCACACTAGCTGCTTTATAGCTCAATGCTGTCTGTGAACCAGACCAATATATCTTTAACTTTGGGTATGCAAGGTGATTAACCTTATTCAATCAGTTCAGGAATATATTGTTTCAAATGTTGTATTTGTAAAATGGGACAAGAAAGAAGAGAAAGAAATATGTAGAATTCAACATGAATCCATCTCATTTGCTGCTCTATTGCCATCCACTCTGCCAGAGTGAATGAGTGAAAAAAAAATGAATGAATGGATTAATGAATGAAAGTTATCATATACAAAATACCGCAATATTAAACGAATCCCAACTAAAGCAAGAGTATACTACACAGCAACAATAGCAAAGTCACAGTAAATCAGATTCACTACATGCTTAAAGTTATTACAAAGTGAATTCACTGGAATTCATATGTGACAACATAGAATTTAACAACATTTAGCCTCTATCTGACAACTAAAGAGAAAGAGACCCTAGTCATCTAGAAGACCACCAACTACTTTAACTCATTAGTTTAACTACTTTAATTCAAATAGCAATCCTGTAATGTGCAAATGAGTGTCATTTTCTTGAACAGACTTGGCTGAGAGAGGAAAAAGTAACCCTAAGGCTAATTGAAGATTTGAGCTGATTCTGCCTCCACCAAGTCTGTTATCTGGAACTGAAAGTGGTATGTGATAATATTCCCATATGCTTACCTCAAAAAATTTGAGCTACAAAGAAAAAAACAAACAGACACATAGTATTCAGAAAGGATCTTTCACACTTTTAAAATTACGTTTCCCTTTCCATAAGCTACAAATAACTTTTTAGAGACATGGTCTTCCCAATCGTTTTAACACATTCTGTGTTTCTCTACAAGGAGTCCTCATTTAGCAGCCACAACTAAGAGCACCAACTCAGTCACATAAAATGTGATAGCAACTCTGCTTACAATTTTATTTCAGGTTTCCTTTACTTTACAGTGACAGAAGGACGCAATCCCAAACAATTGGGTGAGCCCAAATAATGGGGAAGTTTTCCAGAACTCAACTCACTAGGAAGCTGATTTAAAAGGGGAAAACCTTTTACACACACACACACACACACACACACACACACACACACACACACACCCTTTGGAATACTCATCCTTGCACTAGTAAACTGATCCTCAGATATTCTACCAGATCCCTAAATGTTAACATCATCTACCTTACAGGGTAGTCCTGCACATAATTACAAACAGATAAAATATGGATGCTCATCTAATTTTATACCATTAATTCATTGACATAATTCATTGCATCAGTTTTGTACCATAGAGGATGATCTGTAGCCCATTATTCAATTCTATAACTTCCTGTCTCAATACTGGACAGCGAATCAGAAAAAGAAAGGGTTTTCTTTTTATTTACTGACTTATTGAAGACTAAAGCAAACTACGGGAGAAAAGGCACTGATTAATTAAAACAAACTCCAATCTAATCCAATTTATTTTATTTTGCCAGTCACTGTGTAGCTTCCTAATTAAGCAATTGTATAACATATCTTGGTCTGTGTGCTGAAATCCCCAAAGCTGCTTCTTCCAAAGAAAGACAACTTCACAAGCTGAATCCTGCAGGATGGTTTATTGGGAAAGGGAATTTTCATCCCCTCCACACCGGTCTAATTTCTCCTATTCTTCCTATCATTCTTGCCTTAAAATCCAGATTTTGCAAGATCAGAGAGAGATGTGACCATAATATACATACAGATAATTAACACCTTGTTACATCAAGACTGGGACAATATTGCTACTTGTTCTAATAGATCTATCTATAGTATACTTCTGCAAAGTAAGGTGAACCAATCTGAGATTGTACCCATATCTTCATCCTTTCCTAATCTAGCATTTACTTAGTTGTTTATACTTCATGTTTGAAGTTATTTATGAACAAATAATTTAAGATACCGTTTTCTTAAATTATAAAATATTCTGATAGCTAGAAAAAGGAGTTCAACTCTCTTCACAGACTTCAAGAGTTCATGGGAATAATCAAACACTTGAACCCATGGCAGCAAAATGAGAGCCTGAACAAGGGAAGAGTTTGAGAGAAGACAGAGAGAAAACTAGGTATTGCTGAAGTCAAACAGTTTTCAGACATTTCTAGGAAAAGACAACATGGCAAAATTTGTCCTTTGATGTCCATGATTCTTTCTTACATCTGTGTTCTGCTTCTTTTAAATAGGTGATAAAAGAATGGTTATCATCAGGCAAGGTCAAAAAAGTCAGAATTTTATCTCTTTGTATATCTACCATGACCATTGACTTGATATTTTTGGATTAATATACTCACCAGCTTTTCAAATTCATGAAGATCCTATGGAAAAACCAAACATGCACAAAGACCTGAATGAGAAGGCAAATACATTTCTTTCTGTCCCCATAAGTTGTGTAAAAACTTGGAAACTGAAGCCTGTAACCCTCTAATTGGGAAAGGGCAACTAAGGATGAGTTGATAATTGCAGACTGCACGGGACCAGGACCACATGAGCAGGGAAAGATGAAGCATAAAGTTTTGTGCTCTTAGCATGAACCTGCAGGAAAAACGATGAAGCATAAAGTTTTGTCCTCTTAGCATGAACCTGCACCCCATCTAATGCTATTTGCACGTGAAATGATTCTTTGACTTTTTGTAATGCAGAGTTATCCCACATCTCTGCCTGCTCTCTGGGTCTTCTAAAAGTCTACGTCACCCCTCAATCCTCTACCAAGTCCCCTACCCAATCTATCCAATCCCCCAGGGCTACTCTTCATAGTACACCTACCCCAGATTTGGGAGTGGGATTGAAAGGTACCCTATGATTTTCAGAACCACATAGGGCAGTGATGGCGAACCTTTTAGAGATCGAGTGCCCAAACCACAATCTAAAACCCACTTATTTATCGCAAAGTGCCAGGGCCGCATCAAGGGGGGTGGGGGTGGCCCACTGGGTGGGCGTGGCTGCAGTGCGCATGGCAGACTGAGTGGGCATGACTGGGGTGGACATGACCACCTTGATGTTGCTCGTGGGGAGATGCCTGTGGGGGCTGGGCAGGATTGGAGGAGATCCAGGGGGTCTCTGATGGATGGGGCAGTGGGCAGGAGGCTCACCCTGCAGGGTGAGGTAAGAGGTAGGGCAGGGGTGCCATTGCTGGAGGGCAAGGCAGGGATGGCTGCTGCCTGATACCATCAGCCCCCACACACAGAGGCCAGCGAGCACATGGGGGTACTCTACCACCTCTACTCAAGCTTGCTAGCCAGCTGCTTTACCTCCTTTGTGCTGGGTGGGGTTGCCACTCAGGTGCCAGCAGTGGCCTAATGGACCTGCGCGAGCTGGCGATGGTGGCAGGTGTGCCCACAGAGAGGGCTCTAAGTGCCGCCTCTGGCACGCGTGCCATAGGTTCGCAATCACTGAGATATGGAATTTGGGGGGGGGAGTTTCTCTCAAATAAATAGGCAAAGGTTATACTCACGGGTGGGCCAAAGTTTCTAGGGAACCACTGCAGAAAGAAGAAAAATGTGGATTTCTTTTTTGGTGAAATATTTTTAATAGAGATTTAAATGGTATAAAATGCAAGCTTGCACTCTCTCTCATTATAAATATATACATACACAGGGTATGTGTGCATAATATTTATGTCCACAAATCTTTCAATCATTTCAGTTATATTCATGTATGCATCCACTATGAAGAATCCAAGAGCTTTCACCTAAGTACATAATGCATGTAAAAATCAGGCAAAACTTTGATCCCATCACCCTATGCCTTGTAGGTTTGCCTAATAATGACCAACCACTGATGACTTTTCCTAGCAGTTGTCTTAACCCAAAATCCTTTTAGCATGAACCTGCAGAAAAATGCACCCCATCTAATGCTATTTGCATGTGAAATGAGTCTTTGATCTTTTGTAATTCAGTTATCCAAATCTCTGCCTGCTCTCTGGGTCTTTGGAAAAGTCTGCGTCACCCCTCAATCCTCTATCAAGTCCCCTACCCAATCTATCCAATCCCCCAGGGCTACTCTTCACAGTACACCTATGCCAGATTTGGGATTGGGACTGAAAGGTACCCTATGATTTTCAGAACCAGATAGGGAATTTTTTTTTTTTGGGGGGGGGGGGGTGTCTCTCAAATAAATAGGCAAAGGTTATACTCACGGGTGGGCCAGAGTTTCTAGGGAACCACTGTAGAAAGAAGAAAAATGTGGATTTCTTTTTTGGCGAAATAGTTTTAACAGAGATTTAAATGGTATAAAATGCAAGCTTGCATTCTCTCTTATATAAATGTATGCATAATATTTATGTGCACAAATCTTTCATTCATTTCAGTCATAGTCACGTATGCATCCACTATGAAAAAAACAAGAGCTTTCACCTGAGTATATAATGCACGTAAAAAGCAGGCAAAACTTTGATTCCATCATCCTATGACTTGTAGGTTCGCCTAATAATGACGAACCACTGATGACTTTTCCTAGCAGCTGTCTTAACCCAAAATCCTTTTAGGTGGGAAGTAAATTAAAACAGCATTTGGTAACCTCAGACTGCGATTAAGATGCCTATTCCTCAATGACAAAGAATTTCAGACAGGGGAGACGACTGTACTTACAGGTGGAGGTGGAGGATACTGTGGACTAGGATTTCCAAAATGAGCATTGTTGCTGTAGCCAGGGTTCCCCTACAGAAATTCAAAGATATATTACAAACTGATTTTTTTCTGCAACAAAGACAAGGAATTTTGCAACAACAACAAATATGGACTAGTGCTTTGAGAAAATTCAAAGCATTAAAAAAGAAACATGAAGCAAATACCTGGACTGCTTCAAAAGCCAGATTCAGAACACTGATTGATTGTGTATTATCAAGTCAATCTTAGCAGCCACAGAGGTAGACTTTCTCCACCACAATTGTCCCAATCTGTTCCTTCAAATCTTACAAGGTGGCACTGATCGCCACTGAAGCTAAGTCCATCCACCTTGCTGCTGCCTCTTCTTTTTCCTTTCATAATTCCCAGTACTAGGGATGGGTCTTCATGTGTGCTTGAACTAGAATAATTTGAACCTAATAATTTGTGCCTTAAGAGAGAACTACGGTTTGATTTCTTAGATCCATGTCTGTTTTCTTGGCTATCCATGGGGTATTCGCTGGGTTTTTTTTCCAATAACAAACATCAAAATCTGGAAGAGTCTGGAAAGGGATTCTAAGGAGACTCACAACTATGCATAGAAGTGACTTTAATATCCTTCCTAAGAGAGGCTTATAAGCATCCCAGATAATACCAATAAATAATGTTTAGATCCTGAATTTTCTCTGAAAGTTTTAAGTGGCATAATAAGTACTTTTGAACCCAGGAGAAAAGGTTTCTTTAAAAATGGATATCCTACGAGCAGGCAAAGGTTATACTCACTGGTGGGCCAGAATAGCTGACTTGGGCAGAACCAGGAAAGTTATCAAGCTTCTGCAGAAAGAAGAAAAACATGAACTTTTCTCTTGATTTAATTCTTTTGGGTATGCAAAAGCTGCATTTTTGGATCTTAGATATTTGACTGAAATAGCAGACTACTGTGGAGTTGATTCTTCTACCATCATCTCAAAGGTTACTGCTTGATTTCAAAATACGGATATATTTTCTAAGTAAACATATGCCTTAAATAAATATACTTCCTCAGTAAATAAAATAGGGACCAGCAACTTTGACATGGATGAAAGAACTCTTTTGGGTCATCCAGTTGATCACTTGCTCCTTCAGACATAATGGGGTGAACTCTGATCAATTTTTCCAGCTGTTGTCTTACCCCAAGAACCCTCCTAGGTGAGAAATATTCCTCCTGGGGAGGAAAGCTATGGCAAATCTAAACAGCATTCTAAAAAGCAGAGACATCACCTGCCAACAAAAGTGCGTATAGTCCAGGCCATGGTTTTCCCAGTTGCAATGTATGGCTGTGAAAACTGGACCATAAGAAAGGCTGAGCGCAAAAGAAGTGAGGCCTTTGAACTATGGTGCTGGAGAAGACTCCTGTGAGTCCCTTGGACTGCAAGGCGTTCAAACCGGTCAGTCCTAGAAGAGATCAACCCCGACTGCTCTTTAGAAGGCCAGATCCTGAAGTTGAAACTCAAGTACTTTGGCCACCTAATGAGAAGGAAGGATTCACTGGAGAAGAACCTAATGCTGGGAAAGATTGAGGGCAATAGAAGAAGGCGACGACAGAGAATGAGGTGGCTGGAGGGAGTCACTGAAGCAGTAGGTGTGAATTTAAATGGACTGCAGAAGATGGTAGAGGACAGGAAGACCTGGAGGAACATTGTCCATGGGGTCGCGACGGGTCGGACACGACTTCGCAATTAACAACATTCTTCAAAAAAAAAAAACAATAAATAAAGAATGAAGGGAAAAGAGGAAAATAACATATTGTACTTACAGGATCAGAGACCTGTGTATTATAGTTTGTGGGAACATTGTAGCTTTGGGAGTCAGGGTACCCCTGTAGAAATGCAAAAATACATTGATACACCTCTTATTTTCCCAACAAAGAGAAGGGCGTGTCTGGGAGGGGATTCAGTTGAGGCCCACCTATGGTTCCCCTCGATGTTACTTGCATGGGAGAGTAAATTTCTGAAACTCTGGGCTGCTGTCTTTCTCCTCAAATGGTCAATGCATGGGTGAGACATCCCCAGTGAATAAAAATAATGATGTCCTTCCGGTTTCGTTCCAACCATGATGGGCCTTTGGGTGAGCAAGATGTCAGGCTTGGTTGTGCCACGCTGGAAGGCAGGCAGAATATGACCAACCAACTGCCCCTGTGTGTGTGTGTGTGTGTGTGTGTGTGTGTGTGTGTGTGTCCAGATTTCTGGTAACAGTCAGAAATATCAAAGAAACTCTTTTACTTACTGGAGGTGGAGGTGGAGGATTTGGAATATTATTCTGTAAAAGGAAAACAAATAATCACGAATTAATTAATCTGTTTTAGTCTGACACACAAAGTTATACTGCAATTAATCTGTTGATAGAAGGAAACCAAGGGATGGAAACATTTAACTTCGCTAAACAACATAACAAAAAGGCCTGAAAACCATTGCTGGCCTGGCTTTCCAGTTGATTGGAAGCCAAAACCAGACCAAACACATTTGAACACAATACGGGAGCCCAATCAATTTTTGTTGCAAGCTACAAAATTCAAATTTGTTATTAAAAGTATGCAAAAAAAAAAAGTTTCTGGTCAGAACAGAAGCATTGATTTGATTGAGATCATCAGTCCAGTTAGTATTTGAAATCCTTTTGGAAAATTGTGGCATTCAATGAGACTGAACAATTAGATTCAGAAAAATGACATGGATTTGAATAAGACTGGATCTCTCCAGTGAAGCCTTATGAAGCCCTATTTGTTAAGTCTAATAGTTCAGTAGGACACAAGAATGACCAATTTAGTCTGGGATTAACCCTCAGGGTTTGAGCCAAAGGGGCCATCCCATCCCACAAGTGTACCTTTCCTTAAATTAAGGTTTCGTGTCACCTGGGCATCTGTGCCAAGCACAGAAATCAACATCAATAATCAGATAAATGAGTCTCTCTTACAATATAACCCAATTTGTTCATTCTTTTGTTTCTTAGGACTATCGCCTTAATTATAAACTTAGCAGTTCTGCGTACAATAAGTACATTTGAACCCAGGAGAAAAGGTTTCTTTAAAAATGGATATCTTGAGAGCAGGCAAAAGTTATACTCACTGGTGGGCCAGAATAGCTGACTTGGGCAGAAGCAGGAAAGCTACCAGGCTTCTGCAGAAAGAAGAAAAACATGAACTTTTCTCATGATTTAATTCTTTTTGGTATGCAAAAGCGGCACTTTTAGATCAAGACCGTGCAAACCAGGACAAAGAAAAATGTTAAAACAGTGTTTTATTCCCCTCCTATATTTCAAAATAATAGATTATCTACCTATCTGCTCATACTCTTTTAGAGGTTTACTTATTCATTTATTTATATATATATATATATATATATATATATATATATATATATATATATAAAACCTTAAGATATATACAAATAGATATATGCAAATCTACATTCTACAGCCAAATGCATGTATGTGCATAATATTTGTTCCCCTAAAATATTCTAATTAGGAGCATTAAAAAAAACCTTAATATTCTAACTTTATAAGAAGAAGATTTTTAAAACCCAGTTTTCTGTAAACCTAGGCTCTCTTAGTTATTTGACTGAAAGAGCGGACTACTGTAGAGTTGATTCTTCTACCATCATCTCAAAAGTTACTGCTTGATTTCAAAATACAGATACATTTTCTAAGTAAATATATGCCCTAATTAAATATACTTCCTCAGTAAATAAATAGGGACCAGCAATTTTGATTGTGGATGAAATAACTCTTTTGGGTCATCCAGTTGATCACCAGCTCCTTCAGACATAATGGGGTGAACTGTGACCAATTTTCCAGCTGTTGTCCTACCCCAAGAACCCTCCTAGGTGAGAAATATTTGAAACCTATTCTTCAAAAAAAACCAATAAATAAGGAATGAAGGGAAAAGAGGAAAATAACATATTGTACTTACAGGATCAGAGACCTGTGTATTATAGTTTGTGGGAACATTGTAGCTTTGGGAGTCAGGGTACCCCTGTAGAAATGCAAAAATACATTGATACACCTCTTATTTTCCCAACAAAGAGAAGGGCGTGTCTGGGAGGGGATTCAGTTGAGGCCCACCTATGGTTCCCCTCAATGTTACTTGCATGGGAGAGTAAATTTCTGAAACTCTGGGCTGCTGTCTTTCTCCTCAAATGGTCAATGCATGGGTGAGACATCCCCAGTGAATAAAAATAATGATTTCCTTCCGGTTTCGTTCCAACCATGATGGGCCTTTGGGTGAGCAAGATGTCAGGCTTGGTTGTGCCACGCTGGAAGGCAGGCAGAATATGACCAACCAACTGCCCCTGTGTGTGTGTGTGTGTGTGTGTGTGTGTGTGTGTGTGTGTGTCTGTCCAGATTTCTGACAGCAGTCAGAAATATCAAAGAAACTCTTTTACTTACTGGAGGTGGAGGTGGAGGATTTGGAATATTATTCTGTGAAAGGAAAACAAATAATCACGATTTAATTAATCTGTTTTAGTCTGACACACAAAGTTATACTGCAACTAATCTGTTGATAGAAAGAAACCAAGGGATGGAAACATTTAACTTCGCTAAACAACATAACAAAAAGGCCTGAAAACCATTGCTGGCCTGGCTTTCCAGTTGACTGGAAGCCAAAACCAGACCAAACACATTTGAACACAATACGGGAGCCCAATCAATTTTTGTTGCAAGCTACAAAATTCAAATTTGTTATTAAAAGTGTGCAAAAAAAAGTTTCTGGTCAGAATAGAACCATTGATTTGATTGAGATCATCAGTCCAGTTAGTACTTGAAATCCTTTTGGAAAATTGTGGCATTCAATGAGATTGAACAATTAGTTCCAGAAAAAATGACATGGATTTCAATAAGACTGGATCTCTCCAGTGAAGCCTTATGAAGCCCTATTTGTTAAATCTAATAGTTCAGTAGGACACAAGAATGACCAATTTAGTCTGGGATTAACCCTCAGGCTTTGAGCCACAGGGGTCATCCTATCCCACAAATTATCTTTCCTAAAATGCAGGTTTCATCTCACCTGGGCCTCTGTGCTGAGCACAGAAATCAACAAAGCCGCAGCCACGAAAGAGAGCACCATTGTTCTCAGCTTGAGGGTTCCTTCCCCAAATGAGAAAGTGCCCTATCTACCAATGCGTGGATTGAGGATGGATCTTTATTGATGTATCAGGACAAGCCAGACTGCCCAAACTGAAAAGATCTATTGATCATGCCTCCAAATTACCTTATCAGTTGAGAAAGGTTAGAAGGATTTATTCATCACACAGAAGGACTAGTGCCAACTGAAACATTTTTATAGGGTGATTTATCCGATAATGAACTTGACTTGTAAGAAAATATTGATGAAATGTCATCTCTAATTTATGGGATGACAAGCAAGGATCTTGACAGAGTTAAACACTGGACGCTATCTAACAAAATGAAATTCAATGGTGAAAAAAGTAAGGTTCTACATTTAGGCAAGAAAAACCAAATGTACAGGTATAGTATAGGAGGTACCTTGCTCAATAGTAGTAACTGTGAGAGGGACCTTGGAGTCCTAGTGGACGATCACCTAAATATGAGCCAGCCATGTGCTGCAGCTGCCAAAAAAGCCAACACAGTATTAGGCTGCATTAACAGAGGGATAGAATCAAGATCTCGTGAAGTGTTAATACAACTTTACAATGTCTTGGAATACTGCATCCAGTTTTGGTCACCACAATGTAAAAAAGATGTTGAGACTCTAGAAAGAGTACAGAGAAGAGCAACAAAGATGATCAGGGAACCGGAGGCTAAAACATAAAAAGAATGGTTGCTGGAATTGGGTATGTCTAGTTTTAATGAAGAGAAGGACGAGGAGTGACATGATAGCAGTGTTCCAGTATCTCAGGGGCTGCCACAAAGAAAAGGGAGTCAAGCTATTCTCCAAAGCACCTGAAGGCAGGACAAGAAGCATGGGATGGAAGCCAATCAAGGAGAGAAGCAACTTAGAACTAAGGAGAAAGTTCCTGACAGTTAGAAGAATTAATCAATGGAACAACCTGCCTCCAGAAGTTGTGAATGCTCCAATACTGGAAGTTTTTAAGAAGAGACTGGACAGCCATTTGTCTGAAATGGTATTGGGTTTCCTGCCTGAGCAGGGAGTTGAACTCGATGACCTTCAAGGTCCCTTCCAATTTTTATTATTATTATTATCAATCATCGCACAGTCAGCCAGATGTTCAGACTGGATTTGGCATTTTGTCTACCTATCGAGTCCTTACCAAGGACCTGGGATAGGCAGATGTGGATGTTTGATGGTATTACAGGTATCGTCGCAGGATGGAATATTATTATTATTATTATTATTATTATTATTATTATTATTATTATTATTATTATTTTAAAGTGGAGACTTTCTGAAAAGCTATTTGTGGTTTAAAAGCTTTTCCTGGTTTTGTCTTGTTTAATCATCTTATCTTAATCTTTTGATTATCTTAATTCCTTAGACTTCTTTTCATTCTCATTGTGGGAGGGAATTTGAGGCAAGAGAGATCTCTGCCCACCTTGCAAGGACCTCTTTTAAATATGTGAAGTGTGATATGGACTAGTGCTTTGAGAAAATTCAAAGCATTAAAAAAGAAACATGAAGCAAATACCTGGACTGCTTCAAAAGCCAGATTCAGAACACTGATTGATTGTGTATTATCAAGTCAATCTTAGCAGCCACAGAGGTAGACTTTCTCCACCACAATTGTCCCAATCTGTTCCTTCAAATCTTACAAGGTGGCACTGATCGCCACTGAAGCTAAGTCCATCCACCTTGCTGCTGCCTCTTCTTTTTCCTTTCATAATTCCCAGTACTAGGGATGGGTCTTCATGTGTGCTTGAAGTAGAATAATTTGAACCTAATAATTTGTGCCTTAAGAGAGAACTCCGGTTTGATTTCTTAGATCCATGTCTGTTTTCTTGGCTATCCATGGGGTATTCGCCGGATTTTTCTCCAATAACAAGCATCAAAATCCCTGCTCAAAATTACCCACATCCTAGTCATCTCTCCTTTTAACTATTGCCATGTGCTTTACATGGGGCTTCCACTGAAAAGTATCTGGAACCTCCAATTGGTTTATTTATTTATTTATGAGACTTATATACCACTTTAAGTGCAAGCACTCTCTAAGCAGTGTACACCAGTAAGCAATGTATATATATATTTACATTGCCCCCAACCATCTGGGTCCTCATTCTACCTTCCCCGGAAGGATGGAAGGCTGAGTCAACCTTGAGCCGGTGAGATTTGAACCGCTGACCTGCTGAACACAGTCAGCTAAAGTGGCCTGCAGTACTGCACTCTAACTGCTGCGCCACCTCGGCTCATTGCAGTGGCTCAATTGGTTTTGTATAGGACTAGATGTGCATATGAGTCATATCTCCTGCAGGAGCAGCATTGGCTGTCATTTTGCTTCCTGGTCCAGTTTAAGGTGCTGGTTGTTACCTTCAAAGTCCTATCTGCTTGGGACCTGGTTATTTGAAAGGCCACTCTTTTCCCAGTCATATCTAATCAAATCACTGAAGCAGCAAGGCAAGGAAAATTATGGGTTCGCTCTCCTAAGGAGGTCCAGGTAGCAGGACCAAGAAAAAGGGCCTTCTCCATGGTGGTTCTCTCCCTGCTTAACATTATCCCTGCAGAGATAAGATTGGCCCCCACTTTGACACCCTGTCATAAGGCAACATGAAGACATGGTGTTATCAATAGTCCTGAGAACCCCAGATTGGGATGGAGTCCATCAACTACTTCTTTGTTCTCAACAGGGGGTTGAGGATTATTGTTTTTTTATTGGTTAAAGGATAACCTGTTAATACACATCATAAAAGATTAAGATTAGCATGCAGATGAAATTATATTTCCATGAAAACTGAAATCATATTATTAAAAATTAAATTATCCCACTATTCTGGTTTAGGAGAGAATATTAAAATCAAGGCATTTCACCTTCTCCTATTCCTGGAAAGGTACATAAACTTTTCTTGACCAAGAATGGGCAATTGTCTTCTGGACATACAATAAGAATGAAATGTATTCACCTCTGAGATCACAGAATGCGAAAGGGATTTTTATTTTGGAACTTCTTGAGGAAATCAAGGTAATGTTGGGAACATTGTTAAAAAGTCTATAAGAGACTGTGGTCTACAGAAAGATAATGAATATGCAGGATAGATATATTTGTAGCATTAAGCTCAAAGTATGCTTAGATGATGGGCTTGTAATCATGTTTTCATTTATCAGAATCAAGCAGTGAAGTGGCCTGAACCTCACTATAATATTGGAAAAAGTATAATTTTCAGAGCACAATGATAAAGACAACTCTCTGTGATAATGCTACACATATTTATTTGCAAATGTTTATTCCTGTAGAGTATCCAGTGTTCACAATTAAGAGAAAGTGCCCTAAAATCAACAGAAAGAAGTAGGATTGCTGGAGTCCTTCTCAGAAGAGAGTTGTAGTTCCCCTTTGATCCTTGATTAAGAAGAAATTATGGAAGCTGGCAAGAGAAAGTATCTGGGGTGGCTCTTTTTTTATTCTTCACAAATGCAGTTGGAGAGTCTAGAACAAAAAAGAATGAAAGTGAAATAGTTGGCATGAAAAGAGTATGCATTTGACTTGTACCCATCCATCATACAAGCCAGCTAATATTTCAGAGTTTTGTCTTCAACTTCCCCTCACTCTCAGTAACAATGCCCCCCATTCATCTACATATTTGAAAGCAAGTTGTTGTAAAATCTTAGGAAAAATCCACACCGTGTAAAGCTCTACTAAAGAAAGAATATCTTCCACACTCACCAGCATACGTTTTCCTAGTGAGATGCTTTGATTTATACTTCCTGGAAAAGTAAAAACCAAAAAGTAATTCAGTGTGAAGTAATTGAAATGTTCATTCTATTCTGGATATTAGTAGTAAAGGTGTATTGTTTAATTGTTACAATAGACATGTTGGGGATTAATTATATTGCATTGTTTGGTAAATTGATGCAACTCAATTTACTCAGTATCCTGTAGAGAAGCTTTAGACCATTCCAACAGAGGCAAGATATTTAAATGAGACAATGTGCAGTCTACATGACTGTTCCATCCTCTGCAATTGCGGCCATACCAATCCTATGCATAAGCACTCATGGATAAATAAGCATATGGGTATCAGTATTTAATTCCTTAAAAATTATACCCTTATATTGCTTAGAAGAGCTGACTAGTAATCCCTAAAAACAGCTGAAGGAAATTTTCAGATAACAATCACAGCAGTAATAGAGGCTGTTCTCACTTACCAATGGTAATTGGGATGAGAACCTCTTGATGCTAAACAATGCATTGTAACACACATCATCATATCAGACTTAAAACAGCAGTTGTGGCAGTTCCAACTGTTAGATGAATCCCACATAGTTGTAGCATCCCATAATCTCAGGATTGCCATTTGTGTTCTCCTGCCAGTTTCCCCACAGACTATGCTTGCCAGAAGATGATAACAAAGGCCACCAATGATGATTGTGTGACTGAATGATGGTACAATATCTGTAACTATTTGGATCTTTGAATTGTCACTGAGCAACTGTACATGAACGAAGGACTACCTGTATTTCTGCCTTTGAGTTTTGACTCCTGGCAATTGCCTATACTAAACCCTGCAGGGCGTTTTTTTGCATGGGGTTTCAATTTTGCCATTGGGTCCTTCCTGAGACTGAGAGAAAGGGACTGGTCCAAAGTCACCTAGCTAGCTTCATGCCAAAGGCAGAACTGAAACTCATAGTCTCCTAGTTTCTAGCCCAGTATTTTAACCACTGCATCAAACTGGCTCTCTACCTGTACACCATTATCTATTCCCCCAATCAGCTGCTGGACTAAACCAAAGATATTTCCCCAGGAATAGAAAGTGAAATTACTCACTAGCTCAGTTGTATCTTCAGGAGACTAAAAGAAGAAGAATAGATGTTACTTGTACTGTATACCAACATACCCTAAAAGACCTTTTCGTCCCAAATAATTTCTTACAAAGTCTTAATTTGTGCTTGGGAAGACTAAGGATAAAGCCCAGCAATTACCGTAATTTCCAGCATATAAAACGACTCGGCGTATAAGATGACCCCCGACTTTGGCACTGATTTGCATGCTTTAGAAAGTAGTCTTATACGCCGGAAAATACGGTACTTGGATTTTAACAGGCTGTATTAAAAATGTTTCCAAAAGACATACTAGCAAATGGAGCTTTTTGGCTTAGTATTCAAAGACTGCAAAAGACAAATGAGATGCTGTTCAGAGGAGGAATAAAACATGGAAAATGGGACCAAAGGAACCCTCACCTGGGATTTGACCTGTGAAGATTTCTGAGAAGTCTGGAAAAGGAAAAGTGAAAATTCTCATCAATGTAAAAGATTGGAAGAGTTGCTTGTTTTGGAGAAAACAAGTTTTTGAATTACAGCAATGTTTATGAAAGAAATATTTCCCTGGGATTATAATACAGGTGATAGTTGAAAGCTGAGGAATCATTCTAGAAAAGGAAGTAATTACTCCTGGAACAAAATAGTGAAAATGTTGGTAAATATATTTTATGTTGGCAGCTGATTCATCAATGGACAGGCAGGTCCTTTTGGTTGTAAATAATTATTAGAGTCCTTTGCTATTAAGAGATTTAATTTAAAGGCAGAGGATCTTGTTGTATTCTAAACAAAAGCTACTCATCTCTTTCTGCCCAGGCTTTGGCCACAAAGAAGTAGCAATCTTGGAGCCATTAAAAAACAATGCTAAGCTACAATGCAGAAAGAAGAAATTTCTTCCCACCTTCAAAGGAATAGACCTTTAAAAATTGACACACCTTTATACTTACCTGATCTGTGGAGACAGAAGTATTTTCGCCAGTGTAACCAGGTGTTCCAGAGGCAGCAGACTCAGGTCCTTCAGAGGCAGGCAATGCAGATGTACCAGGGGGTTTAGCACCAGGTGAAAGAGAGGCTGAAGGCCCAAGATATGGAAAGGCAGCACGGGTATATTGTGCAGAGGGAGGAGGGGCACGTTTTGCAGGAGTAGCAGGGGCACGTGGTGCACCAGGGGCGGGGGCACGTGCTGCACAAGGACAAGGGGCACGTAGTGCATTGGCAGCAGGAGCACGTGGTACCCCGGTGACAGGGACACGTGTTACACCAGTGGCAGGGACACGTCGTGCACAGGGACAAGGGGCACGTGCACCAGTGGCAGGGGTACGTGATGCGTAGGGACAAGGGGCACGTGGTACACCAGCAGGAGCACGTTGTGCACAGGGACAAGGGGCATATGGTGTACTAATGGCAGGGGCATATGGTACACCAGTGGCAGGGGCACGTAGTGCACAAGGACAAGGGGCACGTGGTACACCAGTGGCAGGAGCCTGTGGTACACCAGCATAAGGGACATGTGGTGCAAGGGGACGGCTGTCACTTTGTGCATAGACAGAAGAGGAAGCTTGTGCAGGGCCAGCAAAATATTGAGGACTAGGAGGAGCAGCGGGAAAATACTCAGTTTGTACATTATCACCAGGCAAACGTTGTGTAGACAAAGACTGTTCAGGGGGAACTGAACCATAATAGCTCTCCATCATAGGTGGATTCGCATAGTTAGACTGTTGCTGCAGAGCAGAAAAAAAAATGAACCAAAGTACAAGATGTAGCAATAGCACTTACACTTATATACTGCTTCACAGTGCTTTACATGCTTCTCTAAGCAGTTTACTGAGTCAGCATATTACCCCCAACAATCTGGATCCTCATTTTATGAACCTTGGAAGGATGGAAGACTGAGTCAACCTTGAACAGGTGAGAATTGAATTGCCAAACTTCTGGCAGCCAGCAGTCAGCAGAAGTAGCCTGCCGTACTGCACTCTAATCACTGCACCACCGTGGCTCATATAGACACTGATCTTGTTGATTTCCCACAATCTACATTAAAAGAAAACCAGCAACAATATTGAAGTCCATAGATGTATCTCCTTCAAATGGTTTATGCCCTCAAATCTTTCTTATATTTCATTTATATAATAAAATATAAGCCCAGAGTTGCTTTTCAGAATGAGATAGGCAGCTTATACTTAATATGTTTACATAGACCCAAATATAAAGAGAGAAAGAACTTTAACCTACATACATAACATTTTCCTCAAACAACTACACATATTTAGAAAGACAGAGAGCAGAAATAGCTAAATATACACTGAGGCAAGCAGACAATTTTTTAAAATGCTAAATGAGGCTGCCATGTCTAAGAGTATAATTTATCACAGCCAACAGTAAGCAATTAAAGACAGATAAATAGGGAAAAAAATAAAAGCAACATGTTTAAATTTTAGAACAACAAAGGCTTCTCAAAATATGCTGCTTTGTTTCAGAATACAGTACTTCAGAATACAATACTTTGCAATAGTGGCAAATCTGTAGTTTGGATAAAGGATAAGGCTGAAGTTTCGTTCTCTGAGCTTGTGGGTTGGTTTCTGAATGTTTCATTACCATTAGCCTGGTAACAAAATGTTCGGAAACCAACCCACAAATTCAGAGAACAAAACTTCACCCTCACAGTATACTTTCTTAATAAATCAGTAAGTAAATAAATGCACCTAAATAGTATCTAAATATGGTTTCTAAGGAACAAAAATATGGTGATCTCCAAATGGATGTAAACATTATTTTGGGTTGTAGGCTTGACAACCCCAACTGTTTTGCATGCTGTGGAGTGAATTGTGAACAGAATATAATCAAAAAAGTCAAGTTGGTGGTGGTGGTGGCTACAGTGAGGAAAGCTCCATCAATATTTTATGTGTGTTGCACAAACAATGTGCATAAAAAACAGAGAAAGTTTTGACTACACCATCATGGCCTCAATTGTGAGTTTTTTGCCCAATCCCTCAACAATTTTCCTGGCAGCTGTCTTAACCCAATGGGACTCTTGGGTGGGTACAGGCAGTGGTGGGATTCAAATATGTGAACAACCAGTTCTCTGTGTGGATGCTGCTTCTGAAGTCCATTCTGGGCCTGGGCAACAAAAAATTAGCTACCGGTTCTGCCGGAGTGGTGTGAACCGGCTGAATCCCACTACTGGGTACAGGTAGTCATCAACATAAGACCACAATTGAGTCCAAAATTTCCATTGCTAAGCAACATAGATGTTGAGTTTTGACCTATTTTATGACCTTTCTTTCCACACTTGATAAATAAATTACACAGTCTTTAAGTTAGTAACATTGTGGTTAAGTGAATCTGGCTTCTCCATTGACTCTGCTTGTCAAAAGGTCGCAAAAGATGATTACATGACCCCAGGATATGTCATAAATACATGCCAGTTACCAAGGGTTCAAATTTTGATCACGTGACCAGGGAGATGCTGCAATGATCATAAGTATGAAAAACGGTCATGTCACTTTTTTCAGTTCTGTTGAATGTCAAACAGTCACTAAACAAATGGTTGTAAATTGAGGACTACCTGTACTTGGAAACAGAATTTTGATTTCCTCAACACATTTCCTCAACGAAGGCAAAGAAAATAAGTAGGCCAAGGAAAAATCATACTGTTGGTATTGTGGATTAGGGTTTGCAAAATCGAGATTCTCCCTGAAGCCAGGGTTCTTTTACAGAAATTCAAAAATACATTACAAACCAGCGCTTTCTGCAACAAAGGGAAGGAAGAGTTTGGGAGGGGATTTTTAAGGAGACTCACAACTAAATCCGCACATATAGAGGCCCTTAATATCCTTCCTAGGCAAGGCTTATAGGCATCCAGGATAATACTAATAAATAATGTTTACATTCCTCATTGCCTCTAAAAGATGGAAGTGGCATACGCTGGAGTCTTGCCTAATTTTACCCTTACAACAACTGTAAGGAAAGATGCTATAGGTCATCTTTGTTTAGCAACTGCCTCAGACCGAGAGTTACAACAGTGAAGAAAAGGTAGCTTTGGGACCATCACCTGCGTATACAACTTTCGCAGCATCTTCACCATAAAGTCAGTTAGTACACATTATCCTGGATCAAATTGTAAGCATAGTCACAGTTCTGTGGTTTTTCATTTAGCAGTTACTTTGCTAACTGATCCCAATTGCAGTCATAAAATGAGGATTGCCTGTACTAGTGGCTCTTGATTAAAAGATCCTACCTGTAGTAGTTTTCACATTATTTTTACTTTAAATAAACTTTGTTATAAGATCCTGCAGCAGTAAGGAGTGAAGTGAGGACACTCCAGATGTCTGTCTTCCTTCTCTGTCCTCAAGCAGTGTTTGTCTCAATACAATCCCCTAGAGCTACCCTTGATAGTATACCTATCCCAGATTTGGAAGCCCCTACCCTTGAATGGGACCCTAGGATTTTCAGGGCTGGGTAGTTTTATCTATCTATCTATCTATCTATCTATCTATCTATCTATCTATCTATCTAGCTAGCTAGCTAGCTATCTAGCTATCTAGCTATCTATCTATCATGTCTAAGACTAAAAATCAAGCTTGTCAGATGCTATATTTTTTCTATCCTGCTCTATGGAGTAGAAAGTTGGTCTCTGACAGAAGGCCACCTGAAGAGACTAGAAGCATCTGAAATGTGGATTTACTGGCAGCTGTTATGTATAAGCTGGGTTGACAAGATCAGAAATGAGATGATAAGCCACCTGGGAAAGCTAAGGGAAATTATCAAAACAATTAAAAAATGAAAATTAGAATATTTTGGACATGTGATGCGACACCCAGAAAAATACGGCATACTCCATTTAACCCTCCAGGGAAAGATTGAAGGCAAACGAGGTCCAGGCAGAAGAAGAACATCATGGCTTCAAAATCTAAGGGACTAGTTTGGACAAAACTCAGCAACACTTTTTTGTGTGGCTGCTGATAAAAACAGAATCGCCAACATGATCGCCAACGTCCGATAATGGATATGGCACAACAAGAAGAAGAAGATCTATCTATCTAGACCATCAGCCTAACTGAATACTTCAAATCGCTTTGAAAAATTGTGGCATCTAATGGCACTGTCCGATTTGGTTTAGAAAAAATCATTCCGTTTAGATATGTACTTGAATAGAGTTTAAACTGGATCTCTTTAGTGAAACTTTATACAAGCCTATATGTTACATCTAAGATTTCAGTAGGACCCAAAGGCTACCTGTTTAGTGTGGGATTAACCCAAAGAGTTTGAGCGATAGGGGTTCCTCCGTCATCCCATATGTTACCTTTCCTAACATGCAGGTTTCACCTCACCTGGGCATCTGTGCTGAACACAGAAATCATTAAAGCAGCAACCATGCAGGACAGCTTCATTTTTCTCAGCTTGAGGTTTCCTTCCCCAGATGAGAAAGTATGTATGAATATGCAAGTGAAGGATGGATATTTATTGATGTATCAGCACAAGCCAGACTGCCCAAAGTGAAAGCAGCAATTGATGGTGCCTTCAAATTATCTTATCAGTTGAGAAAGGTCGGAAGGATTTGTTCTCTACAAGGAAAAATCTGGTGCCAACTGAAACATTCTTTCACACTGCAGGTAAATTTTCTCGAGAATGAACTTGATCTGCCACAAAATATCAACAAATGTCCCTCTCCAATTTATCTGATGATAAGCAAAGTGGCCAGTTTCTGAAAGGCCATTTGTAGTTCAGAACTTTTCTCTGATTTTGTGGTGTCATACAACTGACTTATATTTTGATTGCCTTATTTTAGTTCCTTGGATTTCTTTTCCTTCTCATTGGGGAGGGGGGAAAGGGGTTTTAAGAGGGAGGGGTCTCTTGCCATCTTTCAAGAACCTCTTAAATATCTGAACTGTAGTATGGACAGCTACTGTAAGGAAATTCAGAAGATTAAAAAGGGATACAAAGTGGCTAACTGTCCTGTTTCAAAAGCCTGATGCTGAGCTTTGATTGATTGATTGATTATGTGCCATCAATGCGAGATCAGTCTAATCAACCACATAGGTAGATTTATAGATGTCTGCAGGATAAGTGTTCCTAGCTCGGTCCTTCAAGTTTTATAATGGGGCACTCATGAAACCAAGTCCATCCACCTTCCTGCAGGTCTTCTCTTTCCTTTTACAATTCCCAACCTTAGAGGTAAGTCTGGATGAGTTCCTGAAATGGAATAATTTGAGCCCAATAGGTAGTTTATTGATTGATTAGACTTACAACCTTATCAATTAAATAGAACAGGGCTTTTCAATCTTTTCACCCATTGTACCACTTTTAGGATATGACAACATCCGAGTACCACCAGTCGCCTAGCAAGGTGTCAAAAACTTCATGACCCCCCCCCAAAAAAAGGAAAAAAGTGATAAAGTAAGGTAGTCCTCGACTTACAACAGTTTGCTTAGTGACTGTTCGAAGTTACAATGGCACTGAAAAAAGTGCCCCACAAGCCATAGCTGAGCAAGACACCTGCCTGCCCACCCAGCAGTGCTCTTCCTCCTGTCCGAGGTTTTGATTGTTGTGAGCATTTCTGTTGAGGATTTGCAGTGGGGGTGGGGTGAGGTGAATGTGGTTTTTATTTCCCCCGTCTGATGGGTGGTTGCAGCAGGTTTTGGTCATTTCACATGACCCTGGGACACAGTGACTGTCATAAATATGAATCAGTTGCCAAGCATATGAATATAAATCACAAGACCCTGGAGATGCTGCAACATTCCAGCTGATCAGCGCTTCTTCTGGCTCAGCAGAAGCGCCAGGATTAGCGCCGAGTTCCAGCTGGAGCCTGGCACTGATCCTGGCACTTCCACTGAGCCCTGACAGCCCCAAAGAAATGCTGATCCTGGCGCTTCCGTTGAGCCCTGACAGCCCTGCAGCTCCAGCCATCTCTCGCTCAGGCTTGTGTGGTGCTGCCACTGGTTCAGCTCATTCCCCTCCCCTGCTACCACTTTCCTAGGATGGTCACATACCACTTGCCAGGTGCCAATGTACCACAGGTGGTACCCGCACCACTGGTTGAAAAGCCCTGAAATAGAATACAATACAGTACATTGTCTAATTTCAGAATATGATAGATTGGAGGAAATAATGTGATAAAATACAAATGTATTAATATAAAGGGGGTAGTAATCAGATAAATGAACTTCCTTTGCAGGTTGCCTCAATTTATTCAAAGCATCAGGTTCGCAGTTATAAACCTAGCCGTTCTACATACAATACGTACATTGGATCCTGGCCTGAAGTAACCTCCCCATCACAAGATCCATCACAAGCTTCTCACTGGTGACTCACACCTGACCCATCACAAGACCATCACTTGACACACACACACCTGAAGCCCTTATAAACAGAAGAGCACTGACACAGACATGCCCTAAACTCTGCTGAAGGTTTACCTAGCCTGGTAACAAAACATTTAGAAATCCACCAGCTCAGAGAACAAACCTTCACCCTCATGTACATTTTAGCCCAGGAAGAAATACAACAATCTGTGGTTGGGATGCCAGTGAGCTGTTCTTTCCAAAATGGATGATAAGTATTTCAGCCTAATGGGGCATATACTGTAAGTGACTTCTTCTTCTTCTTCTTCTTCTTCTTCTTCTTCTTCTTCTTCTTCTTCTTCTTCTTCTTCTTCTTCTTCTTCTTCTTCTTCTTCTTCTTCTTCTCTTCTTCTTCTTCTCTTCTTCTTCTTCTTCTTCTTCTTCTTCTTCTTCTTCTTCTTCTTCTTCTTCTTCTTCTTCTTCTTCTTCTTCTTCTTCTTCTTCTTCTTCTTCTTCTTCTTCTTCTTCTTCTTCTTCTTCTTCTTCTTCTTCTTCTTCTTCTTCTTATTCTTCTTCTTCTTCTTCTTCTTCTTCTTCTTCTTCTTCTTCTTCTTCTTCTTCTTCTTCTTCTTCTTCTTCTTCTTCTTCTTCTTCTTCTTCTTCTTCTTCTTCTTCTTCTTCTTCTTCTTCTGCTATATCCATTAACAGACGTTGGCGATCATGTTGACAGTCAAATAAAATATGAGAAATATTTTCAATGGCTGGATCCTCTAATAGGGAGGTTTTCTCAAAATGTGGCAAATGGTGGAAGCACTATTTGGCCCAGGAGTCCAAATACTCAAATATTACTCTAGAATTGTGATAGTTTCAATGACGAGTATTTTTCAAGTTGAAAAATAGTTTTCATCTTAATGCTTGTGGCATTAATGTCAAGGTATTACTTAGATGAAGGGCTCATAATCAAATGCTTTTACTTGTCAGATTCAACCATGCATTGATGTAACCTGAATGTCACTGTAATATTGGAAACAAAATCATTTTTGGAGCACAATGATAAAAAAACACTCTGTGATAAGGCTATATACAGCATATCTCCCAACCTTGCTCATAATTCACAAAGCCCTTCATATTTGTTGTAGGTGTAGCTCCTAAATCTCTGCCTTATAGGTACATCATACCTTTTAAGATTATCTTTGACATTATTGACATTATTGACATTATTCACTACATTTTTTGCTGCAAGACTGCTATAAGCACTCAAAGCCTTTCCTGTTAAACAGATGGCTAGTCTGGTCACCCATTCACTTTCAGGCCACTTGAAGGAGGTAGACATTCTTTCAAACATAGTAAAATAATAAAAGCCATCACTAAAGGCTTTCAAAAAGAGACTAGATAACCATTTGTCTGAAGTGGTATAGGGCTGTGGTGGTGAATCTACAGCACACAGGCCACAGATGGCACATAGCCCTCTCTGTAGGCACATGGACCGTCAACTCGGTCCTAGGCCTTCAGCGTGGTGTCAATGTTGCAAATATTGTATATTTTTGCTTTGACAATATGCAGAACTGTCTGGTATTTTTGAGGTTAATACAGAGCAGAAGGGGTGGAGGCAAAGCCAGGGGAAAGAAAGAGGAAGGAAACCTTTGACCTTCACACTAATTGGATAATGTGTCATATGACAGCTAATTTAGGGAGGGAACATGCTAATAATTTAACTGCTCAGAGGAAGAGAACTTAGATCTTAGCATAAAACTTTGTTATGCCTGTGCCGACATTTTGAAGCAATAAAAGACTTTTAGGGAAATCAATGCCTGGAAGTTCTTTGAAGTATTTTATTAGCCGGAACCATAACCCTGGGTTTTATAAAAACTTTTCGCTTTAGGCCTCCACTGCCATGTGCAAAAAAAAAAAAAAGGTTCAATCAGTCAATTAATTTCAACTTCTCATGGGAAAAAAAAGATCTCTCAAAGTTGGAATTGCTTGATTGAACTTTTTAGTCCCACCCAATCTACCGTTACCACCACAGCCATGCCCACCCAATGGGCCACACCCACCCAATGGGCCACACCCACCCAGTGGGCCACACTCATGCAATGGGCCACACCCACCCGGCACCCGACGATACATGTGGGTTTTGGGTTTCAGTTTGGGCACTCAGTCTCTAAAAGGTTCGCCATCACTGATATAGGGTCTCTTGCTCAAGCAGGTGGTTGAACTAGATCTCCAAGGTCCTTTCAACTTTATTAGTCTATGTTCTATAAAAATAGGGTTCTATGTCTTCTTCCTTTGACAGCTTGGGGATTTTTATATCTTTAGGACCACCCCCAGTTCCTTTTGGTGACTGTATCCCTTTAAATAGATCTATCAGTCCCTTAAATTCTTCTTCTGCTTCTCTTTCACTTTTTTCCCCATTCCAGCCTATCCTTTTTTTTCTCTCTCCATAGCTCCATTCTTCCTTTTTCATCAATCATAGTCTTTCCTCTTGCTGCTGCCTATGTCAATTATGTGACTGTATTGGTCCAAATATCTGGGCCAATCTACCTACTGCTTTGGTTTTACCACAGATCTAGCCTGGACACTTGTTTCTACCAAGGTAGAAGCCTTATCTAGATGAGAAGTTGCTTTCCATATTAGACATGTTTGGTGTAGCTCTAGTAGAGGGTCTGGTTTGCTAGCCAGAATGATGGCTAGTTTCTGCAAAGTCTATGCATTTTGTGAGAGCCAAATGTATTTTCTTTTCTAGCCTCTCTTTTAACCAAGGCTTTATAGAGTATGCACTGAACTGCTTGAATTTAAGCCACTTCCAGTTGTGCGTTTGCGCTCTTAAGTTGGATATCCCACTTTTTAGATATCCCCATTTGTTTTGTGGACTTTTTGGTTATTCTGCCACTTAGTCATAGATTCATTTCTGTATACCCAGGTCAGGGAGCCAACACCCCCCCCCCTTCCTAAGCACTCAAAGGCTAGTACTCACTTTAATATATCACTCTTACCCCAGTTCTACTACCCTCCTGTTCTTTCATCACTCCTCTTTGGAGAACAGTAACTTTCTATTTGTCTTAGGCTGCTTCAGGTGCTTTTATTTCCCAAATGAGACCTTCCCTCTCATTGTCACATCAACACCACATCAACACCAACATTGCCACACACAACTGCCCACATGTCACTAGGCAAGCTAGGGAGAGGTCTAAAAGGGATAGGACACCATCAGTCCAGCTGCTGGCCATTTTGCAGGAAACCTGTCCTCTCATAGTTGGGAACATTGTGAAAAATCTATTAAGCTTATAAGACAGGGGCCTCCAACCCCCAGTCTGAGGACCGGCAACGGGCCGCGACATGCCTGAAATCAGGCCGCGCAAACAAGCAAAGCCCCATCTGCAGGATGCAGGCAATACATGAAACCACTCCCCCTCTGGTTCATGGGAAACCCTCTCTCCACGGAACCAGTCCCTGGTGCCCAAAAGGTTGGGGACCTCTGCTATAAGAGACTGTGGTCTGCAGAAAGGTAATAGAAAGTTGGGATAAATATGATTGTGGCATTAAGCTCAAAGTTTGCTTATATTATGGGCTCATCATGCTGTCATTTATTATAATCAACCAAGTATCTGTGGAGATTCTCAGTCATCCAGGTCATAGTTATCCCAAAGATGCTTTTTCACAAGGCAACTGGACTTTCTTGTTTTTGTTTGAAGATTTTTCGCTTCTCATCCAAGAAGCTTCTTCAGCTCTTCCCCACCATCCAGTCAGAGCTAAAGAAGCTGTTGTGGTTCCGGCTAATGAAACATTCCAAAGAACTTCCAGGCATTTATTGTCCTAAAAGTCTTTTATTGTTACAAAATGTCGGCACAGGCACAATGGAGGGATGCTAGGATCTAAGTTCTCTTCCTCTGAGCAGTTCAATTATCAGCGTGTTCCCTCCCTAAATTAGCTGTCATATCTCACACTATCCAATTAGTGTGAAGGTCAAATGTTTTCTTCCTCTTTCTTTCCCGGGCTTTACCCCCAATGCCCCTTCTGCTCTTTATTAACCCCATATTTACCAGACAATTCTGCATATTGTCAAAAGCAAGAATATACAATATTTGCAGCGTTGACAGAAGCTTCTTAGACGAGAAGCAAAACATGTTCCAAGAAAAACAAGAAAGTCCAGCTGCCTCATGAAAAAAGCATCTTTGGGATAATCAACTAAGTATTGACATAGCCTGAACTTCACTATAATATTGGAACAATAATAATTCTCAGAGCACAATGATAAAGATAACACTGTGTGATAATGCTGCACATATTTATTTGTAAATGTTTATTCTTGTAGGCTAACCAGTGTTCACAATTAAGAGAAAATGCCCCCAAATCAACACAACAGAAAGAAATGTGATTGCTGGAGTCCTTCTTAGAAGAAAGTTGCAGTTCCCCTCTGATCTTTGATTAGGAAGAAATTATGGAAGCTGGAAAGAGAAAGCATGGGAGGGGGCTCCAGGTTTTATTTTCAGCCAATGCAGTTGGTGGATCTAAAAATAACAAGATTGAAAGTGAAGTATTTGGCATAAAAACTGTATGCAGATCACTTTTAGCAATCTATAATGAAAGGCAGCTAATAGTTCAGAATTTTACCTTCAACCTCCCCTTACCCTCAATGAAAGCAAGTTTTTGTAAAATACCAGGAGAAATCTCCAGAATGTAAACCTGTATTAAAGCAAAGAGCATCTGCCATACTCACTGTCATAAATTTTCATAGGAAATGCTTTGATTTAGATATCCTGGAAAAATAAAAACAGAAAAGAAATTCAGCACAAGCTAATTAACTGGAGTGTTCATACTATCAAAGATGGTCATAGGAAAAATGTACTGTTTAACAATACACAATAGATGAAATAGGGAAATAATTCCATTCTATTACTTGTTGAATTAATTCATTCCTAGAATATCCTGTAGTGCAGCCTTTGGCTAATTCCAAAAGAGGTAAGGTAAATAGGCAATGCACAATTTACATGATTCTTCCATCTTCTGCAGCTGCAGCTGTGCTGATCCTATGCATATGGTCTCATGGAAAAATCACCATATAGGTATCAGCATTTAATTCCTTAATAAATATACCCTTATATTGTTCGTAAGAGCTGACTAGAAATTCCCACAGTAAACTGAAGGAAATTTTCAGAGCATAGGGATCAAAGCAGCAATACAGATTGTCCTCACTTTCCAAAAGCCATTGGGAGTAGAAATTCTTACTAAATGATGCGTCGTAAGGCACATCATCAAAGAACACACCAACTTAACAATGGCAGTTCCAATCGCCATCGTTAGGTGAAACCCATAAAGTTGCAGCACCCAGAGTTGCCATTTGCAATTCTGTGGGATTCAACTAACAATGGTTTGGTTTCCCCACTGGCTTTGCTTGTCAGAGGTTGGCAACAAAGGCCACAAATGGGGATCACATGCTACAATAGTTGCAACCATGTGGACCTTCAAACAATCACTGAGCCAGTGGACATGAAAAACGGACACCTTTTGTTTTCTACCTTTGAGTTTTGATTTCTGGAAATTGCCTGTACTAAGCCCTTTAGTTTTCGTGGCAAGGTTTTTCAGAAGTGGTTTGCCATTGCTTTCTTCCTGAGGCTGTGTGAGAGAGGGACTGGTTCAAAGTTACTCAGCTGGTGATGTTGCCCATGAATACCAGCTGGCTAGATGCCTAAGGTGGCACTAAAACAGTCTCCTGGTTTCTAGACCAGGGCTTTTCAATCTTTTCACCCATTGTACCACTTTTAGGATACAGTATGACAACATCCAAGTACCACCAGTTGCCTAGCAAGGTATCAAAAACTTGATGACCCCCCCCAAAAAAGAAAAAAAAGTGATAAAGTAAGGTAGTCCTTGACTTACAACAGTTCGCTTAGTGACTGTTCGAAGTTACAATGGCACTGAAAAAAGTGCCCCCCAAGCCACAGCTGAGCAAGACACCTGCCTGCCCACCCAGCGGTGCTCTTCCTCCTGTCCGAGGTTTTCATTGTTGTGAGCATTTCTGTTGAGGATTGGCAGCGGGGGTGGGGTGGGGTGAGTGTGGTTTATATTTCCCCCGCCTGCTGGATGGTTGCAGCAGGTTTTGGTCATTTCACATGACCCTGGGATGCTGTGACTGTCATAAATATGAATCAGTTGCCAAGCATCTGAATGTAAATCACAAGACCCTGGAAATGCTGAAACATTCCAGCTGATCAGCGCTTCTTCTGGACTCAGCAGAAGTGCCAGGATTAGCACCGAGTTCCAGCTGGAGCCTGGCACTGATCCTGGCACTTCCACTGAGCCCTAACAGTCCCGAAGAAGCGCTGATCCTGGCACTTCCGCTGAGCCTGAAAGCCCTGCAACTCCAGCCATCTCTTGCTCAGGCTTGTGTGGTGCTGCCACCGGTTCAGCTCATTCCCCTCCCCCACTACCACTTTTCTAGGATGGTCGCGTACCACTTGCCAGGTGCCAATGTACCACAGGTGGTACCCGTACTACTGGTTGAAAAGCCCTGTTCTAGACCAGTGCCTCTAACCACTGCACCCAACTGGCCCTCTACTTGTATAGGGATCCTTTTGTTCAACTAGTCCAGGGGTCTTCAAACTTGGCCCTTTTATGACGTGTGGACTTCAACTCAGCATGCTGGCTGAGGAATTCTGGAACTTGAAGTCCACAAGTCATAATAGGACCAAGTTTGAAGACCCCTGAACTAGACCAAGGGTGTCAAACTCAGTCGTGTCACTTGACATATCATGACATATTGTGACTTTTTTCCATTGCAGAACTGCGGTGGGTGTGGCCTGCATGTGACATATCCAGCCACCATATCCAGCCACCCAGGGGCCACCATTTTGACACCCCTGAACTAGACTAACTCAAAGCTATTTCCCTGGGAATAGAAAGTAAAAATTACTCACCAGCTCAGTTATTTCTTCAGTCGCCTAAAAGAAGAAGAAGAACAGAGATTACCAACATACTCTAAAAGATCATTTCATCTGAAATCATTTCTTATGAAGTCTTATATTGTGCCTGAGAAGGCTAATAAAGCTTGTCAATTACTTGGATTTTAAACAGTCTGTATTAAAAATGTTTCTAAAAGACATACTAGTAAAGGGAGCTTTTGGATTGGTATTTGAAGATTGGAAAGGAAAAAGTAGACGCTGCTCCTATATTGAAGTAATAAAACATGCAAAACTGGGCAAAAGGAATCCTTACCTGGGATTTGTCCCGTAAAGATTTCTTAGACTTCTGCAAAAAGAAAACCAACAATTCACATCAGCATTCAAGGAAATGTAAAAAGTTGGAAAGGGTGTTTGTTTTGGAGAGAAGAAGTTTTTGGCTAAAAGAAAATGTTTACGGCTATTTGTATGAAAGTAATATTTGCCCAGGATTCCTATGCTGGCTTTGCCTGAGGAATCAGAACAAGAAAAGGAAGTAATTACTCCAGGATCGAAGGAGTAAAAATGTTGGTAAAGATTTGTTAAAAGGAAATAAAGATTCATCTGGAATTATCCTGCAGTATTTTTTTCTCTCAATTTTGAAAGAGAATAGGCAGGAACTGCTTCCCTTTTTTGAGAATGCCTGTACACTTATTTATATGTTCCTCACTTTGGTATTATAAGATGGGGGTCAGAATACCACAGAAAGAAAGGAAGTAGAGGAGACGCGTATATATAATTTTTGATTCCACTGTATGACAGATGAGGCAAAACCTGCTGGCTGGAAACATTCACTTAAACCTCATGGGCTAGTGTTCACATTTTCCAGAAAGAAGACAAATTAATATTGTTTGCCTGTTCCCAGAAAGCTCCTGGATGAAATGACATTTTGCATCTGCAAAGACCCTACTAGTGTCTCTCTCTTTCTCTCTTGAAAAATCTGCTCTGATGTAACCACTTTGCCCCCTGCCTTTGTCTCCCTCATGAAGAATAGTCAGAAAAAAAAGAGATCAGTCATATTGTTGTTGTTAATTGCGAAGTCGTGTCCGACCCATCGCGACCCCATGGACAACGTTCCTCCAGGTCTTCCTGTCCTCTACCATCTTCTGGAGTCCATTTAAATTCACACCTACTGCTTCAGTGACTCCATCCAGCTATTTCATTCTCTGTCGTCCCCTTCTTCTATTGCCCTCAATCTTTCCCAGCATTAGGCTCTTCTCCAGTGAATCCTTCCTTCTCATTAGGTGTCAGTCATATTAGAAAAGGCTTTAACTAGAACAGTGATGGTGAAACTATGGCAAGCGTCCCAGAGGTGGCACTCAGAGCCCTCTCTGTGGGCACACCTGCCAGTGCTGCTGCCAGCTTGTGCAGGTCCATTAGGCTACCACTGGCACCTGGAGTGGCAGTCTCACCCAGCATGAAGAAGGCGAAGCAGCTGGCTAGCAAGCTCAAGTAGAGACAGTAGAGCACGCACCCCATGCGCTCGCTGGCCTCTGTGTGTGGGGGCTGATGGTGTCAGGCAGCAGCTGCCCCTGCCTCACCTTGCCCCACAGCAATGGCACCCCTGCCGTGCCCCCTGCCTCATCCCGCAGGACGAGCCTCCTGCCCACTGCTCCACCCACCAAAGACCCCCTGGATCTCCCCCAATCCTGCCCAGCCCCCACAGGCATCCCCCCATGAGCAACATCAAGGTGGCCATGCCCACCTCGGCCACGCCCACTCAGTCTGCCATGACCACTGCAATCACACCCACCCATGGGCCACCCCTGCCCCCACCCCCGAGGGCACCACAATGTTGATGCGGCCCTGGAACTTCACGATATATAAGCACTCGGTCTCTAAAAGGTTCGCCATCACTGAACTAGAAGTTTAGCATCATAGCACCTTTTCAATGCCAAGCGATGGAGAGTGTAACATCAGTTGATAAAATACTACTAATTCTTTTCAGTGAATGTTTGCATAGAAATATATTCAACAGAGCAAATTGTGGATGCATATTAATCTTTGGTTTATAACTTGGCCAGTCTCAGGGAAGCTTTTGTGACCAAATAGAAAAAAAATATAGGAGCAAGACCACCACCGATGTCATATATATGTCCTGTTCCTTGCAATATTTCTGACAGATGCCCAGGCCTGGTGCCCTGAGTATGTGAAGGGTCCTGTCTCCTGGTTGTGTTAACAACCATTGATTGTAATATCTTCCTTGACTGCTGTGTAGTTTAATGTTTGTATTACTGATTGAAATACAAGAAATCCTGTTCCCAAGCCATTTCCAAATCACCGAAGGGTTTATTATTATTATTTTGCATGATTGTATAAAGCAGTGGTGGCGAACCTATGGCATGCATGCCAGAGACGGCACTGAGAGCCCTCTCTGTGGGCACACTCACCATGCCCCGGAGATGGCAACTGTCCCTCTTCAACCAGCCGCCTGCTAACTTGCCGAGGTCCCACATGGCTAGATGCATCCCCGCACCCATGAGCTCACTGGCCTCTGTGTGCAGGGGCTGATGGTGTCAGGCAGCAGCCACCCCGGCCCCTGCCTCATCTTGCTCTGTGACAATGGCACCCCCACCCTGCCTCACCTTGCCTCACCCCGTAGGACGAGCCTCCTGCCCACTGCCCCACCTGCCAGAGACCCCCTAGATCTCCCCCAACCCTGCCCAGCTCCCATAGGCATCCCTCCCCATGAGCAACATTGAGGTGATCATGCCCACCTTGGCCACACCCACCCAATCTGCCATGACCACCACAGCCACGCCCATCCAGTGGGTCACACCCACCTGGTGCCCAGTGATAAATAAGTGGGTTTTGGGTTGCAGTTTGGGCACTCGGTCTCTAAAAGGTTTGCCACCACTAGTATAAAGATTCACAACAACAACATCTAAAATGTGTATCAAAATATGAAACATCAGTGAATTATTTTAAAAACACCCAGTATAAGTGATGAATAAAATTATAAATAAAATTAAATAATGTATCAGCAGTAACTAGACTAAACATATGGCTGGATAGCTAAATAATTTAGCCATCAGATAGTAGTGTCCTTGTACGCATAGTCTATATGTAAAGTATGTATAGTCAAGGCCATAGTTTTCCCAGTTGCAATGTATGGCTGTGAAAGTTGGACCATAAGAAAGGCTGAGCGCAAAAGAATTGAGGCCTTTGAGCTATGATGCTGGAGAATACTCCTGTGAGTCCCTTGGACTACAAAGCATTCAAACTGGTCAGTCCTAGAAGAGATCTGACTGCTGTTTAGAAGGCCAGATCCTGAAGTTGAAACTCAAATACTTTGGCCACCTAATGAGAAGGAAGGACTCACTGGAGAAGAGCTTAATGCTGGGAAAGATGGAGGGCAATAGAAGAAGGGGACAACAGAGAATGAGGTGGATGGATGGAGTCACCGAAGCAGTAGGCGTGAGCTTAAGTGGATTACAGAAGATGGTAGAGTACAGGAAGGCCTGGAGGAACATTGTCCATGGGGTTGCGATGGATTGGACACGACTTCACAGCTAACAAGTAGTGCCCTTGAGTTGGTATATTACATGCAAGGATCCAAGGAAACTTCTAAGGGGGCATTCCATTGCAATATGATGTAAAGCTTGTGGGAACTTCTTCCCCCACCTCCAAAGAAATAGCCCTTCAACAATGGGCACATTTTCATACTTACCTGACCTTTCAAGGCAGAAGTCTTTTTGTCAAATTTAACAGATGCGTCAGAAGCACCAGATTCAGGTTCTTCAGACAATGTGAATGTATCAGGAGACTGAGCAGCAGATGAAACCAAAGCAACAGGGTCACGTTGTGTAGAAGCTGGATAGACACGTGCAGGGGCAGCAGGGGCACGTGCCAAAGCAGGATAGCTACGTAGTGGAGGGGGAGGACGGGCACTTGGTAGAGGGACACGGTATGCAAAGGCAGAAGGGACACGCGGTGCCAAGGGAGGACGGACAAATTGTGGAGGGGGAGACAATGGGGCACTAGCAGAATATTGAGGATTATAAAGTGCAGAGGGAACAGAGCCAGTTTGTAGTTGGGAAGGAGACAAAGGTTGTGCAGGGAAAGGTTTTGGGGGAATTAAACTATGGTAGCGATTCATGGTAGGATTAGATGGATTCCAATAGTTAGACTGTTGCTGCAGAACAGAAAAAAATGATATAGTCACTGATCTCATTTGTTTCCTATAATCCTCATTAAAACAGATTAGACACTTGTGTGTCTAATTACACATGGCCAAATAAATGCTGCTAACATTGGATGCATTTCAAGCTAATTGGAGAATGTGATTTATGACTGTAAATTAGAGGAGGGAATTGTGCTTTGATACTATGTGCTCAGGGGAGAGGAATCCAGTTTTTGGCTTTGAATGTGTTAGTGCTGATGCTATGCTTTTCAAATAAAAAATCTTTAAGGTAAACAATACCTAGAAGTTCTTTCAAGAGTTTCATCTGTCGGAACCATAACATTATTCCCAGTTTCCATCTGGGTTCCTGTAAACTACAAACCAATAACTGCAGCCTAAAAGAGGGACAGGCTTATCTCAACACTAACCCTGAAGGAATTAAATCCATTTCATTACAGGGAGCTGAATGAGTAGAAAACATTGGGAAATTTAATCTTCTGCAAGAGTTTGGATTTGGGGACCGTAGAGAGAGACAGATCTGCATCTCCAGCCTTCCCTAATTTCCTCCCAGCAAACAGATGCTTCCAATGTCCCCGCTTTGGCAGGAAAAGCTCTTATGAATGATTAGCTGTGCTTGGCTAAACAAGATTCGGGATCCAATACAACTGTGGTTCTAGATCCTATGGAGTACCGTAGCTGTAGTAAAAAAATGGTTGTAATTACTAGATAAGAGAAGAGGGGAGCTGAATAATCCAGATCACTGTAACTTTCATATCTAGGATCTTCCTAGAACAATATTTCTCACATTGGCAATTATTAAGATGTATGAATATCAATTCCCAGAATTCCCTGGCTCGAGAATTCTGGGAGTTGAAGTCCATACATGATAAAATTGCCAAGGCTAAGAAACATTGCTCTAGGAAGATCCTAGATATGAAAATTTGTCCTAGAGTAGCAAAACAATTTTTTTAGTTACGCTGCTCATATCTCCTTACACAAAATTCAGAATAGGATGCATTGAAGAGTTGTGTCCATGAAACAAGAACTATTTAAAACTTAAGCAAGATGCAGACCAACAAACAAAGCTTTCTGCATTTCCCTGCTTACTATAGCCAAGACCCAACTATAACAATTCAGGGGGGAAAAGCAACAATTCACTTTTTGACATCTTTGCCCTCTATGAGTCTAGGGAAAGAATATGTTTGATATTTAGGGATAGCTGAAACTTCTCCCACCTCCAAATAAATAGGCCTTCAAGAGGACTGGTCGCGCTTTCATACTCACTGTGCCAAGGTAGTCAGGTGAAGCTATCCCAGGATAAACAAAAGGAGGTGTATGGTAATGAGGGAAAGCAGGCCCAAACGGTTGCACAGCGACAGGTAAAGATTGTTGAGCAGTGCCTACATCAGAGTAGCCTTGAGGATAAAATGGGAAGCCTTGAGGATAAAACGGGAAGTCTTGAAGATAAAAAGGGTAGCCTTGTGGAAAACCAGGATAGCCATATGTGGATAGAGGAGGTTGATGATACTGCAGAATGAAACAATCAGAACAGAAAAATCAAAATAGAGTGACTAATCTCAATGGTTTCCAACAATCCCCATTAAAGAAAACCCATCAACCACATGGAAGCCCATGGATGTATCTCCTCCCAGAGGCTGTCCTGCAGAGATGAGTGACAGGAGTTTTCCCCTGTCCTCTTTCTGCCCCCCTGCTGTGATGGATTACAGTTCCCAGCAGCATTGCATCCTGGAGGTGCCTGGAACTTGCATCCCAAACATTTACCAGGTTCAAAGGATTTCCGCAGCATATTTTAAATGTTGGCATTATTTTCAAATGGTTCCTTCTGGACTCCTGTAAACAATAAACAACTAAGTGTAAACTTTATCACAGTGGTAACCTGGATGGACTTGTACACAGAGCAGGGAGCTGAATGCATAGAAAAATGTGGGAAATTAAGTCCTCTACAAAGATTTGGATTTGGGGGTTGTTGAGGGAAACAGATAAGGACCTCCAGCCTTTTCCCAACAAATCTGTTTGCTTCCAGACCAGTGGTTCTCAACCTTTTTAATGCCGCAACCCCCAACCGGTCGTAAGTTGAGGACTACTCGACCGATCGTAAGTCAAGGACTACTCAACTGGTGCAGCACCGTTTGCAGAATGGGATTTTTGGCGGGTTCAGCAGGGCAGAGACAGCCTGGACAATTCCTATTGGTTTTTGAAAGCCAATAGAATTAGACTCTATTCAAGAGAGTCTATTCTATTGGCTTTCAAAAACCAATAGAATAAAACGGAGTAGCACAGCTAAGGAAAAGGGGGAAAAATGGCCGACTGCGTTGTTTGGCGACCCCCGTGAAATGGTCGTTCGACCCCAAATGGGGTCCCGACCCACAGGTTGAGAACCAGTGTTCTAGACAATAGATACTCCCAACTTCCCTGCACTGACTTAAAAATTCCACTGCGCTGTTATGAGTGATTAGTTGTGTTTGGTTAAAAAAGGATCAAGATCCAGAATGGCTGTGGTTCCAGAATCTATGGAGAATCGTAGCTGTGGTCTGATGAAGTCAAACAAAATGGATAAGGGAAGAGAGGAGAAATAACTCTCATATCTGGGGTCTTCTCAGGGCAATAAAAATGCATTTAACTGTTTTATATGGCTCAAGGAGCTTCTCACTTGTAACAAGTGAAGCAGCTCTTCCAGGAGCAGAAGGTGAGTGCTTGCTGTCCATTCTCTGCCTTTCCTGGTTCACCACCCTATAAGAGACTTCTTTATCTTAACAGTGGTAGTGCCAACTGCATTCCTGTTAGTAAGTGGCAGATACAACGGTGCTGGGTGGACAGGAAGAGAAAGGAAATGGTGTTGTCATGTCTACTATTTTGCCCCTGGACATTGTTGAATGTCTAAAGTTTCTCTTAGCAGCTTAGCCCTGTTGGCTCTTGCCAGAACTGCCTTTTTTTTCCTTCCTGAAATGAAAAAAACCATATGGCTTCCAAGTTTAATAATATAGCTGCTAGTGGTTCTTCACTCAAAGCCCTTCATTGTTCCTCTAACCCGGGGTAGGCATCCTTGGCTCTTTTATGACTCGTGGACTTCAACTCCCAGAATTTCTGAGCCAGCCAAGCTGGCTCAGGAATTCTGGGAGTTGAAGTCCACGAGTCATAAAAGAGCCAAGGATGCCTAACCCTGCTCTAACCAAACCAACCCTTGGAAGATTATCATATTTTTTCCCCTCATGTAGCTTACCCATGGCCTCCTCTGGTCAAAGATCTTTTTGCAGATTTCAACTAATTTCTAATATAAAGAAGCAAAAACAGAGAGAGTTAGTTTGCATTGCATTTTCCTTCGCCTGTTCTTCAAATTGGAGAAATGAAGCCATTTCTTCTACTACCTAACACTCCCTTTGGCTTCCGGGAATCAATAAAAACTAACGTTGTTTTGGGGTCCAATGACCCTCCCATTGACTTCAAGGGAAGAACTACAGAGTTTCTTTGGCAGTGCTAGGCAAGATTTCCCACTCTAGAGTGCTTCCCTGGTGTCCCCTGATCCTCACCCATCCAAATTCTAACCAGGTCCAACACTGCTTAGCTTAATATCTTTCTATTGTTATTTTAAATCATGGTGGGTTTCATATGTCTATAATGCAAAGCCAAGAGTGTGTCTGTCATATTTCACAACAGCTGCTTTAACACTTAATGCTATCCATGAATCTGACCCATATCTCTTCAACTTGGGGATGGGGGGTGGTGGGAATTGAACTTGATGCTTCTGTTCAGGAATACATCGTTTCAATTGTTCCCCTTGTATTTGTTTTTGGTAAACTAGGGTAAGAGAAAAGAGAAAAAATTGTGCAGATCTGAACATGAATCTCTCTGTTCTATCTTATCTGCTCCTGTATCCACTCTGCCGGAATGAATGAATAAAAAAAAAAACCCTGAATGAATGAGTTAATAAATGAAAATATTATAGAACAAATACAGCAGCATTAAAACTGCTGCAAAGTTTTAATTTAGTTTTAAGACTAGCACAACCTGCTAAAAGTAATTCACTGGACTTCCTATGTTAGAATACAGAATTTAACTGTGTTTAGTTTCTATATGACAACAAAAAGGAGACCACCAGTTACTTTAACAACTACTTTAACTAATTCAAATAGCAAACCTGTTTAATATGCAAATGAATGTCATTTTCTCAGGCAGACCTGGCTGAGGATGTTTGACACTAATTGGAGATCTGAAGTGGATCTCTCTGCACCAAGTTTTTTTTTTTGTCAAGTATTGAAAGCAGTAAATGATAATAAATATTTCCATATACTTACACCCAACAGATGGATCTAGAAAAAAAGGACACAATATTTAGAAAGGATCTTTATTCTTAGATCCTCTTAATATGTTAGTTTTGTCTGTGAGATCTTTAAATTTTGGTTTTTTTAATATTATTTTTACTGCATATTTTGTTGTCTATTTTTTCTTATACTTTTTTAAACTATGTAGTAATGTAGTATTGTATGTTTTTAATAACACTTCTAATTTTCCATTTGATTTGCTTGAATTTGGTTGCTTATATAATTAAAAAAAATAGAACACTTGCTCTAAAGTTACACAATTCAATGCTTATTTTTCTCCTTCCACTTTGAAACTGATCCTTAAATGTTCTACCAGGATCTTAAACCATCATCTATCTTTCAGGAAAGTCCTGTATATAATTGAAAAACAGAAAAAAAAATCTGGATTCTGATCTAATTTTGTACCACTTTTTTACCTATCCTTTTGCAGGCTGCAGGACATGGGTGGAGGAGGGTATGCCCAGAAATGCACACAGTAATGTTTTGTGTCTGTGAACATTTTCATCTTTTTTTTGGGATGAAAATCTGGACAATTCCTAGGGTACACTGTCATATAATGACCATTATTTCAAATGGGAAGCCCATCCACTTCCTCTCCCTTTTTTGCTGACATCCAACATTCATGTTCTTTTTTATCAAGGTGCTGATACATGTCACCTGGGTGCATAATCTTGGGAAAACATGGGATATATTGATTTGTCTGAGGAAGCCAAGCACAGGTCTTTTTTATATTCTATTGTTTGACATGTTCTAATGTGCAGGCAGTAAAGGAAGAAGTAAAGTAAAGTAAAATGGATATGAGGAAAAATTGCAGCTTAGGTTTAGCTGGGTTTAGCTTCTTCGACTCCAAAAGAAAGCTTCTTGAATTTTTGCAATGGGACACATCTGAGATTCCAGAGGCAAAGGGAACAAGCATCTAAAACTGGTAGAAACAAGTTAAGATACTCACCAGCTTTTCAGGTCTAATGCGATCCTGTGGATAAACACCACACACAGAAAGACACAGAGTGAGGGGACAAATACTTATCTTTCTGTCATTTTTTCCATAAATAGTGAAAAAAGCCTGCAAAGAGCATCTGAGAATCCTCTAATCTGGGAAAGGGCAGCTAAAGATGAGAGGTCAATTGCAGCCTACACAGCATCAGGACCATAAGAATAGGAACAGATGAAGAGTAGCACTCTTCCTCTCTTAAATAGATGCTGCAGAAAAAATGCCTCTTCCCCAATGCATTGGAAAGAACTTTTCCACCTTTGGTAACGCAGAGTTGTCACATCTCTCTGCCTTCCTTCCCTGTCTGAGAGGAGTCTCTGTCAGAATCCATTTCTATTTCATTTCTATCTATCTCCTCTCATCTAAAACCAAATCTCACCTTTCCCTGGATTCTGCCATATTCCCAAGGGGGAGGGGGGATATGTCTGTGGGGTTATGATTTTCACTTCCTCTATTCGCTACAATGTAACCTTTTGTTTATTGCCGCTGGGTCTGCTGCCCATTACAATGTAACAAATTGCCTCCTGCACTATGCATCCCTCTGAACTTTCTTCTCCCTAACTTGACAGTTAGGAAAAGGCGGGAGAGGGGGAGAAATACAAACATCCGAAATCTGGCTTATTTCTCCGGTCTCAAAAAGGGGTGTGAAGAACTGTGAAACATCGTGTTACAAACAGAGTTGGAATAATGTTATCTTCCCTTTCCCATGATGGACTTAACACCTGGGGATTGGCTGGTCTGAACCGTCCAGATGAACTGTGGGGTGGGGTTTGCTTAGGGACTCTTTAAAGTATCGATCTGTAAAGAATCCCTCAGATCCTGTCTATTATGCCTGCTATCAACTACTCTTAATAAAAGTTCCTCTTGGAAGAAATTGTTTCCAAGAGTTCTGCTTTCTTAAGATGTGGGATTGAAGTGGGTCCTTACAGTCTCCCCCTCCTTCACCTCAATCCACAAGAATACACTTCACAATGCACCTATCCCAGAATTGGGAGCATCTAACTGTGAATGGGACCCTTTCCAAGGCCAGACAGTTTTGGGGTTTTTCTCAAATGGGTATAATATGAGCAGGCAAAGGTTATACTCACCGATGAGTCAAAGTGTCTAAAAGGCCACTGCAGAAAGAACAAAAACATGACTTTCATTCTTGGCAAAACAGTTTTAATAGACATTCAAATGTATAAAATCCGAACTTGCATTCTCTTTCCTACATACACAAAGGTGGGTGTGCGTAATATTTAGACCCTCAGATATTTTTTATATTTCAGCTATATAATAAATTAAACAGTCCCCTGATCAAAGATGATTAGGGGACTGGAGGCTAAAGCATATAAGGAACGGTTGCTGGAATTGGGTATGTCTAGTTTAACAAAGAGAAGGACGAGGGGGGACATGATAGCAGTGTTCCAATATCTCAGGGCTGCCCCAAAGAAGAGGGAGTCAAGCTATTCTCCAAAGCACCTGAAGGCAGGACAAGAAGCAACAGATGGAAACTAATCAAGGAGAGAAGCAACCTAGAACTAAGGAGAAACTTCCTGACAGAGAACAATTAACCAATGGAACAACCTGCCTCCAGAAGTGGTGAATGCTCCAACACTGGAAGTTTTTAAGAAGAGACTGGACAGCCATTTGTCTGAAATGGTATAGGGTTTCCTACCTGAGCAGGGGTTGGACTCGATGACCTCCAAGGTCCCTTCCAACTTTTTATTATTATTATTATGGATCATCGCACAGTCAGCCAGATGTTCAGACTGGATTTGGCATTTTGTCTACCTATCGAGTCCTTACCCAGGACCTGGGATAGGCAGATGTGGATGTTTGATGGTATTACAGATATCGTCGCAGAATGGAAGCAGTTCCTAATAAGGCCGCCTTTTGCAATTGACTAATAGTGAATTTGTCAATGCCAATGGTGTTCAAGTGGTGCTCCAGTTGTTTTGGGATTGCACCTAAGGAGCCTATTACTATTGGTACTATTACTACTTATTATTATTATTATTATTACTATTATTACTACTAGTAGTAGTAGTAGTAGTAGTAGTAGTACTATTATTATATAAGCCAAGAGTTGCTTTTAAATATGAGATGAGTGGCCTATAAATTTAGTCAATAAATAGCCTTCTATAGACCCAAATGGAAAGAAATAAAGATCACTCAAGGTTACTCTGCACAGTACACATATCCCAGATTTGGAAGCAGGACTAAATAGGAGCCTACAATCTTCAGGGCCAGATAATTGGGGGGGGGGTTCTCTCAAATGGGTATAGTATGAGCAGGCAAAGGTTATACTCACTGCTGAGCCAAAGGGCTTAGGAAACCACTGCAGGAAGAAGAAAAACATGGATTTCTTTCTTGATAATAGCATTAATAGACATCTAAATGGTATCAAACTTGCATTCTCTCTCATATAATCATAAGAGGGGCCAAGGAGAAGATCATACTTACAAAGAGAGGGTTCCGTAGAATAGATTTTGAAATATAAGCATCGTCTCTGAAGCCAGGGTCCCCCTACAGAAAGTCAAGATTCAAATTACAGACTAGTTCTTTCTGCAACAAAGGGAAGGCAGAGCCTGGGAGGGGATTCTAAAAGACCCACAATCAAATTCAGACATACGGAGGACCTTAAAATCCTTCCTAAGCAGGGCTTATAGGCATTCTGACTAATAGTAATGAATGATGTTTCCTTTCTGCATTTTCTCTGAAAGCTGTAAATGGCACATACAAGGGTTTTGCCTAATTTTATCCTTACAACAACTCTAAGGAAAGATGCTACAGGTAGACCTCGTTTAGCAACTGCCACATACAATGAATTGCAACAGTGGTTTTAAAAAAAAAGACCCACATTTGCAAGCTTGGCAGCCTCTTTCACTGGTTCCCATCCTAGTCAGTTAATAGCCATTGTTCTGTTTCAAATTGTGAGCACAGTCCTGGTCCTGTGATTTTTTCATGTAACAATCGGTTTCTTGCTGGTTCCAGTTACAGCCACTAAATGAGGACTATAAATGAGGGCTACCTATTGTTATTATGATTTTTTTAAAAGTGTCCCTTGATAGTAAGATCCTGCAACAGCAAGGAATGAAGTGAGGATATTCCAGATGTCTTGCCTTCCTTCTTTGTCTTCAAGGAGTTTTTGTCTTCCCCCGTTCAACACAATCCCCCAGGGCTACACTTCACAGAATGCCTGCTCCAGATTTGAGAGCATCTACTCCTGAATGGGACCCCAGGAATTTCAGGGTTAGTTGGGGGGGGGGTTCTCTCAAATGAGGATAATATGAGCAGGCAAATGTTATACTCCCTTCAGAGCCAAAGCGTCTAAAAGGCCACTGCAGAAAAATGAAAATATGGATTTCTTTCTTAGAGAAATAGTTTTAATAGGCATTTGAAATATAAAATTGGAATGTGCATTCTCTCTCCTTTAAGCATATACATGTGGGCGTAATATTCACACCCTTAAATCTGTCTTATGTTACACTCTTAAATCTGGGCTTTTTTCAGGGATAGTTAGTTTTGGGGGTTCTCTCAAATGAGTACAAAATGAGCAAAGGTTCTACTCACGTCTGAGCCAAAGCGTCTCAAAGGCCCCTGCAGAATGAAGGAAAATATGGATTTTTTATTAGAGAAATAGTTTTAGTGGACATTTAAAATATAAAATTGAAAGATTTGGGAGCAACTACCCTTGAATAGGAGCCAAGGATTTTCAGTGCCCATTAGTTTTAGGGGTTCTCTCAAATGAGTACATAATGAGCAAAGGTTATACTCACGTCTGAGCCAAAGCGTCTCAAAGGCCACTGCAGAAATATGCATTTTTTTTATTAGAGAAATAGTTTTAACTCACTATTACTTGTATGTACACTAAGAGCTTATCCACCAGAGACAAATTCCTTGGCCAATAAAGAATTCCATTCCATTCCATTCTATTTCTATTATTTCTATTTCTATTATTTCTATTTCTAATTCTCTCTTTGAATGGGACCCTAGGATTTTCAGTGCCTGTTGGTTCTGGGGGTGTCTCTCAGATGAGAACAATATGAGCAGGCAAACATTATACTCACTTCCAAGCCAAAACGTCTGAAAGGCCACTGCAGAAAGAAGGATAATATGGATTTTTTATTAGAGAAATAGTTTTAATGGGCATTTAAAGGATAAAACTGAAACTTGCATTCTCCTTTAAGCATATACATAGACATGGGTGGGTGGGTGTGCATAATATTCACACCCTTAAATCTATCTTATATTTCATTCATACAATAATGTATATAAGCTGAGGGTTGCTTTTAAGTGTGATATGGTGGAATATAAATTGAATAAATAAGATAATAAACAGCCATATGGAGACCCCAAAGTAAAAACAAGAATATCCCCAAAGGCTACATTTCAGAGTACACCTACCCCAGACTTGGGAGCATCTACTCCTGAATGGGACCCCAGGAATTTCAGGGCTAGTTAATTTTAGGGGTTCTCTCAAATGAGTACAATATGAGCAGGCAAACCTTATACTCACTTCCAAGCCAAAGCGTCTAAAAGGCCACTGCAGAAAAAATGAAAATATGGAATTTTTTATTAGAGAAATAGTTTTAATAGGCATTTGAAATATAAAATTGAAGCTTGCATTCTCTGTCCTTTAAGCATATACATGGGGGTATGGGCGTAATATTTACACCCTTAAATCTGTCTTATATTATACTCTTAAATCTGGGCTTTTTTCAGGGATAGTTTTGGGGGTTCTCTCAAACGAGTACAAAATGAGCAAAGGTTCTACTCACGTCTGAGCCAAAGCATCTCAAAGGCCCCTGCAGAATGAAGGAAATATGGATTTTTTATTAGAGAAATAGTTTTAGTGGGCATTTAAAATATAAAATTGAAAGATTTGGGAGCAACTACACTTGAATAGGAGCCAAGGATTTTCAGTGCCCATTAGTTTTAGGGGTTCTCTCAAATGAGTACATAATGAGCAAAGGTTATACTCACGTCTGAGCCAAAGCGTCTCAAAGGCCACTGCAGAAATATGCATTTTTTTTATTAGAGAAATAGTTTTAACTCACTATTACTTGTATGTACACTGAGAGCTTATGCACCGGAGACAAATTCCTTGGCCAATAAAGAATTCTATTCTATTCTATTCTATTCTATTCTATTCTATTCTATTCTATTCTATTCCTGTTCCTGTTCCAGTTCCAGTTCCAATTCCAATTCTAATTCTCTCTTTGAATGGGACCCTAGGATTTTCAGGGCTAGTTAATTTTGGGGGTTCTCTCAAATGAATACAATATGAGCAGGCAAAGGTTATACTCACTTCAGAGCTAAAGCGTCTAAAAGGCCACTGAAGAAAAAAGGAAAATATGGATTTTTTTTTTATTAGAGAAATAGCTTTAATAGGCATTTAAAGTATAAAATTGAAACTTGCATTCTCGCTCCTTTAAGCATATACATAGGCATGGGGTGTGTGTGCATAATATTTACACCCTTAAATCTGTTTTATATTTCAATTATACAATAACTTATACAAGGGGAGAGTTGCTTTGAAGTGTGATATGGGTGTATACTCACTTCAGGGCCAAAGCGTCTGAAAGGCCACTGCAGAAAAAAGAAAGACTTGATTTTCTTTCTTGGTGATATAGTTTTAATATTTTTAATAGATTTAACTGGTCTTTGATATTTAAGTTATATTAGATGTAACAATTCTATATTAGAAAGACAGGGAGTAGAATCAGGATTTTTTGAATGCCAAACAAGGCTGCTTTAAAAGAGCAAGATATTCTCAAAAGAGGTTGCTTTATGTCAAGAGTACAGTACACTATATTTTCTTAATGAGTAAGTAAATAAATGCATCAAATAACTAAGTATAATTTCTATATAAATAATATATGGACAAGTGACCTCACAACGGATGAAAAGCATTCTTCCAAGCTGTCGGCCTGAAGCCCAACTGTTTTGGATGGAGAGGAGGGAACTGTGAGCATTCGTATCCTCAGGGTATGGTCCAAAAAGCCAAGATGGTGCCATCCATGTTTTATGGGTGTTTCACAAAAAAATGCACATAAAAAACAGGCAAAGCTTTGAACTCACAGTCATGGCCTCAATTTTAACTTTTATTATGCTTTGGGGATACTCCTGATAGCAATCAACCTCTCCACAGTATTCCTGTCTTAAGACACAATTCTCCTAGGTGGGAAGGAATTGAAACTGAATTTGGCAATCTCAGTCTATAAGCAACGAGCCTGTTCCTCAACAAAGGTAAAAGAAAATAAGAAGCCCATGGAGAAGATCATACTTACAGAGGGAGGACGCTGTGGGATAGATTTTCCAACAAAAGAATCATCCCTGAAGTCAGGGTTCCCCTACCAAAATTCAAAGATATATTACAAACCGGTTATTTCTGCAATGAAGAAAAGGAAGAGTCTAGAAGGGGATTCTAAAGAGACCCACAACTAAATCCAAACATCTAAAGGTAAAGGTTTCCCCTTTCCAGCTGTGTCCAACTCTAGGTGGCAGTGATCATCTATTCAAGAGTATTCTAAGGAGACCCACAAGTAGACATTGAGTATGTCTAATGAAGAGAAGGACGAGGGGGGACATGATAGCAGTCTTCCAGTATCTCAGGGGCTGCCACAAAGAAGAGGGAGTCAAGCTATTCTCCAAAGCACCTGAAATCAGGACAAGAAGCAACAGATGGAAACTAATCAAGGAGAGAAGCAACCTAGAACTAAGGAGAAACTTTCTGACAGAACAATTAACCAGTGGAACAACCTGCCTCCAGAAGTAGTGAATGCTCCAACACTGGAAGTTTTTAAGAAGAGACTGGACAGCCCTTTGTCTGAAATGGTATAGGGTTTCCTGCCTGAGCAGGGGTTGGACTATATGACCTCCAAGGTCCCTTCCAACTTTATTATTATTATTATTATTATTATCAATCATCGCACAGTCAGCCAGATGTTCAGACTGGATTTGGCATTTTGTCTACCTATCGAGTCCTTACCCAGGACCTGGGATAGGCAGAAGTAGATGTTTGATGGTATTATAGGTATCGTCGCAGGATGGAAGCAGTTCCTAATAAGGCCGCCTTTTGCAATTGACTAATAGCAAATTTGTCAATGCCAATGGTGTTCAAGTGGTGCTCCAGTTGTTTTGGGATTGCGCCCAAGGAGCCTATGACTATTGGTACTACCCTTGCTTGCTTTTGCCACAGTCTTTCTATTTCTATTTGTAGGTCTTTGTATTTTGTTATCTTCTCCAGTTCTTTCTCTTCTATTCTGCTGTCTCCAGGCACTGCCACGTCCACTATCCAGACTTTTTTGTCTTTCTTATCGACAATTGTTAAGTCTGGGGTGTTATGTTGCAGGTGCTTGTCTGTTTGAATTCTGAAGTCCCAGAGCAGTTTAATTTTATCATTTTCTATGACTTTCTCTATTTTATGATCCCACCAGTTTTTGCTTACAGGCAAATGATATTTTTTGCAGATCTTCCAATGCACCATTGTTGCTACTTTGTCATGCCGCTGCTTGTAATCAGTTTGTGCAATCTTCTTGCAACAGCTTACCAAGTGGTCCACTGTTTCTTCAGCTTCTTTGCATAGGCGGCACTTACTGTCTGTTGCTGTCTTCTCAATTTTGACTTTGTATGCATTTGTCCTTAAAGCTTGGTCTTGTGCAGCCAGAATTAATCCCTTCGGTTTCTTTCTTCAATTTTCCTGCTCTTAGCCATTGCCAGGTTTTATTATTATCTGCTTTCCCAGCTATTTTTTTCATGTATTGGCCATGTAGTGCTTTGTCTTCCCATGCCTCTATTCTGTTCTTCATTTGGTCTTTCTTGTAGGCCAGTTTGGTCTCTCCAGTAGTTAGTAAGCCTTCCTGATATACTAATTTCAGTGCATCTTCATCATTGTTCTTCAGATATTCTTCCAAAGCCATTTTTTCTTCTTCAACCATCTGATGTACTTGTAGCATTCCACGCCCACCTATTTGCCTTGGTAGATAAAGTCTATCAATGTCACTGCGTGGATGAAGGGCGTGATTCATTGTCATTATTTTTCTGGTCTGCCTATCCATTGCTTTTAGTTCTGCTTGAGTCCAGTCCACTATTCCAGCTGTGTACCTAATGACTGGGATTGCCCAGGTGTTGATTGCCTTTATGGTATTTCCTCCATTGAGTTTGGACTTTAAGATCTTCTTCACTCTCTTGATGTATTCACCTCTAATCTTTTTCTTGACTTCAGTGTGCTTGATGTTGTCTTTGTTTTCCATCACTGTGTATCTGCGACGGGTAAACACCTTTTCTTCCAGTAGTTCTGCAGCTGCTGGCCCTGGTTGCTCAGCCAACAGTCCTGAGTCCTGTAACCCATTTTTCACCAGATATCCAGGAACTCCAATATCTAGTGCGGACCTTGTTAACCCGGGCGACGTCCGAGCCGGTATTATTATTATTATTATTATTATTATTATTATTATTATTATTATTATATTAGGCAAGGCTTACAAACTCCTCAGAGAATACTAATAAATAATGTTTAGATCCTGTATTTTATCTGAAAGTTGGAAGTGGCATATGCGGAGGCCTTGCCTAATTTTATCCTTACAACACCTGTAAGGAAAGAGGCTACAAGTAGTACTCATTTAGCCTCTGATAGCGAGTTACAACAATGATGAAAAAGTAGCTTGGCAATCATAGCCTGCATACACAGCTTTCTCTTGGTCACACATTCCCCACTGCATGTGATTAGTATTCCTTGCTCTGTATCAAACTGTAAGCATGGTCACAATCCTGTGATTTTTTACTTAGCAATCGCTTTACTTACAGATCCCACTTATGGTCATTAAGTTAGGACTATCTGTATTCAAAGATATATCAGGACTGTATTAGTCCTCACATTATTTTTTATCTTAACCGTTATAAGATCCCACAGCAGCAAGGATATCCTGGATGTTTGTTTTCCTTATCTGTCCTTGAAGCGGCTCTGTCTCCCCACTTTATAGCGATCCCCCCAGGCTATACTTCATGGTGTATCTATCCCAGATTTAGGAGCACCTACCCCTGAATGGGACCCTGCAATTAGCAGTGCTAGATAGTTTGGAGAGGGGAGTCTCTCAGATGGGTATAATATGAGCAGGCAAAGGTTATACTCACTTCTGAGCCAAAGCGTCTAAAAAACCACTGCAGAAGAAAAACATGAATTTCTTTCTTGGTGAAACAGTTTTAATATTTTAATAGATTTAAATGGTTCAAATGTTAGCATACATTCTCTCTCATGAGTGTGGATGCATAATATCTATGTCCACAACTCTTTCTGTTATTTCAGTTGTATAATAACTTATATAAGCTGAGAGTTCCTTTTAAATATGAGATAGGCTGCATTTAAATTGAATAAATAAATGCCCATATTTCGACCCAAATGGAAAAAGATAAAGATCTCTCAGGGCTACTCTTCACAGTATACCTACCTGAGATTTGGGAGCAAGACTAAGTGGGTCCTACAATCTTCAGGATCAGATAGGGTTTTTTTTTTGGGGGGGGGGGTTCTCTCAAATGGGTATAGTATGAAATATTTGTCGATATTCAACCAGGGTGAATGATGTATGTTTAATGTTGTAGTGCACATTTTTTTTTCTTATTGTTGTGTTTGTAATTTTTTGGTTTTTTTGTTCTTTTAGATTTTTAATATTTTATCTTTGAAATAAACAAAATAAAAAATGTCCATCCATCTTTAGGTTGTTGCACAATAAAGGCACAAATGTAAAAAGCAGAAAGAGTTTTGATGACACAGTCATGGCCTCAACTTGGAAGGTTTTTTTTAATTTCGCCTTGTAGATACTCATGATAGCAATAACCTTTCCACAGTTTTCCTAGCAGCTGTCTTAACCCACAATCCTCCTCGGTGGGAAGAAATTGAAGCAAAATTTTGGAGTCTCCATCTCTAAATAGAGAGCCTATTCCTCAACAAAGGCAAAGAAAATAAGAGGTCCGTGGAGAAGATCATACTTACAGATGGAGGACGCTGTGGGATAGATTTTCCAACAAAAGAATCATCCCTGAAGTCAGGGTTCATCTACAGAAATTCAAAGATATATTACAAACCAGTTATTTTTGCAATGAAGAAAAGGAAGGGTCTAGAAGGGGACTCTAAAGAGACCCACAACTAAATCCAGCCGTATAAAGTTTCCCCTTTCCAGCTGTGTCTAACTCTAGATGGGAATCATTTCTGTTTCCTAGCCAAATCTGGAGACACTCCTGTAGCATGACTATATGCCGAGACTCATGGAACACTTTTACCTTCGCACCAAAGTGGTACTTATTTATATACTTGCATGTGCATGTTTTCCAACTGGTATGTTGGCAGGAGCTGGAGCTAGAAATGGGAGTTCACCCCATTGTGTGGTGCTCAGGTGACAAACCCAGTCTGCCAGCTTTCCAGCTGACAAACTCAACCTCTTTAACCACTGAGCCATTGCACAAACTCAACCTCTTTAACCACTGAGCCTTCTCCAAACATATGGACAATCTTAAAATCCTTCCTAGGTAAGGCTTACAGGCATCCTGGATAATACTAATAAATAATGTTTCTATTCTGCATTTTCTCTGAAAGCTGTAAGTGACATATACAGGAGGTTTGCCAAATTTTATTCTTACAGCAACTGTAATTTATTTAGTTAGTGTATGGTGATGGCACATTAGCCAGGAGATATCAGTGTAATACAAAGTAATTGTTTGGCTGCCTAAGACTGCTAGTCCATTCAATTCACACTCACACAATATCCAAAAAAGACACTACATGGGGTCAAGTAGCTCCATACTCCATTCTGCAGCAGCCTCTAGGGCTTTTTCCCTCTACCAATGTCACCTCACATTCAGGCATCACCTTTGGGCAGGTCCAGCACCAGTTGGGTTCATACATCCACACAAAATGCCATTATTTTTCCCACCAAAGTGGTACCTATCTATCTACTTGCATGTAGTATGCTTTTGAACTGCTAGGTTGACAGAAGCCGAGGCAAATGACGGGAGCTCTCTCCATCATGCAGTGCTAGGACTTGAACCTTTGGAACACACAGAACTTCTCAAGTGTCTTTAAGCCGCTGAGCCATGCAACTCTAAGGAAAGATACTACAGGTAGTCCTCATTTAGCAACTGCCTCAGACAATGAATTTCAACAGTGATAAAAAATAACATTTACACCCTTCGCAGCATTTTTCTCTTGATCACATGTTCACCATAACGTGTGCTTAGTACTCCTTGTCTGAATCAAAACATAAGCACAGTCATGGTACTGTGATTTTTCACTTAGCAATCACTTTGTTTGCTGGTCCCAAATGCAGTCACTGGATGAGGACAACCTTTACAATTTTCCACATTACTTTTTTAAAGTGTCACATGGTTATGCAGCAGCAAGGAATGAATTGGAGATGTCCCAGATGTCTGCCTTAATACTCTATCCTCGAGGACTCTCTGGCTTCCCCCTTCAATGCAATCCCCAGGGCTACACTTCACACTATATCTACGCCAGATTTGGGGGCACCTATCCTGAAAGGGATCCTAGGATTTTCAGGACCAGTTAGTTTTGGTAGTTTACTCAAATGTGTATAATATGAGCAAGCAAAGGTTATACTCACTTCTGAGCCAAAACGTCTCAAGGGCCACTGCAGAAAGGTGAAAAATATGGTTGTCTTCTTGGTGAAAGAGTTTTAATACTTTTAACAGTTTTAATCAGTATAAATGCAAGTTTGCAGTCTCTCCTATGTAAGCATATACAAAAATGTGTTTGTGTGTGTTTACGTGCATAATATTTATCCCTTCAAATTTTTCTTATATTTCAGTTATATAATAAGTTGTATAAGCCAAAGTTTGCTTTTAAGCGTGAGATTTGAGGCCTATAAATTAAATACCCTTATATCAACACAGCCTACTATTCACAGTATAAATTTTCGAAGCTTTTATAAATTAAGCTTTGGGGGCTCTATCAAACGGTATAATATGAATAAGCAAAGATTATACTCACTGAGGAACTGAAGTGTCTAAAAGGCCACTGCAGAAAGGAAGAAAACATGGCATTCATTCTTGGCGAAATATTTTTAACAAACATTTAAATGTGCAAAATCCAAACTTGCATTCTCTTTCCCATATAAGCCTATACAGAGACATGAGTGAGGGTGCATAATATTTAGGCCTTCAGATCTTTTTTATATTTCAGTTATGTAATCAACTATATAAGCCAAGACTGCTTTTAAATGTGATATGGGCAGCATATAAAATTAGTTAATAAAAATAAATAACCATCCATATACCCAAATGGAAAAAGATCCCACAGGGCAGCTCTTATAGTACCTACCCCAGATTTGAGAGCAGGACTAAATGGGACTCTACAATCCCATTTAGGGGGTTCTCTTAAATGGGTACAATATGAGCAGGCAAATGTTATACTCATGGCTAAGCCAAAGTGTTTCATTGGCCACTGCAGAAAGTAGAAAAACATGGTTTTAATAGACTCTTAAATGTATAAAATATAAACTTGCATTTTTGCTTGTATAAGTATATATTTATACAAATGGATCTATGGGCATCATATTTATGCCCCAAATCATGCTTATGTTTCTTTTGCATAATAATTTATATAACCAAGTTTCTTTTAAATGTGACATGAGTGGGATGTAAATTTCTTGTATAAATAAAGTGAAACATTAAATATGCATATTTAAAGAGGAAGTATTTTAACCTAAACAGATAAGCGTTTCCATAGACAACTACAATATTTAGAAAAATGGAGAGCAGAAACAGTAAAATACACACTGAAGCAAGCAGATAATTTTTAAATTGGTAACCAAGGCTTCCAAGTCTAAGAATTTAATTTATCATTAAAAGCAATATTAATTAACCAAAGAAAGAAAAAAAAAGGGGGGGAAAGAAAAATCTTCAAACGTTAAAAGAGCAAGATCTTTCAAAAGATGTTGGTTTATTTCCTTTATTAGTTTCTTAATAAGTAAGTAAAAGCATCAAGTATATAGTTTTTAAGTTAAAAAAATGAAGAAGTGACTTCAAAATGGATGAAAGCATTGTTTTGATTTGTCAGGTTGAGCACCCACCCCCCATTTTTAATGCAGTGCAGTGACTTGTGAACAAAGATACTGCTTGAGCAGGGGGTTGGACTAGAAGACCTCCAAGGTCCCTTCCAGCTCTATTCCGATTGATTGATTGATTGATTCTTCAGAGTATGGTCAAAGTCAAGATTTTGGGTATGGCGATCAAAGCTCCATCTATTTTTTTAAAAATGTGTGTTGCACAAACAATGCACTTAAAAAGAAGGGAAACACTGTGGCCCTGGGACCCAGGGTACCCTACAGAAATTCAAAAATACATTTACAACCTTGTTCTTTCTCCAACAGAGAAAAGGAAGTTTCTGTGATGGGATTCAGAGGAGCCCATATACGCTTGCCCTTAATGTCATTTGTATGGGAAAATAAAGTTCTGAAACTAACGATTTCTCCTACAGATCAGTTCTCACTACATTGGGCTTTTGGGTGAGCAAGGTGTGAAACATGGTTGTGCCATGTTGGAAGATGGATGGAATTTGACCAACTGGCTGCCTCTTTTGTGATTTTGTGATCTCATTTCCCCGCTTGTCCAGATGAGTTCTGAGAGCAGTCAGAAATATCAAAATACATTAAAACAAGAAAGTATTTTACTTACTGGAGGTGGAAAGTCTGGAATATAATGCTGTAGGGAAAAAACAATAATCATCCATTCTATCTTGTTTTAGCCTGTTAACACTACAACCATTATAAAAAACTAATAGGAGGAGGTGCTTATCTCTGTTTCTTAGCTGAAGGAACCAGCATTGTCTGAAGACACTTTTGTGGTCATGTAGCCAGCATGACTACATTCTGAAGTGCACGGAATTGTTGTTACCTTCCTACCAAAGTGGTACCTATTAATCTATTCGCGCTTTCATGTGGTGCCATTTTGAATAGGATTTAAACAAGATCTCCTCCATGTAGCATTACACAGCTATATTTGTTATGTCTAGAATTTCAGTAGGACTGGAAAGTGACCAATTTAGTCTGGGATTAACCCACAGAGTTTGAGCTACACAGATTTCTCTGCCCTCCCACATCTAACCTTTCCTAAAGTGCAGGTTTCATCTTACCTGAGCACCTGTGCTGAGCACAGAAATCAACAAGGTTGCACCCACGAAGGACAGCTTCATCTTTCTCAGCTTGAGGGTTCCTTCCCCAGCTGAAAAAGTGTCTTAAGTATGAATGGGTGGGTTAAGGATGGATCTTTATTGATATATCCGTACAAGCCAGACTGCCCAAACTGAAAGCAGCAATTGATGATGCTTTCAACTTATCTTATCAGTTGAGAAAGGTCAGAAGGATTAATTTATCAATGGAAGGATTTAGTGCCAACTGAAACATTCATCTGCCCTTTATATTATTTTTCTGATAATGAACTTGACTTGCAGGAAAATATTGATTTATCTGATGACAAACAAAGTGGAGAGATTTCTGAAAGGCCATTTGTGACCTTTCAAAACCTTTGTCGTGGTTTGTCTTATCCTTCAATTATCTTATCTTTGTCCCATCTTTTGATGATCTTACATAAGGTCCTGTGATTTATTTTCATTCTCAGTGGGGGAAAGATTTGAGAAGGTCTATATACAGTGGTGGGATAGCTGCACTGCTTTTAAAGTCAGATCCAGAGCTTTGATTGATTGATTGATTCATTGTCATCAAATCAGGGTCAACCAGCGGTGGGATTCAAATATGTGAGCAACCAGTTCTCTGTGTGGATGCCGCTTCCAGAAGTCCATTCTGGGCCTCAGCAACAAAAAATTAGCTACCCGTTCTGCCGAAGTGGTGCAAACCAGCTGAATCCCACCACTGGTGTCAGCTTTAAGCAGCCACATATATAGATTTTCTCCAGGACAATTGTTGCTAACCTGGTCCTTGGAATCTTATAATGTGGCACTCATCACCCCTGAAATCAAGTTCAATCCCCTTGCTGCTGATCCTCTTTCCTTTCAGGATTCCTATTATTAGAGACAGGTCTTCACATGAGTCCCAGATAAAGACTTTGAGAATTTGTGCCTCAAGTGAGAACTCTGGTTTGATTTTTTTTTTTTTTTTTTTTTTTTTTTTTTTTTTTTTTGTGGATAATCTGTTTGTTTTTCTGGGCTGCCCATAGTCTTCCTGGGCATTTTTCCCAACATCAAAGCTCAAAAGTGACAAGACTCTTTTTATTCTGATTCTTCAAAGTCCATTTTTTTTTTCTTCCTTCCATAGAGTGTCACAGGAAATACCATTTCTTGCACTAATCTGATCTTTGTCAGAATAGACACATCACAGGATCCAAATATCTATTCAATGGCCTTCATTACGTCCCTACTAAGTGCTAGGCTGTGTTAGATCTCTTGAATGCTTGTTCATCATACTGTTGATTGATGGTCATAAGGCACACAAGCTATTCACCATTTCAATATTTTCAGGGTCAGTGGTAAGGCTGGCTTTTGAAACTGTTTTCTTGAGTTAGCACTCTAGAAATTATCAAATCCTCTGCCTTTCAGGCACCCCTACCTCCGTAGTTCGGTATAGATTTGGTGTAACTAAATTCCACTCTAACCTTTTTATTTTTAGTAATTAAAAAGGATACCATTTGAAGGAAAATTATCTCTGTGAGAGAGTAAAGCAGGCTAAATTTAAAGGAATTGATGTATGATTTTAGAGCAATGTTCCTCTAAAATGTTAAATCTAAACAGGAATTTGCAGTGGAGGTAGATCATTATGAGACAGCATTTCTGAGTGATACATTTTTTTTTTAAAAAAAAGAAACTGTTTTACTTCTTATAGGTTTTGTTTGCAAAAAATAGCATCTGTGGTGTTGAAATACACAAAATAAACTTCGAACGAATAAAGTTCAAAAGGGAAGCAATTCTGGTGGAGGAATAAATACATTCCTTTCCAAATGCACTGATTTTTAGGGATTGAAGGTACACTGAAATAGCAAAGATTGTCATCCCGTGGAATCATCAAAAAAAGGAATAATGATAGGAGAGCATTTTCATCATTTTTTGCTTGGGTTCTCCCTCTAAAATGATAAGTGCCTATAAATCAATGTTTCTCAACCCTTTAAGATGTGTGGACTTCAGCTTTACAGAAATGTAACAAAAATATGGCATAAATATGTTGTTTGTGGCATTAAGCTCAAAGTACATTTGGATGATGGTTTTGTCATTAGGTTTTCTTTATCAGAATCAACCAAGCTTGAACATCAATCACTATAATCTTGGGAAAATGATACTATTCAAAGCACAATGATAAAGACGATACTGTGATAATGCTGCACATGTTAATTTGTAAATGTTTATTCCTGTAGAGGCTCTAGTGTTCACAATTAAGAGAAAGTGTCCCCAAATCAGTATAACTACTGGAGTCCTTTGAAGAAAGTTGTAATTCCCCATTTGAAACTTGATTGGGAAGGAAAATCGGGGAAGCTGGAAAGACAAAGACTTATGGGGGGGGGCTCTGGATTTTCTTCTCCCAAATGTAGTTGCTGGATCTAGAAAAAAAATATGTGAAAATTAAAATCCTTGGCCAAAAAAAGAGTATGCAGTTGGCTTTTACCCATCCATCATAGCAGGCAGCTGATATTTCAAAATGTTGCCTTCAACCTCCCCTTACCCTCAATGTCAACCACCCGAAATAATCTACATATCAAAAAGCAAATAATTATAAATCCTGGGAGAAATCTGCACAGTGTATCTTTACTAAAACAAAGAGTACCTTTGCGTAGGGGGATGCTTTGATTTAGATTTCCTGGAAAAAATAAAACAGAAAAGCAATTTGGCACATGCTAAATCACTGGAGTGTTATTCTCTTGTGGATGTTACTAGGAAAAATGTATTGTTTAATTGCTACAATAGGTGCAGTGGGGAATAATTGTAATTGTATTCCAATACTGGCTAAACTGATTCATCCCTAGAATATTCTGCAGAGAAGCCTGGCTCTCTACCTGTACACATATTACCCTGTTTCTCTGAAAATAAGACCCAACCAGAAAATAAGCCCTAGCATGATTTTTCGGGATGCACGTAATATAAGCGTTACCCCAAACTAAGCCCCAGTTAAGATCGTCAGCCAGACAGACACATTTAGTACTGTATTTCCCTGAAAATAAGCCCTAATGCATCTTTTGGAGAAAAAATTAATATAAGACTCGGTCTTATTTTCTGGAAAACATGGGTTTATACCTATTGTTCAACTATACTAGCCCAAAGATATTTCCCTGGGAACAGAAGTGAAATTTCTCACTAGCTCAGTTATATCTTTAGGAGACTAAAAGAACAGATGTTACCTGTATATCAACATACCCCAAAAGATATTTCCGTCAGAAATAATTTGTTGCAGAAGTCTTAAATTGTGCTGGGGATGGCCAGGAATAAAGCCCAGCAATAAAGCTCAGAATTGGCAAATTTACATACTTACCTGAACTTTGGAGGCAGAAGTCTCTTTGCCAGAGTTACCAGTTGTTCCAGAGGCAGCAGATTCACGTTCTCCCGAGGCAGGCAATGTGGATGTATTAGGAGATTGAGCAGCAGAGGAAGCAGAGGAAGTAGGGCTAGGTTGTACCAAGGCAGCAGGGGTACCTTTTGCCAAGGGAGCAGGGGTAGATTGTGCTGAGCGAACAGGGAAAGGTTGTGCTGAGTCAATATAGGCATGTTGTGTCAAGGCATCAGGGTCAGATTGTGCTAAGGCGGCAGGGGTGTGTTTTGCCAAGGAAGCAGGGGTAGCTTGTGCCAAAGGAGCGGGAGTAGCTTGCGCTGAATTAGCAGAGGCATGTTGTGTCAAGGGAGCAGGGGTATGTTTTGCTAAGGGAGCAGGTGTAGATTGGGTGGAGGCAGCAATGTTAGGTTTCACAAAAGCAGTGGGGGCAGGTTGTGCAGAGGCAGGATGGACACTTTGTATAGAGGTAGGACGGACACGTTGTTTAGAGGCTGCACGGTTACGTTGTGTCCTGCTAGTACGGTTACGTTGTGCCACAGAAACATGGGTATGTTTTGCTAAGGGAGCAGGGGTAGGTTTTGCTAAGGGAGCAGGAGTAGATTGGGTGGAGACAGCCAGGTTAGGTTTCACAACAGCAGTGGGGGCAGGTTGTGCAGAGGCAGGATAGACACTTTGTGCAGAGGTAGGACGGACACGTCGTCTAGAGGCAGCACGGTTACGTTGTGTCCTGGTAGTATGGTTACGTTGTGTCACAGAAACATGTGTATGTTTTGTTAAGGGAGCAGGGGTAGGTTGTATGGAGTTAGCAGAAGCATGTTGTGTCAAGGCAGCAGTGTCAGATTGTGCAGAAGCAGCAGGAGCATGTTTTGCTAAGGGAGCAGGAGTAGGTTGTGCTGAGTCAAAAGAAACATGTTGTATCAAGGGAGCAGGGTCAGGTTGCACAGAGGCAGCCAGGTTAGGTTGTGTGGAGGCAGCCAGGTTAGGTTGTACAGCAGCAGTGGGGGCAAGTTGTGCAGAGGTAGGATGGACACGTCGTTTAGAGGCCACACGGTTACGTTGTGTCCTGGTAGTACGGTTACGTTGGGCAACAGAAACATGGGTATGTTTTGCTAAGGGAGCAGGGGTAGGTGGTGCTGAGTCAGCAGAAGCATTTTGTGCAGAGGTGCCAGTATCAGATTGTGCAGAGGCAGTAGTATCAGATTGTGCAGTGGTAGCAGAGTCAGATTGTGCAGAAGCTACCAGGTTAGATTGTACAGCAGCAGCAGTGTCAGATTGTGTAGACGGAACAGGGTTAGGTTGTGCAGAGGCCGCAGGCTTAGGTTTTGTAAAGACAGCAGGCTCAGGTTGCACAAAAACTGAATGGGCATGTTGTGCAGAGGCAACATGGCCATGTGATCCAAAAGTAGGAACAATCTGTTCTCCAAAAGCACTATAAGTACACTTTATCAAGGCACCAGTGGCAGGTTGAGCAAAGACAGCAGGGGAACGTTGTGCAAAGGCAGGAGGGACAGGTTGAGTAGGGAGAGACAATGCAGAACCACCAGAATACTGAGGACTATGAAGAGCAGGAGGAATAGACCCAGTTTGAAGTTGGGCAGCAGACACATATTGTGCAAGGAAAGGTTCTTGGGGATGTGAACTATGATCCTTATTAATGACAGATGGATTCCAATGTTTAGACTGTTGCTGCAGAACAGAGATAAGGGGAATAAAACCACAAGATATAGTAATTGATGTCAATTGTTTTCTATGAAGCTCATTTTAAAAATCTACCAACCATACTGAAGCCTGTGAATGCTTCTCCTTCCAGTGGCTGTCCAGCAAAGATGGGTTACATAAATTTTCCTCTACCTCTTTTTCTGCCCTCCTACACTGGTAGGTTAGCATTACTTCCTGGAGCTGCCTGGAACTTGCATCCCAAACATTTACCGGTACAACTGACTTCCACTGCACATTCTAAGAGTTGGGACTATCCCCAAATGATTCCATCTGGGCTCCCGTAAATAACAAACCACCAAGTGTAGCTTTAAAGAGGGACAGGCTTATCACAATACTAACTTTGAAGGATTTAAATCCACTTCATTGCAGGGAGCTGGATACATAGAAAACATTGGGAAATTTAGTCTTCTGCAAGAGCTTGGATTTTGGGACTGTCAGGGAAGACAGATCTGCCTCTCCAGCCTTCCTCAACTTCCTTCCAGCAAACAAATGCTTCCAACGTCCCTGTTCTGGCAGGACAAGCTCTTATGAATGTTTAACTGTGCTTGGCTAAACAGGATTCAGGATCTAATACTGTGGTTCTAGAACCTATGAAGTACTGTATCTGTGGTGTGATGGAGAAGTCAAAAAATGGTTGTAATTACTAGATAAGAGAAGAGGGAAGCTGCATAATTCCCCTTGTAGCTGAGGAATTTGGGGAGTTGAATTCCACACATCTTAAAGTTGTCAAGGTTGAGTATTACTATCTTAGAGCAACAAAATTCCTTTCAATTTCACTGCTCATATCTGCTTATACAAAATTCAAAATTGCATAAATTGGAAGTTATGTCCATGACAAAGGAAATGTTTAAAACTTAAGCAATATGCAGACCAACAAACAAAGCCTTCCTCACTTCCCTGGTCACTATAGTTTAGGACACAACTATAACAATTTGAAAAAAAAAGCATACTCACTATGTCAGAATAGTCAGGTGAAGCTATTCCAGGATACATAGAAAAGAGTGGATAGTAATGAGGGACAGCAGACCCAAATGGTTGGATGGCGACAGGTAAAGATTGTTGAGCAGTGCCTACATCAGAGTAGTCTTGAAGATAACTAGGGTAGCCTTGGGGATAAAATGGGAAACCTTGAGGATAAAAAGGGTAGCCTTGTGGAAAACCAGGATAATTATATGTGGATAGAGAAGGTCGATGATACTGCAGAATGAAACAATCAGAACAGAAAAATCAAAATAGAGTGACTAATCTCAACAATCCCCATTAAAGAAAACCCATCAACCACATGGAAGCCCATGGATGTATCTCCTCCCAGACGCTGTCCTGCAGAGATGAGTGACAGGAGTTTTCCCCCTGTCCCAGGACACGTCTCTTTCTGCCCTCCCACTGTGGTGGATTACAGTTCCCAGCAGCACTGCATCCTGGAGGTGCCTAGAACTTGCATTCCAAATATTTACCAGGTTCAAAGGATTTCTGCAGCATATCTTAAATGTTGGCATTATTCTCAAATGGTTCCTTCTGGGCTCCTGTAAAAAATAAACAACTAAGTGTAAACTTAGCAAGCGACAAATTTATCACAGAGCTAACCTGGATATGACTGCATAGAAAAAGCTGAGAAATTAAATCCTCAAGAGTTTGGATTTGGGGGCTATTGAGGGAAACAGATGTGGACCTCCAGCCTTCCCCAACTACTCTCCAACAAACAGATACTTCACATTTTCCTGCACTGATAGAAAAGAACGTTATGAGCTATATTTGGCTAAATAAGAATGAAGGCCCCAGACTGGCTGTGATTCTGGAATCTATTGTGAACATAACTCTGGTCCTGTGAAAAAGTCAATGGTCGAAATTACTAAATAAGGGAAGAGGGGAGGGGTAAATCTTGTATCTCATATTCTGGGGCAATAAAACTGTGTTTATCTACCCCAAGGGTAAGCAACCTTGGCTCTTTTATGACTTGTGGACTTCAGCTCCCAGAATTCCTGAGCAAGCCATGCTGAGGAGCAAGGGAGAGGTTTCCAAGCTGAGCCATGCTGGCTCAGGAATTCTGGGGGTTGAAGTCCACGAGTCATAAAAGAGCCAAGGTTGCCTACCTCTGGTCTACCCTATACGGCTCAAAGAGCTTCCCACTTCTGAAAAAGCGAAGCAGTGGTTCCAGAAGGCAGAAGGGGAGGGCTTGCTGCCCATTCTCTGTTTCTTGTGGTTCACCATCCTAAGACAGCTTCTTCATCTTAACAGTGGCAGGGCCAACTCCATTTCTGCTAGCAAGAAGCAGAACCAAAGAGGTTTTTTTTGGAGGGGAGGACAGGAAGAAAAAGGGCATTGTAGTGCCATGTATACCATCTTGCTCCTGGACATTGCTGAATAAGTACTTCAAAGCAGGGGTCCCCAACCACCAGGCCACAGTCCAGTACTGGTTCATGGTTTATAGGAACTGGGCTGCACAGCTGGAGGTGAGCAGCAGGTGAGTGGGCAAATGTAATGCACTTGAATCGTCCTGTACCCACCCACCCACCCCCCCCAGTCCATGGAAAAATTGTCTTCCATGAAACTGGTCCCAGCTGCTCTAAAGTTTCTCCTAGCAGCCCAGACATGTTGGCTGTTCCCAGAATTCTTCCTGAAATAAAGAACCACCATACGGCTTCCAAGTTTAACAATATAGCTGCTAGTGGTTCTTCACTCAAAAGCCCTTCATTGTTCCTCTAACCAAATCAACCCTTGGAATATATTCATATTTTTTTCCCTCATGTAGCTTACCCATGGCCTCCTCTGGTCAAAGATCTTTTTGCAGATTTCAACTAATTTCTAATATAAAGAAGGAAAAACAGAGAGAGTTACCTTGCATTGCATTTTCCTTCACCTGTCCTTCAAATTGGAGAAATGAAGCCATTCCTTCTATTACCTAACACTCCCTTTGGCTTCCGAGAATCAATAAAAATTAAAGCTGTTCTTGGGTCCAATGATTTCAAGAGTTTCCTTGGCAGTGCTAGGCAAGTGACTTCCCATTCAAGAGTGCTTCCCTGGTGTCTCCTAATCCTCACCCATCCAAATTCTAACCAGGTCCAACACTGCTTAGCTTAATATCTTTCTACTGTTATTTTAAATCATGGTGGGTTTCATATGTCTATAATGCAAAGCCAAGAGTGTGGCTGTCATATTTCACAACAGCTGCTTTAACACTTAATGCTATCCATGAATCTGACCCATATCTCTTCAACTTGGGGATGGGGGGTGAGAATTAAACTTGATGCTTCTGTTCAGGAATACATCATTTCAATTGTTCCACCTGAAGTTTGGGGTCTGATATAGAAAGCAGTAAATGATAATAAATATTTCCATATACTTACACCCATCAAATGGATCTAGCAAACAAAAAGAGAGAGAGAGACACAATATTTAGAAAGAACCTTTAACTCTTGTTTAATTGCAGTTCCCTTGCTACAGGACGAAAACAATTTTAAGAAGAGACAGAGGATTCCCAATCTTTTTAACACACTCCATGTTTGTGTTTAGTAGCCCTCGTCTAGTGTTCAGAACTGGAACTGGCAACTCGGTTGCTAAATGATATAGTCACAAGGTGTAAAATCATATAGCCACAACTGAGTTTATGATATTATATCAGATTTCCTTTGCTGTATTGTGTGAGAAGTATATTATTCAAGCAGGTGGGTGATTCCAAACGCTTGGGAAAGTTTTTGAACTCAGTTTACAAGGAAGTAGAAGGGAAAAATATAGGTCTTTCTGTATGAACTTGTCTAAACTATATAACAACAACAACATCATCATCATCATCAACAACAACAACAACAACAATAATAATAATAATAATAATAATAATAATAATAATGGAGTTGGAAGGGACCTTGGAGGTCTTCTAATCCAACCCCCTGCTCAGGCAGGAAACCTTATACCATTTCAGACAAATGGCTGTCCAGTCTCTTCTTAAAAACTTCCAGTGTTGGAGCAATCACAGCTTCTGGAGGCAGGTTGTTCCACTGATTAATTGTTCTAACAATTAACTGAGCAACATTAAATACATATGAGCAACACTGAATACATTTCAGTAACTCTTCTTAGATAATTTCAGGAATGGTCATTGAAAAAGTCCAGGTGCTTCCAGAAAGAGAACTCCTAATGATGTAAAATAAAAAGCATGCCATTCTTAAGATATTGCTTTATACATAGATGGAAAACTAATGGGAAAGCACTAGGGACAAACTGATGGAACTTCTATAAATGCTTATGAATCAAGCAAAGTAATTGCAGTTTATTTTCATATTTGATTATATTTATTATCTGTGTATTTTTGCCTGCCATGAGAGAAAATGACTGGATCTCTCCATCATCTCAAATATTGAACTTATATTTTGGAAAGAAATCTCTGTACAAAACCTTTTACAATGAAAGTCTTTGCATTGTTTGATTTATGTAAATAAACCAGACATCTTTCAAATATACAGACAAATTCTGCTTGCTGCGTGATTGGTTAGAGCACAATTTTGGAAAAGTTTAGAGCCTGCATTGTTAGATGTGTGATATGAATAATGATATTTTTAATTTTTTAATCTTATTACTTCTATTGTAGATTTTTATCTATTTTTTATACAATGTAGTAATGTATACTTTTAATAACACTCCCATTTGAATTGTTTGAATCTGGTTCTTTAAATAATCTTTCTGAAAACAAATACAACACTAATCATACACTTATATTATTCAACGTTTATCTTCTCCTTCCGCTTGGAAGCTGATCGTTAAATGTTCTTTTAATGCTTCTTTTACTTTGAAAGAAAGCTTCTTGAATTTTTGCAGTGGGGCAGATCTGAGATTCCAGAGCAAGCAAAACCAAAGGGAACAAGCATCTAAAACTGGTAGAAACAAGATAAGAACTCACCAGCTTTTCAGGTCTAAAGTGATCCTATGGACAAACACCAAACACATAAAGACATAGAGTGAGGGGACAAATACTTTTCTTTTTGTCAATTTTTCCATAAAAAGTGAAAAATCCTGCAAAGAGCATCTGAGAATCCTCTAATCTGGGAAAGGGCAGCTAAAGATAATAATAATAATAATAATAATAATAATAATAATAATAATAATAATAATAACAACAACGACAACAACAACAACGACAATGACAACAACAACAACAACAACAATAGTACAGCAGAATAGAACTGGAGAAGATAACAAAATACAAAGACCTACAAATAGAAATAGAAAGACTGTGGCAAAAGCAAGCAAGGGTAGTACCAATAGTCATAGGCTCCTTGGGTGCAATCCCAAAACAACTGGAGCACCACTTGAACACCATTGGCATTGACAAATTCGCTATTAGTAAATTGCAAAAGGCGGCCTTATTAGGAACTGCTTCCATCCTGCGACGATACCTGTAATACCATCAAACATCCACATCTGCCTATCCCAGGGCCTGGGTAAGGACTCGATAGGTAGACAAAATGCCAAATCCAGTCTGAACATCTGGCTGACTGTGCGATGATCCATAATAATAATAATAATAGTAATAATAGATGATGATGATGATGATGATGATGATGATGATGATGATGATGATGATGATGGAAGGGACCTAGTCCAACCCCCTGTTCAGGCAGGAAACCCTATACCATTTCAGACAAATGGCTGTCCAGTCTCTTCTTAAAAACTCCCAATGTTGGAGCATTCACCGCTTCTGGAGGCAGGTTGTTCCACTGGTTGATTGTTCTGTCAGGAAATTTCTCCTTAGCTCTAGGTTGCTTCTCTTCTTGGTTAGTTTCCATCCGTTGCTTCTTGTCCGGCCTTTGGATGCTTTGGAGAATAGCTTGACTCCCTCTTCTTTGTGGCAGCCCCTGAGATATTGGAGCACTGCTATCATGTCCCCCCTAGTCCTTCTCTTCATTAAACTAGACATACCCAATTCCAGCAGCATTTCCTTATATGTTTTAGCCTCCAGTCCCCTGATCATCTTTGTTGCTCTTCTCTGCACTCTTTCTAGAGTCTCAACATCTTTTTTATATCGTGGTGACCAAAATGAGAGGTCTGTCTTCCCACCCACCACCCCCTGCTTCATCCCAATCCACAAGGCTATGCTTCACAAAGCACCTACCTACCCAGATTTGGGACCCTCTAACCTTGAATGGGACCCTAATATTTTCGTGGCCAGGTACTTTTGGGGGTTTTCTCAAATAGGTATAATATGAGCAGGCAAAAGTTATACTCACTGATGAGTCCAAGTGTCTAAAAGGCCACTGCAGAAAGAAGAAAAACATGACTTTCATTCTTGGCAAAATAGCTGTAATAGACATTTAAATATACAAAAGGCAAACATCCATTCTCTCTGTCTCTCATATAAGCCTATATATGCACATGGTGTGTGTGTGTGTGTGTGTGTGTGTGTGTGCGCGCGCATAATATTTAGGCCTGCAGATCTTTTTTGTGTTTCAGATATATAATAAACTACATAAGCTCATAGTTACTTTTAAGTGTGAGTTGGGCAGCTTATAAATTAAATAAATAAAATAATAAATATCTCTATAGACACCCAAATGATTTGGGAGCAAGACTATGAGGCCCCAGGATTTCAAGGCCAGATATTTGTGTGTGGGGGGGTCTCTCTAATGGGTACAATAGGAGCAGGCAAAATGGCTGCTGAGCCAAAATGCCTAAGAAACCACTGCAGGAAAAAAGAAAAACATGGATTTCTTCCTTGGTGAAATAGTTTTTATACTTCTTTATATAGGCATTTAATTGATATAAAATGCAAACTTGCAGTCTCTCTCTCTCAGTCTCTCTCTCTCTCTCTCTCTCTCTCTCTCTCTCTCTCTCTCTCTCTCTCTCTCTCTCTCTCTCAGAATATACATACACATGGATGTATGACCATAATATTTGTGCCACCAAATCTTTCTTATATTCCAGTAATTCAGAGTTGTTTTTAATGGTGAGATAGGCAGGATATAAATTTAATAAACAGAATAATAAATTTGCATTTGAAACCCAAATATAAAGAGACAAAGAACTTTAACAAATGCATAAGATTTTCCCAAACAATTACACGTATTTAGAAAGACGGAGAGTGAAAACAGCACAAGATACAAAAAGGCAAGCAGAAATTTCTTTAAATGCTAAACAAGGCTGCCAGCTCTAAGAGCACACTTTACCCCCCCCCCAAAAAAAAAAAACAATATTAAGTCGCTAAAGAAAAAAATAGAACCAAAATTTCAAGTTTTAAAAGACCAAAATCTCCTCAAAAGGTAGTACTTTGTTTCAGAGTACAGTACAGTATAACCTCTTTATAAACAGGTAATAACTAAATATAGTAAACAAATATGGAGATGTGACTTCAAAATGGATAAAAACAGTATTTTGGGTTGTGGATCTGAACCCCAATTGTTTGGGATGCAGTGGAGAGAAATGTGAGCAAAGGTAACTTCAGGGTATGGTCAAATAGTCAAGATGGTGACTATAGTGATCAAAATTATTTTATGTCTCTGTGTGTGTGTTTTTGATTATGCTTTGTGGGTTCTCTTGATAATCACCAAACTCTTAACAGTTATCTTAATCCCACAGTACTCCTAGGTAGGAAGTAATTGAAACAGAATTTGGGAACTTCAGACTATAAGCAGAGAGCCTATTCTTCAACAAAGGCAAAGAAAATAAAAGGGCACGCAGAAACTCATACTTACAAATGGAGAGTGCTGTAGAACAGAGTTTCCAATATAAGCATCATCTCTGAAGCCAGGATTCCCCTATAGAAATTGAAAGATACATTACAAACCAGTTCTATGGATGACCTTAATATCCTTCCTAGGCAAAGCTTATAGGCATCCAGAATAATCTTAATAAATAATGTTTACATTCTGCATTTTCTCTGAAAGCCTCTAAATAGTACATACAGAAGTTTTGTATAATTTTATCCTTACAACAACTCTAGGAAAGGTTGCTACAGGTAGCCCTTGGTTAGCAACTGCCTCAATGAATTATAGGGGTGATTTAAAACAAAAACACTCTGAGACCAGTGCCTATGGTTGCAATTTTCATCGCATTTTTTTCCCAGTCACAGATTTGCCATTATATGTGGTCAGTAATCACGGTCCTGTATCAAATTGTAATCACAGACATGTGATTTTAGCAATTGCTTTACTTGCTGGTCCCAATTGTGGTTACTAAATCAGGACTACCTTAGTAGTTTTCACATTATTTTTACTTTAAGTAAACTCTGTTATAAGATCCTGCAGCAGTAAGGAGTGAAGGGAGAATATCCCAGATGTCTATCTTCCTTCTCTGTCCTCAAGCGGTGTCTGTCTCAACACAATCCCCCAGAGCTACCCTTGATAGTATACCTATCCCAGATGTGGGATCCCCTACCCCTGAATGGGACCCTGAAATTTTCAGGGTCAGATCATTTTGGGGAGTTTCTCTTAAATTGGTACAATAGGAACAGGCATAGGTTATACTTACTGTTAAGCCAAAATGTCTAAAAGACCACTACAGAAAGAAAGAAAAAACCACACAAACATTTAAATATATAAAATACAAACTTATGTTTTTTTTTCTTTTATATAAGCATAGACATACATATGTATATACAGCTTTTATATATGCACACACATACATATGATAAATCTTTCCAATTCATGCCAAATCCTTCTGATATTTCAGTTATATAATAAATTATCATTATTAAATTGTGTAAAAAAAAACAAACCTTCTGGTCATAATAGAATCATTGATGTGAGGCAGATCATCAGTCTAATTGAATATTTGAAATCCCCTTGAAAAAGTGTGGGATCTAATGGGTTTATCCAATTACATATGAATTTTAATGAGGTTAATCTGGATCTCCTTGGTGGAACTTTACCTGATCCCTATTTATTATGTTTAAGATTTTGGTAGGATCCAAGAGTGAGCAGTTAAGTCTCGGATTAACCCACAAGGTTTGAGCCACAGAGGTGTCTTTACCACCTCACAAGTTACTTTTCCTAAAATGCAGGTTTCATCTCACCTGGGCATCTGTGCTGAGCACAGAAATCAACAAGGCAGCACCCACAAAGGACAGCTTCATTTCTCTCAGCTTGAAGCCCTTGATGAGAAAGTAAGTACGGTTAAGAACAGATCTTTACTTGATGTATCAGCACAACCCAGTCTGCCCAAACTGAAAGGAGCAATTGATGATGCCTTCAAATTACCTGCAGAGAAAGGTTTGAAGGGTTCATTCAGAAGGAAAGATCTGGTGCCAAATGAAACATTCCACCACCCTCTCTCTCTATTTTTTTTTTTTAGTATGATCTTGACTTGTGAGAAAATATTGATGCAACCTCACCCTCTAATTTATCTGATAACAAGTGGAGAGATTCTGAAAGTTCATTAGTGACCTTTCAAAGCCTTTATCTTATCTTTGTCCCATCTTTTGATTATCTTATCTTAGTTCCCGTGATTTGTTTTTATTCTTGGGGGGGGGGGAAGATATGAGACGGAAAGGGATTCTTTTACCAACTTTCAGGTTTCTGAATTGTAGGATGGATAACTAATTTGAGGAAATGCTACTGGTTTTCTGCTTGTCTTTCCTTTCATGATTCCTAGAATGGTCTTCACAAGGAAGGGTCCAAGGAAGAATAATTTTAGCCTAATCATCTGTGCCTCAAGTGAGAACTCTGTTTTTATTTTTTTTGGGGAGATAATCTGTTTGTTTGTTTATTTGTTTGTTTGCTTGTTTTTCTTGGCTGCCCATAGTCTTCGCAAGCATTTTCTCCAACACCAAAGCTCAAACATGTCAAAATTCCTTTTATTCTGCTTCTTCAAAGTCTTTTTTTTTTCCCCTTCCTTCTATAGAGTGTCACAGGAAATACCATTTCTTACACTAAACTGATCTTTGTCAGAATAGACACATCACAGGATCCAAATATATTTTCGTTGCCCTTCACTGCTTCCATACTAAGTGCTAGGCTGCATTAGATATCTTGAACATTTGTTCAACAAAGGATCATACCATTGATGGATAGTCATAAGGCACAGAGGCTATTCACCATTTCAATATTTTCATGGTCAGTGGTAAAGCTGGCTTTTGTAGCTGTTTTCTTGAGTGAATGCTCTAGAAATGATCAAATTCTCTGGTTTTCAGGCACTCCTATCTCTGCACTTCGGTATAGATTTGATATAAATAAATTCTATTTTCCCACTCTACCCCTAACTCATGGGTTAAACAATGAAGCCAAACAGTTATAGCCTTTTTTATTTTCGTAATTAAAAAGGATACCACTTGAAGGAATGTTAGATCCCTGTGAGAGAGTAAAGCATGCTTAATTACAAAGGAATTGATGTATGATTTTAGAGTTTTGTTCCTTTAAAATGTTAAATTTAAAGAGGATGAAATTTGCAGTAGATATGGATCATTAGGAGACAGAATTTCTGAGTAACAATATTTTTAAGAAACTGTTTTACTCCTTATGAAAAAAATGGTACCTATGGTATGAAATACACAGAACAAACTTTGAATAAATAAAATTTAAAAAGGGAGTGATGCTAGCAGAGGAATAAATATGCTGCTTTCCAAATGCATTGATTTTCAGGAATTGAAGATACATTTAAAGATCAGGGATTAACTCACGGGTCTTTTAAATTGAAACAAAAAGATGATAAAATAGCATTCTGGCTCAATGTGAGGTCAGAATGAAGCCACTATATAATTACTAACTGAGCAGCCATATACTCTTTTGATTTTCTCACTTTTCCCTTTTTTTGGCTATGATACTATGGAACTATTTATTTTCTGAATGTTTATTTTATGATGTTTTATTCGCTTTGGTGATGTAATTTTATTAAATCTATAAAGGAGAAGAGAAAAGCAAGTACAGAAACAGAATCTGAGGCACACAAAGCACCAAATTTTTTTTCTCCTGCTGGGAAAACGGTTGGAGATCAAAAAGACACAGCAAGCTGGCAATCTTTAGGCCTTCTTCTCTTTTTTTTTTTTTTTTTTTTGTCCCTTAGAGCGTTGGTCATATCCAATCTATGTGACTTCTTTATGCAGAGTACAAATCAGTCTTATTGTGGTTAGAATGCAGTTTTGCAGGCAAACACTGCCCACAGCCTGGAGTTCGATCCTGACCAGCTTAAGGTTGACTCAGCCTTCCAGCCTTCCAAGGTCAGTAAAATGAGGATCCAGACATTTTAAACTGCCCGAGTGTGCTGTAAAGCACTATGGACTGGTATATCAGTCTAAGTGCTATTTCTGTAGCTATTGTATCCTATCAGTCATTCAAACTCACAACCCTATGGATTGACTTTTGGCCCAATGGGGTCGGCACTAAATGAATAAACTTCCAAGATTGCCAAATCTTATTTCAAGCTCCCATGAGGACTTAGTGCCATCCCAGGTGTTTGGGACCATGGATGAATGGAAAGAAGACTTTTTGAAAGGGGTGTCATGGACAATATCTGAAAGTGTCATAGGTGTCTGCAAAGGTGAGGCTACATTTCCCTGAAAACTGCAGTCGGATCATTATCCAGTTGTTCAAGACAAGGGGAGACTGTTAAACTTAAGGCATGTCCTCTTCCCCTATTATTGATAAGGTACAAAGACTTTTCTTTTTTTTTATTAAAGATTTTTTATTTTCCATTTATCCAGCATAATTATACAACAAAATTCACTTTACAAAATAAAATAAATTCATAACCATAACCATAGGTGCCGCTTGCTCATTCCCCCCAAGCTGCATCCACCCTCTCCAATACCTTCCCTACTTCCCTCCTCTTTCTCTCCTCCCCTCACTACTCTCTTCCCCTCCCCTTCTCCTCTTACCATCTACAGGAATGCAGCATAGGGGAAATGCCCATGCAGCACCTCTCCATAAATTACCATATCTACATTATCCTATTCTACCTATTTACCCTCCCACTCACCCATCCACCCACCCTCAACCTCCCCCCCTCACTTCCCAGAGCAGAGTACAGGGTTATTAATAACAAACTTAACAATATACAAAAAAAAAAAGAAAAAAAGAAAAGAAAAAAATCATACTTAGCCCTTAACTCCCCTTAAATTACATCATCATAAACAAATCTCTTATAAAACATTTACTATAAAATTTACTCATAAAATAAATGAAACTTTATAGTCCCATACTTCTTCTGAATATAATCTATCCATCTTCTCTATACAATAATATATCTTTCTTGTGTATGATCCTTTAAATAAGCAGAAATTTTTGCCATTTCTGCAAAATTAGAAACTTTAAATATCCATTCTTCTAGAGTAGGCAGTGAATCTTTCTTCCAATATGAACCTACTAATAACCTTACTGCAGTTAATAAATTCAACATTAAATAGTTTCTTTATCATCTAAATCCACAAAAATACCCAATAAGAATAATTGAGGAGTAAACTTTATCTTCCTTTTAAAAATATTTTGAATGTTCCACCAAATCATAATCCAAAAAGCCTTTACCTTTTTACAATTCCACCAAACGTGAAGATAAGTCGCATCCGTGTTGCCACATCTCCAACATTTGGGTTGTAAATTAGAGTACATACAAGATAATTTTTTAGGATCTAGATGCCACCTATAAAACATTTTATAAAAATTTTCCCTCAAGTTTTGAGCTTGTGTAAATTTAACATTTCTGATCCAAATTATTTCCCATAAATCCAATGGGATCGGTTCCTGGAAATTCTGAGCCCATTTAATCATACAGTCTTTAACCAATTCTGTTTCTGAATCTAATTCTATTAAAGCATTATAAATTCTTTTTATATGAGCCTGATTCTGATCTTTAATCTGAATTACCAAATTTTCATCTTCTAATGTTATTCCCTCTTTCTTATCTAAAGTCCATCTATCCACTATTTGTAAGTACTGAAACCATGATTGTAAAATATTTTCTTGCCTTAATACATCTAAAGATTTTAAATGCCAATCCAAACCTGACCAAATTAATAATTCTTTATACGAAATTTTGTCAAAATTCATCCCCTTAGAAATTCCCTCAATTGCATGTCCAGGAATCCTCCAGATAGGTATTTTATAATTTAACCTATAATAATACTTTTTCCAAACTCGAAGTAAAGCATTCCTCAAAATATGGTCCGGTCAACTTTCTTATTAAAAATTAAATATGCATGCCAACCATACATTAAGTCCCACCCTTCAAGAGAAAGAATATCCTTATTTGTTAAATTAAGCCAATCACTTATCCAAGTTAAGGTGGCTGCATCATAATATAATTTCAAATTAGGTTATAAGTTCTAATAAACAATCAACCGCTTGAGTCGGTTGTTCCAAAATTAAAACAAATCATCCGCAAAAACCCGCAATTTATATTTATTCTTTTTTATCTTTATACCCTTGAGTACCGTTGATTCTCGAATCTGAATCAACAAAATCTCCATTGTTAAAACAAATAACAATGGAGATAATGGACATCCTTGTCTTGTTCCCTTTTCAATATTAAAAGTTTCAGTCAGTCCCCCATTAACAACAATTTGAGCAGATTGTTGCTGATATATAGCTTTAAGCGCATGTAAAAACTTATCCCCGAAATTCATTTTCTCTACCAATGAGAATAAAAATTGCCAATCTAATTGATCAAAAGCTTTCTCGGCATCCAAAAATATAAAAGCCACAGGAATCTGATTATTCTTATCCAAATACTCAATTAAATTAATAATTTGTCTTACATTGTATTTCATATATCGCCCTGTTATAAATCCTGATTGATCACTATGAATCAAATCCTTCATAACCTGCATTAGTCTGTTTGCCAAAATTTTAGAGAAAATCTTATAATCTACATTTAACAAAGATATTGGCCTATAATTCTTAGGCTCTGTAAGATCTTGATCCTCCTTCGGGATCAATGATATAAACACTCTTTTCCAGGAAGGGGGCACTTGAGCTCCCAACAAAATACTATTAAACAGCTCCTTTAATGGGTCCATCATTTCTTCAGATAAAATTTTATAATACATTGACGTCAATCCATCTGTTCCTGGAGACTTTCCCACCTTTAACTGCTTAATAGCTAAACCAATTTCCTCCACAGTAATTAAACAATTCATCCCATTTTGTTGTTCCTCAGAAAGTTTAGGAAAGTGTACTAATTGTAAATATTTATCTATATCCATTCCCTTTATATTATCACTTGAATATAACTTTGTATAAAAGTCTAAAAAACTCTTTTTAATCAAATTATGCTGAAAAACCTCAGTACCTTTATATTTTACTTTCTCTATAATCCTAGCCTTCTGTTTCTTTCGTAATTGATAAGCCAACCACCTCCCAGGCTTATTCGCATTACAAAAAGTATTATGTCTCATATAACGCAGATTGGTAGCCACCTGATCTGCCATCACATATTAAATTGTTCCCTAAGCATTTTTATAGAAACCTTTAACTTATTATCGGTTGGATTAAGAATCCAACAAAGACTTTTCTTGACCTATGAATCAGGAATGAGCAACTCTTTCCTAGACATCAAATAAGAATGTAATTATTCACTTCTGTGATCAAAGGAGACAAAAAAGGTTTATATTCTGGAACTTCTTAAGTAGTTCAAAGTAATGTTGGGAACATCACTAAACATCTGTTAAGCCTATAAGAAACTCTGGTCTGTAGAAAGGTAACAGAAATGTGAGATAATTATGCTTGTGGCATTAAGCTCAAAGGATACTTAGATAGTGGGCTTATAATCAATTTTTTTTCTCTTAATGTGAAACTTTATTGAGTACATCACTTCGGCATTAATGAAAACAAAACCAGCTCTGGCAAGACCCCTCCCAAACCCATATATATATATTTTATTTTTTATTTTTCCAAACTCTCCCCTATACATATACCATGATATTTATCAGATGTTAACCTACATTCTTTTTACATTCTTGTATATAGGATACTTTTAATAAAATGAAATAAATACATACACATGACTTTTGGTGTTGCTCGCCCATTTCCCCTTTCACTGTAACCACACTCCTTCTTCTCTACCTTTTCTCCCTTTCTTCTCTTTCTTCCCTACTTCCCTCTTCTTCCTCTCCTCTTCTCTTTCCTTCACCACTCTCTCCTCCAACCTTCCTACTTCCTTCTCCCCTCCTTTACTCTTTTCTCTCTTCTCTCCTTTCTTCCCTCTCATCCCTCTTCAGATACAATTCAGGGGTAATGTCCGAGCAACTCCTCTCTCCAAATTTCCCTATCTGTATTATATACAATAAGATTAATTTTCTCTTACATTAATACTTCTATTTATCTAACCTTCTCAGTATATACTTCTATAAATATTTATACAACCTCCAGTTATTCAATACTGTGTCACCTGGGTCTCCCTCCTTATCTGCTCCTTCTTCGTCCATCTAAATTATAATCAGATTTTCATTTATCAGAATCAACTAAGCATTGATGTGGCCTGAACTTCATTACAATATTGGAAAAAAATGATAATTTTCACAGCACAATAATAATAAAGACAACATTCCATGATAATGCTGAACATATTTATTTGTATTTTTTTTTGTAGAGAAAGCCAGTGTTAACCAGTATTCACAATTAAGAGAAAGTGTCCTCAAATCAACAGAAAGAAATATTGCTGGAACCCTTCTCTGAAGAAAGTAGCATTTCCCCTTTGATATGGAAGCCAGAAAGAGAAAGTGTTGGAGGGATGATTTTTGACAAATGCAGTTGATGAATCTATTAAAAAAAACAAGAGTAAAAGTGAAACATTGGCACAAAAAGTGTCTGCTCAAGGCAACTAATATTCCAGACTTTTGCCTTCAACCTCCCCTTTACCCTCCATGATAATAGCGCCAATAATCTACATCAGCAGCCCCCAAACCAGGGACTGGTTCTGTGGAGGCCAGTTTTTTCATAGACTGAAGGGTTCCCGGCAGGCTGTGGACCATTGTTGGTCCACTGCACAGATGTTGGGGACCCCTAATCTATGTATTTGAAAGCAACTCATTGTAAAGTCCCAGGAGAAATCTGCACACTGAACATCTCTATTAAAGCAAAGAATATCCATCATACTCACTGGTGTACATCTTCATACTGAGATGCTTTGATTTACTTTAGCTGGAAAAATAAAATCAGAAAATCAATTCAGGGCAAAATCACTGGAGTGTTCATTCTATTGTGGACATTCCTAGGAATTAGTATTGTTTAATTGCTGCAATAGAGATAATGGAGGGTAGTTGTAATTGTGTTTCAATAGTTGAAATTTTCAAAGCACAGAAATCAAATCAGCAATATAGATGATACTCACCAATGGTAACTGGGATCAGATGCTCTGTTGCTAAACAACTCGGTCATAATGCACAAGGTCATGTGACCATGCCAACTGTCAGAATCCAATCATATTTCATCTTTAATTATCAAATATAGAAACTCCCAATTCTGCCTTCTTTGGATTCTGCCATAAGAGGGAGAGAAGGGGGAGAACAAAGGGGCTTTATGGCCCTCACTTCCTTCAGTAGACTTCAAAGAGCTGAATGCTGAATGTGTGTTTATTGTAACCTATTGTAACCTCAAAGCGTTAACACCAGAGAACATTAGCATTAACAAAGAAGAGTATTTGCCTTTCATGTAGTTATCTGAAGTCTCCATCCAGACGGAAGAAAGAAGAAACGGGGTGGAATTGTGATACTTGAAACTATCACTGGGAAGGGGGGTTGATTGGGTGGGACTACTGGGGAACCCCTTAAAACCTTGAATGGGAGAGCTTGGACCCCAAGTCCTGTCTAGCATGCCTGCAACCATTTTCTCTTAATAAAGGATTCCTGTTGGAAGAACTATTCCAAGAGTTCTGTCTTCTTAAGATGCAAAGTGGGGTGGGTCCTTACATTAGACAGGACTTGCAAAATTAATCCACCTGGAAGGTAGACCCTTGCCGGGGGATTTTGCAAAAATTTACCATGTCAGACAACGAAGCAAGAGAGGGAGAAAACTCCCTGGAAAGAGAGCCGCTGACCCAGTTGGAACCTTGCCAGATGTTGGGATCCGAGAGGCCAGATTTCTCAGAAGAAGAAGTGGTGGAGACACAGGACCACAAGCCTCGCTGGTCGATGGGCGTTGGAAAGAAAAGCGAGTGGGGAAAGGAATCAAGAAAAGTGACCCTGAGACGGGGGACCAAGCAACCAGAATGGAAGCAGGAGATGGAGAAATCCCTGCACGCAAGTGAAGAGGGAGGAAGCTGTATGCCGTACTCAGACTGGATCCTAGAGAGAGCTATTGACCTGATGAAGAGAACTCTCAGCTCCCTAGGAGAGGAGATTCCTGAGCCCTACGCCCGCCCCAGTTCCTGGAGCCACAAAGGGAGAGACACCGAGGGGGACGTGGAACCTGCAACCCCAGGGACATTTACTGATCCAGGAGCTCCCACCCCCTACCGGACCCAAGATGGAAATCTGGACGGAAGACACTACCACCCACAATGGAGGCACCGATCCATTCCAAGACGTCCACCGTTGGAGGTGAAATTCAAAGGGGAGCCAACACGCTTGGGGTTTTTCCTAACCCAAGTCCTCAGCTACATGGAGGAATATGGGCAGGACATCCCCAGCGACAAAGCCCGCATCCGGATCGTGCAATCTGCCCTGGATGGACCAGCTGCAGATTGGGTGGTGAACCTGCATGACTCCAATGCCCCAGAACTCAGTAACTTCAACCGTTTCATGTCCTCGTTGAGAAGACGATTTGAAGACCCCCTGGCTGATCGCAAAGCCCGTGAAAGAATAACAACGATGAGGCAGGGCAAACGCCCAGTGGCTGAGTATACACAAGAATTCCGAGCCATTGCCAGCAAACTGAATTGGCCAGAAGACATCCTCCTTGGCCGTTTCAAAGACGGACTAAACTATGATCTATATGATGCTTGCCTGCCCCGAGGAGACCCACATCGACTTGAGGAATGGTACGTCTTGGCAGAGGAAGCAGAGATCGACATATTGAAGAGGCATCGCCGAGGAAAACAATGGAGCCGCCCCCCGCCTGAGCTGACACACCAACCGGTGAAATCATCGGATACAGCCAAGAAGCAGATGGGGTGTTTCAAGTGCGGAAGAGAAGGGCATCGAGCTGTAGAATGCCGCTCAAAGGCCCCCCAGCACAACCCAGACAGATCCCCAATCAACAAACCCAGAGGGTATTCAGCTAAGCCAAAAGAAACAGCCATGAAAATGATGGAAATTGCAGAAAACCCCACCTCTGCTCACCAAGGGGAAAGAACTCCAGCCTACACCACAGGGACGGTGGATGCCTCAGATGACAGCTCGGAAGGCGAACCCCTGGTAAGTGGACGCATCACACCCATCTTCAAAACAGTGACTATATTAATCCCCCCCATGCCCGAAGCTGTGAAGGTGAAAGCCTTAATAGACTCTGGCTGCACCCGCTGCCTCATTAGCCCAACACTAGTGGGGAATCTGGGCATCCCATCCAGGAGACTGGAACAACCAATCTCATTTGGCCAGCTAGATGGATCCATAGCAGGGGGGGTGCCAGCTACCCTAGCCACTCTGCCAATACACCTCTCCCTGGGCAACCATGAAGAGGACTTAACGTTTGTGGTGACCCCAGGTATGGAATGCCCAATGATTCTAGGGATGGAATGGTTGAAAAAATGGAACCCCTGGGTAAATTGGAGGACGACAGAAATCAAATTCCCGAAGGGGGACCCTATGGACTTAAAACCCCAAGAGAGGCTACCAGAATCAAGAATAGAAAAAGCATCCATAGGAGAGGAAAAAAGATTAACAGAAATACCAGAGGAATATAGGGACCTTGCTGAAGTCTTCAGTGAGGAGAGGGCGAATGAGCTTCCCCCCCACCGACCCACAGACTGTACCATTGAATTCAAGCCTGGGGCAAAACTCCCGAAACCCAGATTATACTCCATGAGCCCAAAGGAGAAGGAGGAAATGGAAAGATTTATAAAAAAAAACCTGGAGAGAGGTTTCATTGAACCAGCTAAGCCTAAAGTGGCTGCCCCGGTCCTTTTTAGAGAGAAGAAGGATGGCTCTTTACGTTTATGCGTGGATTATAGGGCCCTGAACACAATCAGTGAAAGCAACCTATACCCGCTGCCCCTCATGAAAGACATGCTGTCACACCTATCGAAAGGGAAAATTTTTTCTAAACTAGACTTAAGGGAAGCTTACTATCGCGTGAGAATCAAGGAAGGGGACGAATGGAAGACTGCATTTAACTGCCCCATGGGGTGCTATCAATTCAAAGTCTTGCCATTTGGATTACAAGGGGGCCCTGCAGTCTTTATGCAATTAATCAATGACGTTCTAAGGGAGCACCTGTTTAAGGGGGTCCTTGTTTACTTGGACGACATTCTTATCTTTACCGAAACAAAAGAAGAACACGTCAAACTTGTCAGAGCGGTTTTAAAGAAGCTGCGAGCCGCTCACCTATATGCCAAACTCTCAAAATGCGAATTCCACCAGGAAAGGATAGACTACCTAGGCTATCGCATATCCCCACAGGGCATTGAAATGGACCCAGAGAAGGTCAGAGCAGTATTAGAATGGGCACCACCCCGCACAAGAAAGCAACTACAAAGTTTCCTGGGCTTTGCAAATTTTTACCGCCAATTCATCCCCTCATTTGCACAGATAGCCTTGCCCCTCACCAACTTACTAAAAACGAAGGGAACATCCTCAGTAAAACCTAGCCAGCCACTAACATGGACAATGGAGTGCCAAGCAGCGTTTGAGAGACTAAAGAGACTTTTTTCTGCCGAACCAGTACTAAGGCACCCAGACATGGACAAGCCCTTCATAATACAGGCAGATGCAAGTGATGTGGCAGTGGGGGCTGTGCTATTACAAGAAAATGATGATGCAGTATTGCAACCCTGTGCATATACATCCAAGAAACTCACGGAAACAGAACAGCGCTGGCCCGTATGGGAGAAGGAGGCTTATGGGATACGTTGGGCATTACTCACATGGCGACAGTTCCTGGAAGGCAACAAAATCCCCTTCCAGGTGTGGACTGATCACAAAAATTTGGAAGCCCTGAAAACTTCCAGGAAACTCAATCCCAAACAAGCCCGCTGGTCCCAGCATTTTCACCAATTCCAATTTAAGCTCAAACATTTACCAGGAAGAAAGAACTTCCTGGCAGATGCACTATCTCGCATGCCCCAATATAACAGCGCACGAACCACAGACTCTTATCACTGCAGTTGCAACAGTTGGAATTGCCATCGTGTCCCATGATCACATGCCTGCTTCCCCACTGATTTCATTTGTCATGAGAGAGTTCACATAACTGTGGGATCCTGAAACAGCTGCAATTATGTGGATCCATGACATATAGTCCTCGTTCAGTGCTGCCCTAACTTCAAAGATGCGTGAATCTGTTAACCTTAATTGAGGACTACCTTTTTTCTATTACCCACTGAAACAGACAGCTCACTAACAATTATGTTCTCTGAAGGACTTCCTCCAAAACTTGTTATTTTTCTGCAGGGAGTAAGGGATAGGCTAAAGCAGTGTTTTTCAACCTTGATGACTTTAAGATGTAGGGACGTCAACTCCTAGAATTCCTCAGCCAGAATAATGCCAAGTATTAGTTCTAGTGAAAGCTGAGCAGCCTAGAACCTTCCATTTTTGTTAGCTTAATCCTATCTGTAAGTAGGGGGAAATATTCTTGATTTTTAGGGCCAGCAGAACCTTCTTCGCTTGCCTTCAAAGGAATAGGCCTTCAAGAATTGGCATACTTTCATACTTACATGGCAGAAGTCGTTTCAGCCAGATGTTCCAGATGGAGCAGACAGAGACAATCCGGATGTACCAGGTGAAAGTAAGGTAGCAAGGCTGGATTGTGCAACAGGCTTTCCAGAGGCAGACAAAGACAATCCAGATGTATCAGAGGGCTGAGCACTGGATGGAACTGAGGAAGCAGGAGGAGGTTGTGCAAAGGGACCAGGTGTTTCAGATGCAGACAAAGACAATCCAGATGTATCAGAGGGCTGAGCACTGGATGGAACTGAGGAAGCAGAAAGAAGTTGTGCAAAGGGACCAGGTGTTTCAGATGCAGACAAAGACAATCCAGATGTATCAGAGGGCTGAGCACTGGATGGAACTAAGGAAGCAGGAGGAGGTTGTGCAAAGGGACCAGGTGTTCCAGATGCAGACAAAGACAATCCAGATGTATCAGAGGGTTGAACACTGGGTGAAACTAAGGTAGCAGGGTCAGGTTGTGGAAAGGCACCCAAGGAAGACTGTGGAAAGGGAGCTGAGGCAGACTGTGGAAAGGCACCCGAGACAGACTGTGGAAAGGCACCCGAGACAGACTGTGGAAAGGCACCCGAGGCAACTTGTGCAGGGGGAAATCCAGCACCAGCAGAATATTGAGGACTAGCCAAAGCAGAGGGAACAGCTTGTACTTGGGCAGCAGGCAAAGATTGTGCAGGGAAAGGTTGTTGGGGAACTGAACCAGGGAAGCTATTTGTGACCAAATTAGGTGGATTCGCATTGTTAGGCTGTGGCTGCAGAACAGGGAAAAAAATGGAAGGAACATTGAAGATATAGTCACTGGTCTGATTTGTTTCCTACATTCCTCATTAAAAAAACAAACAAACCACCAACCATATTAAAGCCCATGAGTGCATCTCCAGTGGCTGTCCAGCAGAGATGAATTACATGAATTTTCCTCTGTCCCGGGACATGTCTCTTTCTGCCCTCCTACAGTGGTGCATTACAGTTCCCACCAGCATTACTTCTTGGAGCTGCCTGGAACTTGCATCCCAAACATTTACCAGTACAAAAGATTTCCACTGCACATTCTAAGAGTTGGGACTATCCACAAATGATTCCATCTGGGTTCCCATAAATAACAAACCACTAAGTGTAGCTTTAAAGAGGGACAGGCTTATCACAACTCTGAAGGACATAAATGCATGAAGGGACCTGAATGCATAGAAAACACTGGGAAATTTAGTCTTCCGCAAGAGTTTGGATTTGGGGGCTGTTGAGAGAGGCAGATCTGCATCTCCAGTCTTCCCCAACTTCCTTCCAGCAAAGAGATGTTTCCAACCTCCCTGCTCTGGCAGAAAAAGCCCTTATGAATGATTAGCTGTGCTAGGCTAAACAAGATTCAGGATCTAGTATGACTGTGGTTCTAGATCATATGGAGAACCCTAGCTGTTGTCCAATGAAGAAGTCCAAAAATGGTTGAATTACTAAATAAGAGGAGAGGACAGTCCAAATCACTGTAACTCTCATATCTAGGATCTTTCTAGAGCAGCATTACTCACTTTGGCAACTTTAAGATGCATGGACCTCAACTCCCAGAATTCCTCAGCCAGCCATGTGGCTGGGGAATTCTGGGAGAAGCTGGGAGTTGAAGTCTATACACCTTAAAGTGGCAAAGGTTGAGAATTATTGTCCTAGAGCAACTAAAATTGTATTCAGTTACATGACACATATCTGGTTATACAAAATTCAGATAAAATGTCAACACTGCTAACACCGGATGTTTTTGCATTGACAATAGATGGAAATGTAGCCATCTTTTACCTTTTGCTTTTAGAGTTAGATGATGCTGGGGGGGGGATGTGAACGAGAGTCTAGCTAGACATAACAACACTAAACCTAGCGTGAGAAACAAGGTTATTGTAACCAGAGCTGATAAGGAATTGGCAGGCTGGAGAACTGGAGAAGAGGCCCACGCTTCAAGCTAATTGGGGAATGTGATTTATGACAATTAATTGAAGGAGGGAATTGTGTTTTTGGCTTCGATTATGCAGTGCTGATATTATGCTATTCAAAATAAAGATTCTTTAAGGTAAACAATGCCACAAAGATCTTTTGAGGGGTTTCATCTGTCGGAACCATGACATAAAATACACCAGAGAGTTAAAACCATGAAACAGGGGCATATTTTTTAAGAGAATATGCCATCGTGAAGCCAGAGCTATGTAGAACTGTAGTAAGATGCAGACCAATAAACAAATCTTTTCCTACAGGCAATCCTCAATGTAGAACCAGTAAGCAGCATCAAATCTCAAAAAAATACATAGGGCCTAGATCCAAAGTTCCGATGGCCATTTTCTCTCGGCCCCTCAGTCACATCCTTACATTTTAGATGCCCAGCAACTATGACTGTTTGCAACATCTCGCAACCATATGAACCTGTTTTGCAACAGTTTTGCTAGAAACTAGGGTTTATTTCAAGTTTCTGGCAAAAAAAGGCCCATTGTGAACAATGTGTTCACTTAAACAACTGCAGTGTTTGCAATTGAACATGTGCCTTATGACTGTTGCATTTGGTTAACAATCGCTGCAAAAAAGGCAGCATCAAGTCAGGCATGATCACCTGATGAATGACTTGCATAAATCACAACTTTAATTCCATGCTCAATTATGGTCCTACGTTAAGGAGTACCTGCATAGCCAGGATGCATCTGTAACAATTGGGGGGGGGGGGGACAATAATTCTATGTTTTGCCTTTGATCTCTGTGAATGTAAGGAAAGAATATTTTTGATATTTGAGGCCAGCAGAACATTTTACCACTTCCATATGAACAGGCCTTCAAGGGAACCTGTCTCACTTTCATACTCACTGTGCCGGACGCAGGTGGGACAGCAGGCCAAGATGGTTGAGCAAGGAAAGATGAAGGTTGTTGAGCAGTACCTGCAACAGTGTTGCTTTGTGGAGGAGAACCGTAAAGTTGTGGAGCAGAAGCAGCGTAGACTTGTGGATTAGGAGCACCGTAGGCATGTTGAACAGGAACAGCATAGAGTTGTTGAGCAGGAACAGGATTGGGTTGTTGAACAAGAACAGGATAGGGCTGTTGAGCAGCAGCACTGTAGGGTTGTGGAGCAGGAGAATTGTAGGGTTGAACAAGAACAGCATTGGGTTCAGCAGGAGCAGTGTAGGCTTGTCGACGAGAGCTGGGGCACCTTGGAGGAGGAGGAGGAGGAGGAGGAGGAGGAGGAGGATCATAGTGCCAATGGTAATGACCGTGGTGGCCATGTGAATGATATGGCTGTAGAATTAAACAATCAGAATAAAAAAACCTAAAACAGAGTTACTAATCTTGATTGTTTCCAACAATCTCCATTAAAGAAAACCCATCAACCATATGGAAGCCCATGGATGTATCTCCTCCCAGAGGCTGTCCTGCAGAGATGGGTGACATGAGTTTCCCCCTGTCCCAGGACACGTCTTTTTCTGCCCTCCTCCTGTGGTGGATTACAGTTCCCACCAGCATTACATCTTGGAGCTGCCTGGAACTTGCATCCCAAACATTTACCAGGTACAACTGACTTCCACAACATATTCTACGAGTTGGGATTATTCCCAGTTTCCAACTAGGTTCCTGTAAACAATAAACCACTAAGTGTAACCTTAAAGAGTGAGAGACTTACTATAGTGCCAACCCAGATGGACTTGAATTAATTTTAGTGCAAGGAACCTAGTACATAGAAACTGTTGGGAAATTAAACCCTCTGCAAGTGTTTGGATTTGGGGGTTGTTGAGAGAAACAGATATGGACCCCCAGCCTCCCCCAACTATCTTCCATCAAACAGATATTTCCAACTTCCCTGCCCTGAAAAAAAATTCCACTGCATTATTATAAGTGATCAGCTGTATTTGGCTAAACAGGATAACTGTGGTTCTAGATCAGTGGTTCTCAACCTTTCTAATGCTGTGACCCCATAATACAGTCCCCCATGTTGTGGTGACCCCCAACCACTTATACATCACCGGGTGCCAAGGGCGTGGTCAAAGAAAAGAGGAAAAAATGGCGGACAGCCTTGTTTGGTGACCCCCGTGAAATGGTCGTTCAACCCCAAATGGGATCCCGACCCACAGGTTGAGAACCACTGTTCTAGATCCTAGAGAGCACCATAGGATCTGGTTCAATGAAGAAGATAGTCAGATTGGTGGATATTAGTAGATAAGAGAAGTAATGAGCTGGATAATCCAACTTTCATATCTAGGATCTTTCCAGGGAAATAAAAAATGCATTCAGTTATCCCATATACCTGTGCATCTAGTGTAATGCTTAAGGTGTTGGAGTAGAAGCAGAGAGAAACCCAGGGCCAAGCCTACTTTAAGCAAGGGGAACTCACATGATACTTCACCCACTACACAGCCCTCTAATATCCTCCTGCCAGTCTTTTCTCACAATCCAGATACGTGGCACCGGCAATTCACATCTGCAAACAATCTACCTGATCATATAATGTTGTTGTCTACACTGGTGAAGTCAGTGGGATTTCAGATATTTTGAAGGAAAGACATTGTGGCCTTTTGTTGCAATGGCTGTTCATCAAGGATCCATCTGCAAGCTCTGTTATTTCTCATGATTTCTCTGCTCTGATTCTCTAAACAGATGGTTTACAGTTCTTGCTTTAGTTTTCCAGTCTTTTTCTTCTTATGTTTATAATACGGTTCTGTGTGCAGTGCATGCAGTGGTGGATGTCTGTGGAGATTCTCAGCCATCCAAGTCAGGATTGTCCCAAAGTTGCTTTTTCAGGAAGCAGTCGTCTTGTTTTTCCTTGAAGACATTTCGCTTCTCATCCAAGAAATTTCTTCAGTTCTACAGGCAGAACTGATTGGATTGGTCTGGGAGGAACCAAACTCAAGACTCTTTTTTTTAATCTACCGCTTGGCATGTTGCAGTGTGCCCACCATCTTTTGGAACATGGTCACATAGCAATAAAGGGAAGAAGGGAAGTTGCAAAAATGGTCCAAGAAAATTTGCAGCCCTATGTTTAGCCTCTTCTACTCCTTTAAACTTTTTTCTTTTATAATGGGAAACATTTGAGATTCCAAAACAATTGGAGGCAAAGGGGAAAACATCTAAAGCTGGTAAAGAAAAGGTATCATACTTACTCCGTGTTGATCCCAGTAACCACCATAATGAGCATGGCCATGCTACAGCAACGAAAAGAGACAGAAAGAGAGAGAAGGGATCAATATACATTCCCTACACATAAAAAATAAAATTAATATTGAAGCTAAAGCTTGTAAATGCATGATTCAAGAAGGGATTGTCACTGAAAACTATAGAGATGATAATTGCAAGCTGCACAGCATCAGAACCACAAGGGTAGAAATGAATAAAGAGTAATACTATAGCAGGGGTCTTCAAACTGGGCAACTTTAAGATGTGTGGACTTCAACTCCCAGAATTCTTCAGCCAGCCAGGGCTGGCTGAGGAATTCTGGGAGTTGAAGTCCACCCATCTTAAAATTGCCCAGTTTGAAGACCCCTGTACTATAACAATAGCACTTAGACTTTTATATTGCCCTGTAGTACTTTAAAGCACTTTCTGAGCGGTTTACAATGTCAGCACATTGCCCCCAAAATCTGGGTCCTCATTTTACTGACTGCCAAAGGATGGAAGGCTGAGTCAACCTCGAGTCCCATCAGAATCAAACTCCAGGGTGTGAGCAGAGTTAGCCTGCAATACTGCATTCTAACCACTGCGCCACCAGGGTCACTGTGTAACATTCTTCTCTCCCAACATGGTTCTGCAGAAAAACATCTCAGCTTACCTAAGCTGCTATTTGCATTAGAAAGAAATCTTCTCTGAGAACTAGGGATATTTTTAGCGCCTTCCCATATCTACACCTACTTCTCTGTCCCAAAGAAGCTCTCCATGTGTCTCTCCATTACCCCCACGGATATTATATATCAGTGATGGAGAACTTTTTAGAGACCGAGTGTCCAAAAACTGCCCCACCCTGCCTCATGCCCTCAGGGCCACCCACCACCTCCACAGCCCACTACAGATCACTCAGGCAGCCCAGCAGCTCCATGGGAGCCATGCCCTCCATTCATGCCCCGCAGCATCATCTGTGCGTGACGGGGCATGAGGGCAGAGTCTTGCCCAGCTGCCATGTCCTTGGCTGCACTGCTCTACACGGGCCATACCCGAGGGCAACTCTCCTCTGGAGGGCTGCTGGTGAGGAGGGGGCTGTGGGAGGAGGCGGGGCTGGGGCGACAGTGGGCATGCCCACAGAGAGGGCTCTGAGTGCCACCTCTGGCACATGCGCCATAGGTTCACCACCGCTGTATATATATAGTATATATATTAGTCTGCATATATTGTCTTGGGAGCAGGACTGAATGAAAACGTATGAAGCCATGGGTCAGTTAGCTTCTCAGGATTCTCTCAAAATAGCTAGGCTGCACTATAACCCAATGTACAATAAACCATGCTGGAAAAAAATCTATTGAGGGTGGGAAACCAAGGTATGCAACAATAACCCGAGTCACCAAAACTCATTGCTGGAAATCATGGCCTAGCTTTCCAATCAATACAAAGGCTAAACCAAATAAGGTACAATCTAAGACAATCGGTAACCCCAACACCTTATTTGTTACAAGCTAAAAGAAACTCGAGGTTGTTATTAAAAGTGCAGAAAATCCTTCCGGTCAGAATAGAAACATGGATTTTGTTATGTATTTAACCTAAATGCATAAGGTCTGTTATAAAAACGGTTAACAAAGTGTTCAATTTGAATCCTCGCCTGTCTGTCTGTATTTTCCGGCATATAAGACAACTTTCCAAACCATGAAAATCTTCTCAAAAGTCAGGGGTTGTCTTATACGCCCAGTTGTCTTATACGCTGGAAAATATGGTACTTGAAGCCTGTTGTTTTAGGTGGGAATGAATACTTTAAAATCATTGGCTGCCACCTAGTGGCGGTCCATATAAATATGAGTCAAACGGCTGCTAGAGCTGCTTCTGTGAGAACTGAACAAAGAGCTGTTATTTCAACTCTGCGTCTTCAATGGCTTTCTGTTCCCACTACACCACAAATTTGATGATCCTCAGTCCAAATGAATACTTGAAACTGCTTTGAAAAAATGCAGCATCCAATCGGATTGCCCAATTTGATTCAGAGATACAGCTGGATTGTGTTCCAGCTGAATCTTAGCGAAGTTTTACACAGCCTGATTGGTCGTATCTAAGATTTCTCAAGGACCTGAGAGGGACTAATTTGATCTGGGTTTGACCCACAGTATTTTGATACACAGGGATTTCTCCCCCCCCCATCCCCTAACTTGCTTTTCTTAAAATGGGGTTCACCTCACCTGAGCAAGAATGCAGAGCATGGAAATCAGCAAAGCAGCACCCACAGTGGACAGCTTCATTTTTTCTCAGCTCGAGGTTTCCTTCCCCAGTTGAGAAAATATGTGTGAAGGTGGGGGGTTAAGGATGGATATTTATTGATGCACCTGCACAAGCCAGACTGCCCAAACTGAAAGGAGCAATTGATGATGCCTTCAAATTAACTTATCAATCAAGAAAGGTCAAAAGGATTAATTCATCATAAGAAAGGATCTGGTGCCAAATTAAACCTGCGGGGGGGTTTTTATTTATTTACAGGAAACATTTTGTGCAGATAAGCTCCAGTTTTCCTCTCCTGCTCTCTGTATCATTCTTCCAAAAAAAAAAAAAAGCATTGATGAAATGTCATTGTCTAATTTATCTGGTGACAAACCAAGTGGAAAATTTTGAGAGGCCGTTTGTGGTTTAATTCCCCCCCTCCTAGTTTTGTCAAATCAAAATAAATTATTTATGACAGCCATAGGGCCAGAATCAACAAAATATACACTAGGACTATTGCATACATCTTTCTCTGTAACAGAAAAACAACTGAGAATAACAATTCAAAAGAACTGAATACGTATAACATAATAAAGTATTATAAGGACTAATGTGTAGATAAATGTCCAAACGTTGTTAATAGTGGGTTGTATTGTACAATTGGTGGCACAAAGTGAGCAAGTGCTCAGAGCAGCATGCAAAGCAGAGATTGAAGCTTGGTCTAGACCAGTGATGGCGAACCTTTTAGAGACTGAGTGCCCAAACTGCAACTCAAAACCCACTTATGCATCATAGGGTGTCGGGTGGGTATGGCCTATTGGCTGAGCATGGCCCATTGGGTGGGCGTGGCTGTGGTGGTAATGGTAGACTGGGTGGGACTAAAAAGTTCAATCAATCAATTCCAACTTTGCAAGACCTTTTTTTTTTCTGTGAGAAGTTGAAATTAACTGATTGAACCTTTTTTTTTTTCACACAGCAGCAGAGCCCTAAAGCGAAAAGGTTTTAGAAAACCCAGCTAAAGGCCTAGGACTGGGGCGACGGCACGCGTGCCCACAGAGAGGGCTCTGAGTGCCACCTCTGGCACCCGTGCCATAGGTTCACCACCACTGATCTAGACTGAGCAGGGGTAGGCAACCTTGACTCTTTTCTGACTTGCAGACTTCAATACCCATGCTGAATCAGGAATTCTGGGAGTTGAACTCCACAAGTCATAAAAGAGCCAAGGTTGCCTACCCCTGATCTAGAGCTTGAGAAGCAGAAGAGGACAACCAATACTGAAGCCAGCACCTCATCTCAACCAGTGCAAGACCTCTTTGAGGCAGGCAAAGACTGAATGAGGGGTCCTTGGTATTCTCTGAGCTTGTTTGTTTTCTTTCAGACCTTTCATTATCCACACTAGGTACCATCATCAGTGAGAGCAGGGAGTGTTGTTTGCTGTCAGTTTATTATATTCTGGTGTCTTGTCTGTCTGTGTGGGTGAGGGCGATCTTAGGGAATAATAATAATAATAATAATAATAATAATAATAATAATAATAATAATAATAATAATAATAAGGGTAGTACCAATAGTCATAGGCTCCTTGGGTGCAATCCCAAAACAACTGGAGCGCCACTTGAACACCATTGGCATTGACAAATTCGCTATTAGTCAATTGCAAAAGGCGGCCTTACTAGGAACTGCTTCCATCCTGCGACGATATCTGTAATACCATCAAACATCCACATCTGCCTATCCCAGGTCCTGGGTAAGGACTCAATAGGTAGACAAAATGCCAAATCCAGTCTGAACATCTGGCTGACTGTGCGATGATCAGTAATAATAGTAAATAATAATAATTCAAACAGACAAGCACCTGCAACATAATACCCCAGACTTAACAATTGTCGATAAGAAAGACAAAAAAGTCTGGATAGTGGATGTGGCAGTGCCTGGAGACAGCATGCATGGATTGACTACAAAAAGGCATTTGACTCTCTGCCACATGATTGGATAATAAAGTGCCTAGAAATAACAGGAGTCAGTAGAAACATCAGAAAATTTGTGCAAAGATCAATGGCACAATGGAAGACACAGTTGCAGATCAATGGTGAGAGGCTGGGAGAGGTTAATATCAAGAGAGGAATATTTCAAGGAGATTCATTATCACCATTACTATTTGTTATTGCACTGTTTCCTCTGTCAACAATACTGAATAACTCAGGACATGGCTATCAAACATCAAAAACATCTGCCAGACTATCCCACCTCCTTTACATGGATGATCTGAAGCTGTATGGAAAAACATCATCTGAAATAGAATCGCTGCTCAACACTGTCCGTATATATAGCCAAGATATTGTAATGGAGTTTGGCTTGGACAAATGTGCCATACTTACTATCAAACAAGGAAAAATAGTGAAAACTGAAGGAATCAAGATGCCCCACGAAAATAACATTAAGAGTCTGGATGAGGAAGATACTACAAATACTTGGGTATCCTTCAAACTGACAACATCAAGCACACTGAAGTCAAGAAAAAGATTAGAGGTGAATACATCAAGAGAGTGAAGAAGATCTTAAAGTCCAAACTCAATGGAGGAAATACCATAAAGGCAATCAGGGCAATCCCAGGACACAGCTGGACTCAAGCAGAACTAAAAGCAATGGATAGGCAGACCAGAAAAATAATGACAATGAATCATGCCCTTCATCCACGCAGTGACATTGACAGACTTTATCTACCAAAGCAAATAGGTGGGCGTGGAATGCTACAAGTACATCAGATGGTTGAAGAAGAAAAAATGGCTTTGGAAGAATATCTGAAGAACAATGATGAAGATGCACTGAAATTAGTATATCAGGAAGGCTTACTAACTACTGGAGAGACCAAACTGGCCTACAAGAAAGACCAAATGAAGAACAGAATAGAGGCATGGGAAGACAAAGCACTACATGGCCAATACATGAAAAAAATAGCTGGGAAAGCAGATAATAATAAAACCTGGCAATGGCTAAGAGCAGGAAAATTGAAGAAAGAGACCGAGGGACTAATTCTGGCTGCACAAGACCAAGCCTTAAGGACAAATGCATATAAAGTCAAAATTGAGAAGACAGCAACAGACAGTAAGTGCCGCCTATGCAAAGAAGCTGAAGAAACAGTGGACCACTTGGTAAGCTGTTGCAAGAAGATTGCACAGACTGAATACAAGCAGCGGCATGACAAAGTAGCAACAATGGTGCATTGGAAGATCTGCAAAAAATATCATTTGCCTGTAAGCAAAAACTGGTGGGATCATAAAATAGAGAAAGTCATAGAAAATGCTAAAATTAAACTGCTCTGGGACTTCAGAATTCAAACAGACAAGCACCTGCAACATAACACCCCAGACTTAACAATTGTCGATAAGAAAGACAAAAAAGTCTGGATAGTGGATGTGGCAGTGCCTGAGATAGCAGAATAGAAGAGAAAGAACTGGAGAAGATAACAAAATACAAAGACCTACAAATAGAAATAGAAAGACTGTGGCAAAAGCAAGCAAGGGTAGTACCAATAGTCATAGGCTCCTTGGGTGCAATCCCAAAACAACTGGAGCACCACTTGAACACAATTGTCATTGACAAATTCGCTATTAGTCAATTGCAAAAGGCGGCCTTATTAGGAACTGCTTCCATCCTGCGACGATATCTGTAATACCATCAAACATCCACATCTGCCTATCCCAGGTCCTGGGTAAGGACTCGATAGGTAGACAAAATGCCAATCCAGTCTGAACATCTGGCTGACTGTGCGATGATCGATAATTCAAACAGACAAGCACCTGCAACATAACACCCCAGACATAACAATTGTCGATAAGAAAGACAAAAAAGTCTGGATAGTGGACGTGGCAGTGCCTGAAGACAGCAGAGTAGACGAGAAAGAACTGGAGAAGATAACAAAATACAACGACCTACAAATAGAAATAGAAAGACTGTGGCAAAAGCAAGCAAGGGTAGTACCAATAGTAATAGGCTCCTTGGGTGCAATCCCAAAGCAACTGGAGCACCACTTGAACACCATTGGCATCACCCAACCCATGTCATCCCCCATCCCCTACTTTCCATATACCCCATTGACAAATTTGCTATTAGTCAATTGCAAAAGGCGGCCTTAATAGGAACTGCTTCCATCCTGCGACGATATCTGTAATACCATCAAACATCCACATCTGCCTATTCCAGGTCCTGGGTAAGGACTCGATAGGTAGACAAAATGCCAAATCCAGTCTGAACATCTGGCTGACTGTGCGATGATCCATAATAATAATAAAGTGGAAGGGACCTTGGAGGTCAGACAAATAGCTGTCCAGTCTCTTCTTAAAAACTGCCAGTGTCTGCACATTCACCACTTCTGGAGGCAGGTTGTTCCACTGGTTAATTGTTCTAACTGTCGGGAAGTTTCTCCTTAGTTCTAGATTGCTTCTCTCCTTGATGAGTTTCCATCCATTGCTTCTTGTCCTGCTTTCTGGCGCTTTGGAGAATAGCTTGACTCCCTCTTCTTTGGGGCAGCCCCTGAGATATTGGAAGACTGCTATCATGTCCCCCCTCGTCCTTCTCTTCATTAAACTAGACATACCCAATTCTTTGGTTGGGCTGTTTATTAGTGGCTCTTTGGCAGTTTTTTAACTGGGATACTGCTTACTTAATTGTTGGTCTGAAGGTGACCTTGAAGTTAATCTATGCTGATCTGACTGCTGATTCCTGGTGGAGAGATGCTGGAGTCCTTTTCTCTTTTGGCCTGGTTGATTGTCTCTTTTATAGATGTTAATATCTATTGGTGGCTGACTTGTCAGAGTGCCAGGCTTCTAGAAATTCCCTGGCATTTTTGGATTTGGCCTGCTCTAGAATGGTCACATTTCCTCAATTTAAACTATGGTTAAATCGGTCTATATGTTGTGAAATTAAAGCAGTTTCGTCATGCCTTTTGACTGCCAGTTCGTGTTCATGGATGCATTCAGCCTTGTAAAGGCTGAATGGCACTTTACAAGCAGTTTTAAGATTTTTGTTATTTTTAAAGACTGAGCATTAAAGAGGTTAACCCAGGGCAACAGGCTATTTGAGGGGAAGAGTGTGGCACAGTAAG